GGTCATGAGGCGGTGAAGGAAATACCGCCTCATTTCATTCGCCCCGCCCCGCGCCGATTAACATTGACGATTTACCGTTTACTCTGCCTTGGGTACTCCGTACTCTGTATTCTACCGAATCTGCGGGATTTCCGTGGGTCCTACCAACAAACTCCCTTCCCATTCGTCTATTGGTTTCAGGGCAATCTTTTGAAGAACCAAGGTTGGGCCGACATTACTATTTGTTGATTTTGTTTTGCCAATTTTCGACTTCGCCAACCAGAAACTACTCACATACCTCGCGCCCCTCCCCCACCACAAATTGGCATTTTATCATGGCCGTCCGATCTACCGCCGAGGAAATGGAGAGGCTTCAGCTCTCCGATGAAGATACCGAGGATCTCTGGGATTCTCCCTCTAAAAGACAAACACGCCAGACCTTCAAACAACGACCCTCCGAGGAGCACATTGCCCCAGAACCTCGGCCAATCCAGGATAATAGCGACAATGCCTTTGATCGCGAAGAGGCCCGTGAAGCCGCTCTTCATAATGAGCTCCAAAGTGTGCGAAACATCAACGAGGTTCTTGAAGGGTTGCTTGGGAGCATTGATCGGGCCAAAGGAAATATGGAGGTATGTCTAGCCTTTCCGATCGATGTTAGAAAGACGTATCTGACCTTCTCAAGACTGTGTCAAATACAGTCACCTCCGCCTCGACGCTCCTTAACACATGGACCCGGATCCTATCGCAGACCGAACATAACCAACGGTTGATTCTGAACCCCAATTGGCAAGGTGCAACACAAGATGTCGCCGATATAGAGAATGAGGCTATTGAAAAACAGCAAGCGGCAGAGCGACGAACACGAGCACTCCAGGAACAACGTGAGGCAGCAGCACGTCGGGCAGAGGAGGAAGAACGAAGACGCGTCTTGAACCCCAAAAGTGGTCGCGGAACCAGTCGGGGAACTGTGCGAAGTACCGGTCTTGGTAGAACCCCCAGCGTGAGTACCTCTCGAACGGGAGCCACGCGTGGCTCATCGACAGCGACTGCAGGGACTCGCCGGCCCGTCAGTGGGATTGCCAGGGGAAGTGGGATCGCCCGTGGTAGGAAGCCATGATCAAAAAACAATTTTGTTTTTAATGTACCATACCTTATGCCATTTCATGAACATAAAACTCAATAAATATGATACCCACACCGGACCATTAAAGTCAATTAAGACTTGAATCTTCAGTCAGTAATTAGTTGATAATTAGTTGGTAGTTGTGGCCTAAGGCACTCCTACCTAAGGTTAAGTTTGGAACGCGACACGCGCCGATAGCGATAAGGAGCTTTCTCCCCGGCCGTGAGTTGGTGACCTCCCTGAGGGTCGAGTTTCCCCAGCTTCACTTCTATCTTCAGTCACACAAAATGAACTTCGCTCCTTACCAGGACGAATCACCCGAGCTTGAAAGGGCCCTGTCCCCGCCAAACCTAGAGGGTCGCGTCAAGTCCCCTAACCTTCGCTCACCCCGGGCATCTGCCGACTTACCATCGCCGGGTCATTTCGCAGGAGGTGGACATGGCAATACTGGCTTTGGACGAGATATTGAAGGCGGTCATGTGAGCTTAGGGGCATTTGAGACCAGCCTGCCGATTCGTATGGATGTGGAAGCTATGCTGGCATATGTGCTTCTGCCTCCAGCCGGAGGAGTGTTCCTGCTCTTGGCCGAGCACAAGAGTGATTACGTTCGGTAAGCAATCACATTTTCGGGTGGGATGTAATCAGATGGTCGATTTAACGACAATTACAGATTTCATGCGTGGCAATCCAGTATGCTTTTCAGTGCTATCTTCGTGAGTCTACTCGGCTGTGGCATTCCATGGATCTTATCTAACCTAATACCAGGTCATCCATCTCATTTTCGCCTGGTCTTCTTTCCTTTCCTGGACCCTATTCGTAATTGATATCCTACTCATTGGGTTCCTCGGCATGCGAGCTTATCGTGATGGTAAGTCCAGTCCCCCATGCTCGTCTCCAATACGGCTTACACTAACACCGCCTCAGTCGATACATTAGATCACTTCGAGGTTCCTTTCATCGGCCGTATGGCTAACTCCTTCGTGGACAACGAATGATCCTATTTAGAGGTGACCATTACTGCGTTTGAATGGCTCAACAGGCTTCATGTGTACTCGAAATTTCTGGCCGGAAGACGCGTGTTTTTGCTCCATATACCCCTGTCTGTCGGTGCTTTCAGCTTTTCAGAGGTTGGCATTTTCAGCCTACGTCTTTCTTTTGTGGATATATATACATTTACGTACCAGTTCCTAGGCGACAGGCGGGGCCTTCGCAACGGCTCTCCTTTAATAACATCTGTTCCTCCGATGACTCTACTACATTTCAATGAAATTACGTTCTTCCCAAGGTTTCTACCTAGTAGTATGATGTTTACACTACAAGGCCCAGGCGTACGACTTGCCAAAATAAAGCTATAAAATTGAATCTCATATATCCTGCCTCGATACAAGAACTTCGTCGAATTCACTGCTGGTCACTGCTTGAGTTGTATGTACATTCCAGATCTCCTTCATCACTGCATAGAGGCGCCTTCCTGGCACGCAACAGGCGTGGTGCGGTAGTTCAGCTTCGTAGTAGTGTTGTAATTCCACCAAAAATCAAGAGACTGTGGGTATGACGAAGGAACCTTGCAAGTAGACTTGTAGTCAACAAGATTTCTTGAGACAATCGAGGTATAATCACCCAAAGAGCAGGAATAGCCAGGGCCAGATGTGCACTTGTTAAATGGAAGCACGGCCTCATTGAGTACCAAGCGAACAAATGAGCCTGCCTTTGATAGCGATGTGGCGTTGCAGCTGAGACGTTCAATCGTGAACCGACCACCCTGAGGAACGATGTCGCCAGTGGTGTAGGGGTTGCCAAATGGAATCCGGTCCAATGGGAGGTCTTCGTCTGGAACCAGGACACCTAGGGCAGCCAGAATAGGTGTGATATTTGTGTCATGGGCACTGCAATTGTGGTTAATATCAGGATTTTGAGCTCGGAACGGGGGTAGCATACAAGTTGAGGTAGAGAGGGGATGCCTTCTCAGGGCCCTGGTTAAGAAGGGTCAAACTGGCGTTGGCGTAGACAGAGCCAACAGCCGCCATATTTTTGTCACCAGGTCTACGAATAATTAGCATGATTAGATATAGAATTTCGGGTATGAGTATTAAGCAGAGTTATTTACCCAGCGCAGTAAAAATAGTTCAAGTCTTCGACGTAGCCGAAGCTCACCCACTCGTCCTGGGTGAATACATTGATCCATTCTGAGAAAGCACGGGCATTAAGTTCAAATGAAGCCATGGCTATTTGATGGGTTAGGACGAAACGACAAATAAAGAGAAATGAGGAATAAGCTCACACATCAGGTAGTAGACATCCGATTCGTTGAGACTGAGACCAGGATTTTGAGAATTCAAGCGCGCAGCTGCAACTTTGAATTGTGGCATGAGATTGGTCAAATCATCACAAGTGGTGTAATCATTGTCGGTATCACAAGAAGGGGTCAAGCTGTTGGCTCCCATGCTCTCCGACTCGGAAATAATATTGAGAGCTGCGTTTGTCGAATAGTTGTATCCAAAGAAGCCTTCCCCGAACTTGCGAGCAGTGGCAATAACGCGCCCATATCCACTGCTCCAAAATGGTACAACGGAATCCTCGTCCAGCAAGTGGCCGTATCGATCGCGGTACTCTGCACCGTGGGTATAGGCATCCAGAAGACCTGCGTAGGGCCCGCTGGAGGTCTCGGCGTTGTAGTAGCACTTGTTGGGAACGTAGTAGGACCAGTCATTGTAAAAGGAGAGGTCTCCCTTGAACTCTTCAACACCAGAGCTTTTCAACTTTCCCAGTGTCTTTTCGATTCCCTCACCGAGTGCCGGTGACGGGTACCTCTCTCCATGTCGCCTGATCATGATCACTTGGTCGACGGCACAGCTTTCCGGTGGATCGCGTGAGATGCCGAATGATCTTCTCTCTGAATAAGGTCCATTGCCACCATAGTGCTTTAGAATGCTATATCCATCGCGAAACTCCTGAGAGAACTGCTTCTCAAAAGGAGACTTGGTCACAGAGTCACCATACGACAGAGCCGTAACTCCAGTAGTGAGGCCCAAGGCACACACAATCCCCGAGACAAGATGGTAAGCCATTTTCGCTTAAAACTGTGTCAAAGAATACCGCGAAATAATTCCAGCTTCTTTGGTGGTGATGAGAAAGGAACAGACGTGGGAACCTCGAAATACTTATAGTGCGTCGAGGTCGACAACATACTACCCCAAACACTATCTACTGAAAGAAATGCTATGACAAGTCAAGACTAGAACATGAAGCTAAACAGGTATTTCTACATGAATATTCTGAATTCCTTCGTACACTTCCTCTCAGTAGCCCACGTGCTCACTGTTCGAAAATGGTACTCGTAAGGCTGGCCTCCATCTAATCTGTTGGGAGTACGGACTATATACTCGGATTTAATCAATGCCTCTCAAGAGCTCCACATCGAAACAACGCATATTCTCCAATAAAATGGGGCGAGACCGCAACGTGCAGCGCCCACTCGCTTTGACTGGGCCGGTCTGGGCCTGCACTAGTCTGGAGGTGGGTCTCGAATCGGTCTCTCAAGCTTTTTAGCTCCATGCTTGGTATCCGCCCCTTAAATGGCCAAGCAGCGAACTATCCCGGTGTCGTACGACCATGCCGAGTAGCCGACGTATAATCTCGCTTAAGCTGCGAAATGTTTTCGTGCGCATGAGACTACCAAACAAACGACTTGTTACACTACGTGTCTGCCCGCTACCTAGATAGGCAGGTACTCGTAGTTCTCGTATGTATAATAGTACATAGTATTACTATAAAGCGCTTGAAACACATCCTAACCACAATGCCAGAATACTACTATGCGTATAGAAGTTTGGAATTGATCTTTATTCAGGTAGGTAGTCAAATGAGAACTTGAAGTTGATGTAGTAGTCTGCAATCAATCATTGGCCGCAACGGGTAGGACTAGTTGTGACACCCCACCAGCAATTGTCAAAGTGTGTCGCTGAGGAACTGCCTTATCACTAGACACGCGATTTTCCGCAGTCCCGAGACTTCTTGCATACATTGGGAAAAATCCACCCCCAACAATTAGTCTCACGCGTGTACCAACCCGGAATCGATGAGCACAGTCTTGCAAAGTCAACTTTAGTGGCTGCGACATATCGCGCGCCGGATCAAGCGCTTGATATACCTCGGTGATGTTGTGAGAAATATCATCTGTGTCAACCTCACTCAGTCGCACCCAGAGGTCTGCAAAGGGTGGATCGCTTTCGTGCATTAAATGGACGAACGGGCACCCCATGATCTCAATGTCTGCTGTCACAGGCTCGCTGGTAAATACCAGAACGTCCATTCTGTCTGCATATACGCTATCGTTGACTCTTCCGCCTCCAGACATCTGGTTACCACCGATGCTGGGAGTAGGGTCCAATGGGTCGAAGACGAAAGCCGAGGGTCTTGCGCCCTGCGTTGGTAAGGTCAACCCAATGCCACCTTGTGCTTGTAAATAGAGAACAGTAGGGTTGCTCGGCGGAGGCCAGTTTGGCAGCGAACGCCAATCTTCAGAGCCAGTGACAAACACCCGAACTTGAGAGCGATTGTATTCTCCAGTTTTGGCAACATGCTCAGCGAGGAAATCCATTATCTCTGGCATAGAATGGAGTCCAGAGCCTTGCACATGGGTCCATGGGCCGATAATGAGGTTGGGATTGACCCCTCGCTCGTGCAGCGTTCTGAACTGGTGTATCGTCTGCCTCGTAAAAGTGTCGTACCAACCGCTCACCAATAAGATAGGAATATTCGCTCGTTCAAGCGAAATGTGATGCCTTCGCGATGCCCAGTAGCTATCCTCAACATCAGGATGCTTGAGATATTCGAATAGCCACGGAGCCCTATGACCGAAGTATTTCTGTAAACTTGCTTCCAGTGGTAGACCCTCCACGGCCTTCTCGAGTTCTACAGGCCGCAAAAAGCTCAGCCCTGGCAAATGCCACAGACGCGAAAAAAAGCTCCCTTTTTCATCGGCTGGTCGCGACATCATGTCGCTCCAGGAGGCACGGTCTAGGCGAAACGAACCAGTGTTCCATGCGTGCGAGGCCTGATCATGCGGACTAACGGGAATGACAGCAGCGACACAATCCTCGGGCGGGTCATGCAAAAGCGCCCATTGACTATAGCCAAGATATGAGGGGCCGAGGGTTGCAAACGAGCCGGGATACCAGGCTTGCTGACGCATCCAAACGACGATATCCTGGCTGTCAGACTGCTCATTGCTTCCCGGGTCGAATGTCCCGCCGGAGCCATAAGTACCGCGTGTGCTAACGAAGAGAGCTTGATAACCCCGAGCCGCGAAAATACGGGCATTGATGAAAGATATACCTGCACTCCGACCATAACAGCACTGAATCATGATCAAACCAGCGGGGCTGTCTTTGTCGGGCAACTCTGGTGAGTAGAAGTCGGCTTCCAAGTTGATACCATCTCGCATGGGGATCTGAACGGCTTGTGTCGTGTAGCTGCAGACTTCAGAGCCAACACCCATGTAGCGTGCTCCAAGATAGTCCAAAGTCGCGTTTGCATAGTTTCGCTTCACAGGTTGTCCCGCCATCCTGGCTTATTGAATGGGTACCCAAAGACGGAGCGGGATATCGGGCAAATCTGAAAACCCAAAATGATAACGGCTAGGTATATTCGCTAGTATTGTCTTTGGTATTCTGTTCTCTGTTCTGTTCCGGTGCCAGGTGTTGGGTTCAGGACATGGCGAGGGTACAATCAGCGGGGAATCAAGCATGACGTTGCGGAGACGCAGGGGCCTCCAATTACATTGGGGGGCCTGACGATCGACCGGGTCTCGGCCCGTCCGTCCACCACAACTATGGAACTACAGCCTACGGAAATCAACAACTTGAATCATGTTCCTACAGAGTGAGAGAAATTTTTCGGGAGGAAATAGCCATAAATTAAAGTAGGAAAAGGGAAGCATATCCGATGGCTGTGGAGGACACAGCCCAAGATCATTCCTCATACAATTTGACCCGACAGATCTCGTGAAAGAAAAAGAAAAACAACCGTATCCAGCAAATACACAAAATTCCCAAGGGGCCAAAGACGCTCAAAACCCGAGGCTTCCCACGCAAGATCCAGAAAAGAAAGAAAGAGGAGAAAATATCCTCCGACACAATGTGGGAAACTATTTAACAAGGCGGCCAGATGAAATAGAAATAGAAGGATGCACAAATAAGGCACCAAATAATAAGAAAGAAAACAGGCGACATGGGAGTTGAATAAGAGATCGTGAATGTGCAAAAATCGGACTCGGATGAAGGCATGGTATCTACGTGAGAGCGTAAGCAAAAACACAAGAAATGGTGCCCCGTCAGGACGAGAAATTGTGAGGGTCGTGGCGTTTCATGATTGACGAATTTTTCCAGATCTAGATGATCTGGAGGTAATTGCTCGGCACCAAGCCAGGGTGTCCGCGAGCATTGGTGACTTCGGCTTCCCACCAGCCATCATCCTGGAGACGGATAACGGCTAAGACATCGCCTTTAGAAAATCCAAGTTCTTCAGGAATGGCGGCACTATAGGTGTACATTGAGCGAGCTTTAAGTGTGTTAGCTAGTGATTCCAAGGTTTACTCTACATATAGCTGTTGGGGGGGGGGCATGACTGGCACTTACCAAAGTGTAGAATAGGACGTCCATCACGACTGAATTTTCGACCTGGATCAGCAACGGCAACGGTGCGACTGCGAGATCGTCCGACTGGCGGCGGCGCGTTGTTATCGCCCCCGTACTGAGACATGGGCCGACCGTCATGGCGAGAACCATAGCTTGAGCCCCCACTGTACATGTCAACTTGATTAGAAAGCTGCAACTCCATACCGCCAGCGCTAGAAGGACGAGTCTGTTGTCTGAAAGCTGGCTGAGGGGAGACTGCACGGTGACTACTAGCAGCCGGGGAAGCCCGCCTGGCGTAGTCATTTGGCGAGTAGGGCGGGTCTTGGGTACGGCGTGGGGTAGGTGATTGACTGTAGCGGCTGCGTGCGCTGCTCGATTGGTACGTAGTTGGGCTTGGAGCTGGGCTGGCTCCGCCGCCACCATACCCTGACCGGGTATCGACGCGCGGAGAGACTTGAGGGCTGGCGCTGCGTCGCATGGATGGAGCAGGAGATCGCGCACGGGGAACCTCCTGAGGCTTTGCTGCAGGGGGCGCATTGGGGTTATTGCTGCCACCTCGAAGCATGCTTTGTGTTTGGCCAGTATATCTCTGAGTAGTCTTCTGCATCTGCTTAGATGTGAAAGCTGGCTCGGGAGCATCGAGGCGTTTAACCGACGGGTCGTGGTATGCAGGAGGAGCGACAGAGCCAGAAGAGCTACCACCGTAGGTAGACGAAGGCGCCGAAGGGGTCGGAGTTGAGATGCCGTGGTATCGATCAGCGGAAACACGGAGAGTGGATTGTTTCCCAGTGGTCTTCAGATCAGCCAAAGCACGAGCAATGGGGTCCGCATCACCCTCGCCACCCTTGGCTTGCTGTGCTGCCCGGTTGGCCGCATTCTTCTCGGGAGAAGCAACATCGAAAACATTGTTTCCAACATTGAGCTGGAAGTTAGCACGGGGGTCAACAGGCTCAGGGCTCCGTGTGCGGCGCTCCAGCTGGGGTTGAGGCTGAGGCTGAGGCTGAGGTTGAGACTGAGGCTGAGGTTGAGATTGAGGTTGAGGTGCCTTCGGTGAGCTGGCTTGCTTAGTAGGGGAGCTCCACGGGCTCCTGGAAGATTGCGATCCTATGGCAGGCCTCTCCTTGTCATGGCGACTCTTACGACGGAAGGGGCTGTTGCTAAAGAAGGCCGTCTTCTTTTTCGGCGTAGCTTGCTTATCTTCTCTTTGACTTGGCAAAGGTTCGCTGTTTGTCGGCTTAGGAGGTGGCTTTGCGTAGCTGATTGGTTGTTCTATACTCGACATAGAAGTAGGGTTTGACACTTCACTTTGAGAGTCACGACTGGATGGTCGGTATGCGCTGGCAGCTGAGCTTCGCTCCGAAGGGGGCCCAGTGCGACAGAACATGGTCATGCCATCAGTGGGGTAAGCGTTGTGAGGAATGGCATTGATCTCCCCGTGTTGATCCGGATCATAATTTGGCGGGAGGTGTCCACCCCGTCGAAGATCCAACGGAGGAGGCTGCTGAGGATTCTCCTGCACAGGAGGTGGTGCCGGGTGACCCATCTGAGCTGCAAGATCCGACTGCGGGTCATGGTGGGACTCAAAGGTTGAAGGCTGAGGGGATGATGTGCGGAATGCCGGGTTCATAGTCCTCTGGAACTGGGCAACCGAGTAGCCTTCGCCTTCATCAACTTCAGATCCTGTGTCTGTATCCTCTTTGCAGAAATTGATGAAGCGTGGGGGGGTCCGGAATCTCCTGGCCTGTGCCTTTTTCCTTGATGAAGAAGACTATGTCCTTCTCAACCTCGCAGCCTTCGAGGGAGAGACGGATCTTCTCGCACGAAGCATCGTCGCTAACGCAGACCGTGGACGCAATGTTCGCGTAAGTCCAAAGACTGCTCTTAGAGAAATCCAGGCGCTCTTCCTCGAGATCTTGGAATTTGTCGCAGGCTGCCTTCCACTCCTTGTTCCAGCGACCAGTCGTCTCCTCGAGTGTCTTGACAGCGGCCTCATATTCGTTGCTGTTTGATGCAAGTTGAATCTGGGTCTTCTCAAGCTTGGCCTTGTTCTTGCGCTCTTCTTGGCCCATCACCATGTGACCCTGTGCGAGATAGCCCTTAATGCGCAGACAATCTTGCTCGTAGCGATCTCGTGTCTAGAAAAATATAAGTTGGTTAGAAATCAAAACCCCAACCTGGTCATGGAATACCGACTTTGTTGACAACCTGTGTCTGTTGGACCTTGGTCTTGTGAAGGCGTTCTATAGTGTTTTGAATAATCTTTCGTCTCTCTTTCAGTCCACTGGCAAAAGCAGCAAGTGGCTCCTCCAGCTCGGTTTTCATTTGACCTGCAATCGCGGAGTGTGCTTTGGCAATGGCTTCTGTTTCTCCCCGTACCACGTCGAGCGAGAGTCGTAGAGAGCCAGTTTCGGATGCCCCTAGCGACTTACGGCACAACGCCGAGAGCTTGCGGGCATATTCGTCTTCAATCGCGGCTCGTACTAGTGAGTTATGAAAGTTAGTTGATCCATCTGTCCTCTGTGAATAATCTCGTCCGTACCGCTGTAGAACACTTTCAATTCATCGCTAGTCGTTTTCGAACAGTGCATGCGGTCGAGCATGGGCTGTAAACCTGCGTCATCTTTGCCCCAGAAGTTGTTCGCGACTATGTTTGAGCATGTCAGTTATCATATTCTGCGCCTCGGAATCAGGATGCCTTACAGGACATGGAGACCGTCGGTCCCTCAGCCACCGTCCCAGGCATTGTTTTCGTAGCTGAGCCTCGGCCAGCCTTTGCTCAATCAAGTTGCAGATGCTAATTTGGACACAAAGAATATATGGGAACAAAGAAACACGGTATGTAGCAAGAGGAAGACACAAACAGACCCTGCGGTCGCTGAATGTCAAGGTGTAGTCAGAAGCAGCTGCAGCTAGGCATGTTTACTCCGGTACACGGGCGCGTCACTCGGGGCAACCAGCCATGCAGGCGCCATGACTAAGCCGATCACTGCCCTAATCTGACGCGTCGCCGTGGCTTTAGACTTTTCAGGCGAATGCTACGATTCAAATCAGGATTATGTGTTTTGGGCAGAAGTTTTGTCCGAATTTTCAGCTAACTAATCTATCTACATAAGTATGTTATTCCTGGGACCCGCAATTCCAGTAAATCCAGTCTGTCTAGTTGGCCCCATAACAAAGTCGCAAGTTAATTTATCCATGAAAGACAGAAAAAAAATACACATGGTGAAGTACTTTGTGTCTTGAAAATACCCACATAAAAAAGAAGAAAAAACTCCAGAAATGCGTGTTCGTAACCGCCATCGGTAAAAGCAAATTCGCCAGGGTAAGATACCCAATGACCCGCTGCATGTTCGCAGCTCTTCCGTATCATGTTGCAAGTGATCGTTGTGTCATCTTCGAGTCAATCCGACGGTCAAAGATCTCATAAATTCATCTCTATTCTTTCCTTTCATCAAGCCATAATGTTGGTAACAGACCCCTTTAGTAGGGCAGAAGAGAGGCAGCAGCGGGAAGAGACCAGCTGGAGCTAGGAGTAGCCACACTCGAAGTGCTAGGGATAGCTCGGCGGGCAAAAGGAGTGGGCGAGGCTGAGGCGTTCACGCTTAGTGTCGAAGAAGCGGTGGATAGACCGGAGGAGAACGATTCGTCATCAAAGTCGCGAGCGGCCAAGGGAGTGGCGGATACGCTCGGGGTGGCAGAGGATGGCAAAGCGATGCTGGAGGACCAGCCACCCCACTGGCGAGCGACGAGCGATGTAGAGGAAACCGCACTTAAGGTAGAAGTAGCTACCGAGGAAGAAGGATACCAGGCATCAAAATCGCGAGCAACGAGGGGAGTCGCAGACACAGGCCAGGAACTGGAAGACGGAGCCAAGCTGCGGGCATACAGGAATGGATCACCGGCAGCCTTGAGGCCGCGTCGGAAAAAGGAAGAAGAGTCCATGGGTGGCATAAAAGAACCACCGAGGGGAGGAGCATGGTGAGCGTGAGGCGTTGAGCTGGGAGCCACGGAAGACGGAGACAGGGTGGGAGATTGAGTGGCGGTGATAGTCACAGTAGAAGGTACAGCGGGAACTCCAGCTGCGGTCACCACTGAGTTGAGCGTCTGAGTAACTGTCTCGACCTCTGGAACGGCCGAGCTAGAGGGCTCGCCGCCAACATTCACCACTTCATACTCGGACTTCCGGCGAATGAGGTCGTCTTGGGAGTTAGCCAGAGGCGCAGCGTAGGTCACACCGATGGAGGAGAGGGCAACGAGTGCGGCAGCAGATGTGAAATGCATGATACAGAAAGTTGTGGGTTTGTCGTAGTTTTTCGTGAAAAGGGTACTGAGAAGAAACAATCAAGTCCAAAGAGTAAAGAAACACTGAAGTTCAAGAGTGATAGATGGTTTGAAGGATTTGGTAGAAGAGTAGTAATTGGGTTGAGAATATTGAGAACAGAGACTGAATGGGTGCCGGTTTAAAAGTGAACGAAGAGATCAATCTCGATCACAATGACAATCATGAAGTCAGTAAGGTCCACATGGTAACCTTGCGATTGGCACGCAAATAAGTTGGCTGGGTCGACGAGTGGCTGGGGAGATGAACCAGCCACCCTATTTTTGTTGTTGACAGGCGGGAAGGCGGTCTCCACATGGCAACCACCCACGCTAATTGGAAGCCGAGGAAGCCGAAGCGGACCTTGGTGACGACCCTCAGGGGAGACCCTCTTTGGAGATATTTACCCATCGACGTGGCTGGGGGGGATCCACTCCTACTCAAAACCGCTGCCTAGTTACTTTTCTTAGCTTCTGGAACCCTTGGAAAGCGCTGATACCTAGGACAAATGATCCATCGCCTCTCGATCGGCAACTGTGACACAATTTGTGTTCCCACTGATCTACCGGATCAACCGTCTCTGCCCGGGGTGTTTCGGTCGGAGGCTGGTCAACTCATGCTAGGAAATGGCCAGATCCTCGACCCGTAACAGGCCACAGCCCAATGCCGCGCAAGCCCAGGCCGCACATCGGCGGTTGGGATTCCAGCCAAGCGCCGTGACGTGGGTACCTTCCTCGTAGATGGTGGTGGTGCTGCAATCTGCAACCTGTCGAGTTCTACTGGCGATATTCTTGGCCAGTTGATTTTCTTCCGCTTTGTACCCGTCGAAGAAACGGCTCGTCCCAGAGCCATCTGCCATGGGCCCAGCCACCCATTCATGAGTGAACCAATACTGTTGCCAGTGTTCCGGTTTGGTATGGAGAAGCTTGCGAAATGGATTGGTAGCCGTGACTTCACCCCCCGTGCCCCCCAGAAGGATACAAGGATGCCAGGAGCTACAGGGTGCGAGACTGATCACTGAACTGGGCAGGTTTGCTACCGCCGTTGATGAGAAGAAACGGCGAATGGGCATCATACGCCCAAAATCGTTTTCGTCAATCGAAATGACGGATTGCAAAACAGGCGAATAGCTGACGTGACGGGCAGCCATACGCATGCGCACCGTTGAGGTCATTTCGGCCTGGGGTTCAACCATTGACCAGAGTTGGGTTTCGCCATCCATAGAAATCGTGCTTATAAGATGAGGGCTGCTCGGATAAGCAGATGTTATACTCAACACCCATGTGGAATGAATCAGTCGGTAAAAATATGGGTGTGGCTCTGGAGATGATGAAGGCAGGATGCTCCAGACAGCGACATGGCCATCAGAGCAACCCACTGCTATATCACTGTGCGACAACCATGTCACGCATGAGCAGAGAGCCGAAGGTGGCCGAGCCTCAAAAACGGGGGAGGTGACTCGAACTTGAATAATTTGTTAGAACCCCTTTTGAATTGTTCAAGATATTCAAAGTGAATAAGTGGCATACCATATTCTTCTTGCGAAGAGTCCCGGTGCACCTTGATATCCAAAACTCGCACTTTTCCGTCTCCCCAGATGCCGGCCAAAAGTCCTATACTTTGTGTGTCTCCCTGGCTGTCCTCGGGGCGCTCTTGTCGGGGCATTGGACACCAAGCAATGCTGCGTATATCGCCCCAATTTGTACAAACGACCAATCGTCTTTGCGGTTTTATGCTCATATCGAGCGATTTGGTGGAACAATCAATTTCCTTTCCCTTAAATTCCCACACTTGTAAAGCACAAGGATAAGCAGGTGTCGGCTGAAATGCATTTCTAGAATCCGCTCCAAGCGAGCTGCAGTTCTTCTTCTGTGCTTCGGTGATTGGAACCACAACAGCCAGGTATTGAGAAAGCCCCTCTTGGTTTGGCGCCCAGGCCAAACATTGAATTCTGCAACCAAAACTCATCAGCCAGCCTTCACGGACAGATTTTCTGGGTTTTTGGTTATTTGCTCCGCTGGTGAAATCCCAGAGTTTGCTGTAATCATAAGGTTCATCATAGCCCAGATTGATATGGGTCTGCTGGTCTGCTGGCCCCATAAGAACTGTATGTTTTTCGGTTGGTGGCTTCGCGAGATAGTCATTGATGTCCAATTTCTTCAGTTGTTCAAAATTCTGTTTCGCCCGGAATTGGTCTCCAATGTCTTTATCGTAATACCAATCCCACGCGGATTCTTTCTCAGCCTCGAAATCCTCGAGGCTAAGACCTAAAGTAGAACCATACGGGTAGTCGGGTTGTCTTTTTGGATTTTCAAGAGTATTGCGACGGGGGAGGCATGCATCTCCAGCTTCAAGCCATTGGTCTCGTTGATACAATGCGGTAAAGAGATCCCGGTCGTCTGATCCAAATGCAAATTTATAGAGCATTTCTTTCGATGTATTGTTGTTGTGATTCAGGCCGCCCCGATAATGCGATTCATTGGGATCCATCTCCATTGAGCCATCAGGCCCTTTTGTTCTAGGTCGTGCGGTTGAGACCGCGGCTTTCTTTTTGGGAATGAATGCGGACGCGTTGACATTGACGACCATCTCCTCGGGAGATTTTCTTCCATCTTCCTTTGCTTCCCTTTCCCCTTCATCTCCCTCTTCCTCTTCCTCTTCCTCTTCCTCTTCAGCTTCTTCAGAGGCGGCTGCATCTTCCATTTCCTCGTCATCCACGTCGTCATCATCTTCATCATCGCCACCGACGAATTCATCGTCCGAAGGGGATTCTTGCTTCAATCGTCTGGCCCTTTTCGAAGATTTTTCATTGGGTTCATCATCACTAATGCCGGCGACTGCAAATAGATCCTCGGTGTAGACCGCCTTGGAAGCTCTCACGCGGCCGGATTTGCGCGCCATTCTCGCCGAGGTGATCAGATATTGTTCGCAGCCAGGAGAGGTGTACAGACGCTCTCATGTGAAATTGGTAAATTCAAAACGGCCAAAATCATCAAGAAATGGTGAGCCAGGTTGGGATAAAAGATGGTGGTGACGCGCGAGGAGCATCGCATGGGAATGTTCTGCAAGTCGCGGCAGTTCGCAGCTTCCCAATAAGGATTGGACGCTATACCCAATCGGGACAGCCCCTCCCCGGATATCTGGGAGACTACTACCACGGCGATACATCCTAGGGGATACATACTCGCGATACATACTAGCGATACTATACATTAGTATTGAAATCATCGCAAGGATACTGTACTACACACCATTATCAAGCGAATCAATTTTCCACTGGCACTTTCAATTACTCTATTGGATTGAATATGCAACCAAGTGTGTCGTTGAGACAGATCTGAGATCTTCTTGGTAGTCATACATGTGAAATGTAATAATTGCACCTGGCATGGCAGATGCCCAGGTGCTTTCATTTATTCTAGTGTAGCTTCTGTTGGCTTTGGAAGCTTGAAGTCTGTACACAGTTGCATTCCAAGGTTGTTGTGAGTCATCATCGAGGCGAAACATCTAGACGGTTTCTGTAAAGGTCTACTTGGTCTGTAAGACGATGGAGGAGAAGATGATGCTGATATTCTCCCCAAACGGGAAGGAGACATGTCGTCCGTCCGTCACCCACGTGACGGACAACGGACGACTACTAACTAGAACCTAACACTAACGCTTAAGCATGACAGCTTCCATACATCGACACCACCTCTAGTTACCTAGGTAATTGGTTGGTAGGGAAGGAATAATGTAAGTGGCATCATTAGAGTTGGATTTTATGGTTATGTGGAGGTTCATACGTCTCACAAAAAACATAAGAGGAAGGAGTGCGCCTTCCAACAAGCTTCCAAGAAGGTTAAACCTTCAAGTTGAAGTTGGAAACGAAATATGTTACTAGTATATTCTCAAATGCCCAGGTGGGTATTATTGGAATACTACTATTAGTATGCCAGTGGATTTCTGAGCACATTGCGACGGTGATACAGTACGGTCAGCCCGAGGAGATCCATGAATGTCAGGGTGCTGTTTGGAAGTCCTTCATCGGGCCGAGGTTGTTATGGTACTAGGGTAGAGCCCAGTAAACCACCGCTGGAAAGGAACAATTAGAATATGCTGAAATAGTAATTATAGAAGATCGAACGAAAAGCCAAAAACGGATGTTGTATTTACATACACACACTTTCCTATGGAAGACCTATGGAAATGAGGGGATCGCCAAAAAAAAGCCCCGCGGTGGGTCAGGTACGTCAATCCTCCTCCGGCCAGTCTCAGCTTCACTCCTTCACTCTCGCCACCCGTAATGGCTTTCAACCCAGACCGTGGTTTGTCCCACCGTGGTGTCCTCCACGAATATGTATGTTCATGTTCAAGTTCATTTACTGAATCCTACCTAGGAAGAATGCCGAGACCTGACTACTGGATACATAGGCCCCCAGACTGGTCGCCTTTGAGTTTACACCGCCAGCCAGCGTCAACAAGCCAAACAGCTTGATTTTCGTGGGCGGACTCACAGATGGCTTCTGCACAGTACCATATGTATCGAAGCTAGCAGAGGCACTAGAGCCGACCAGTTGGTCTGTCTTTTCCATCCTGTTATCTTCCTCCTACAATGGTTTCGGAGTTGGCAGTCTCGACAAGGATGTAGAGGAAATCGGTCACTGTGTGCGGTACATCCGCGACCTCAAGGCCTCTAGACAGCCCGGAGCCCCATCCAAGTCTGCAAAGATTGTGGTCATGGGTCACTCAACCGGTAGCCAGGATGTTCTCCACTATATCTATGCCCCTAACCCGTTGCCAAAGCCCGAGTTCGACATTGGGCTTCAACATATCGTTCGACCAGAACTCGACGGTGCTATCATGCAGGCCCCCGTTTCAGACCGCGAGGCTGTTCTGGCAATTATGAAATCTGCCACAAACCCTTCTGAGGTCCGAGGGGCCTTCGATCAGCTCGTCATCTCTGCCAAGAAAGAGCCCTGGAACGAGGAAGGAAATGACACCCTGCTACCCATGAATATGACTGCAAAGCTTGGTCTTCCGGGCGATGCCCCGCTCAGCGCTCGTCGATTCTTAAGCCTGATCAGTCCAGATAGCCCAGCAAGTCCCTCGCAGGATGACCTCTTTAGTTCCGACTTGAGCGACAAGCGTCACCAAGAAACATTTGGAGCCGTTGGGTCCCGAGGCATTCTCCAATCCAAGCTGCTGGCTCTTTACTCTGGTAGTGACGAATATTGCCCCGCCTGGGTTGATAAACAAAAGTTGTTACAGAGGTGGAAGCAAGCACTCGAGGCTGGTGGCGCGTCCTGGGCAGAACAGAGTGGTATTGTCCTTGGTGCGAGCCATAATGTTCGGGACGAAGGTCAGAAGGACTTGATCGATCGCGTCTTAGGTTACTTGGAGAGCCTCTAGAGGCCCTGAACAGTGAAAAGCGGATCCATAAATTAGAAATAGAATCAAATTCAGATTTCTATCGGCCATACATAAGCATATAAAGAAACGTGAACACCGCCCAGAAGTATGTAGATATGGAGTAAGGTGAAGATCTCAAAAAATTGGGGTATATCGAAGGACGGGTTGAACAATGTCAAAACCTTCCGAGTTATTATGCGCGACTCGACACATCATTAGATTGGTGTATTTGGCATCGTTCAAACCTTAAGCCAGAGGTTGAACACGCCCTTGAGGTATTCGACGATTTCAGATCCACCGAGCTTGCTGTCGCCGTAAATGCGGTCCACGAAGGTGATGGGGCACTCCTCCACCGTGTAGCCCATAGCCTTGGCCCGGACCATCATCTCCATCTGGAAACTGTAGCCCTTGGACTCAGTGCTGGTGATGACCTTGTCGAGAACCTCCTTCTTGTACAAGCGGAAGCTGCCAGTCAGATCGCTGACGCCAGGCATGAGCATGACATCGGCGATCAGGTTGGCGGTACGCGAGGTGAACTTGCGGAAGAGATCCCAGCCGTAAACACCGCCCTTGATATCTCCACGGTTGGCGTAGCGGGTACCGGTGACAATGTCTGCGTTGCTTTCCTTCTGGATGCGAACCATCTCGGGGATAAACTTAGGGTGGTGGCTAAAGTCGGCGTCCATGATGATGACAAAGTTTCCGGTGCAGTGGACTAGACCGTGGACGTAGGCGGTACCGAGACCGAGCTTTCCCTCGCGTGGCTTAAGATTGATATGCTCAGGGCCGTAGAGTTTCTGGAGTTGTTTGGCGACTTCAAGGGTGCCATCAGGGGAACCATCGTCAACAACGACAACCTCCCAATCCAGATTGCTAGTCAGAAAAACATAAGAATTAGCAATTTGAATTAGATTAGTTCTCCCTATTGGGTTCGTCATACTTCTCGTTGAAAGTCTTCTGAATCAGCCAGACAATGATAGGGAGGTTCTTCCGCTCGTTGTAGGTCGGCAGGATGACCGAGTACTTGTTCTTGGTAGCGCCCATTGTGCCAGAATTAAGAAGAAGAGATCAATGATGTCTCCAGGACAAGGATGAGAGAAAGAATAAAAGGAAAGAAAGGGAGTAGAGAGCGAATGGCTGACAGCTTGTCGTGTCCGGGGAAGACCACCATGGCAGCTCGCGCCAGCTCGCCCTTGACCGCGACCACACACCGCCTTAGGCAAAACACGATCGATAGCTTATCGTAGCTGCATTAGATTCGGACTACAAATGTCGAGGTCGGCGTTTTGAATTGTTTCTTTCGGCCACAGAATAGGCCAATCCACGATGGCATTATCGCCAACAAAGCACACTCGCAATGCTTCACGGGGTGAGTATCTTATTGCCTTCGCTTTCACCCCTGGGCCCTGCCTGCTCTTTAGACACTGCCTGTGCTGATTGATTCCCCAGCTTCACGACCCCGCAGCTCGACACGAGGGCCATTGGATGCATCAGATGAGTGAGCAGATCGGCTAAATCGCGAAAAAAGAAAAATCCGCCCATTCAATCTAACGCACGATAGTCCTCTCTCGTCTCCGGGCTCAACTGCCTCCCCGGGTATTATGCAACGGAAGTTTACTAGCGGTGACGACTTTTCCGGCGCTTCCCTTCATGAACTAGATCCGCTGGCCCCAGATGACCTCTCTGAGACCTTGGGGAAAGACCTTTCGTTTCTACTACGACCAAATATTTATCACCCACTATCTCATATCGATATTCCTTCTCCACTTCGTTCCCATTTCATTGTCCTCGATCCTGGCGAACCCCTGTCGACAAACCTCGGCATTTTGGAGAAATTGCTGGTAGAAGGTCGCTTTCTGGTTGCAGCACACTTTGCGGGCTCAATTCTCACTTCGTCATTGATAACGCCCACCGATATAAAGATCATATTCTCCCTATTTTACACCCGTCTTGCCTGCCTGGAGCTTTCGGGAAACACAGTTCTCGCAGCACAAGAGTCGAAAGCCCTGGAGGACCTCAACTCCACATTCTACTACATTGACTCCAGTCTGGATTCCCCCAAGCAAGACAGTCAAAATGAAGAGCCCAGGGGTATTGAGGGCGACCCCTTCCCACGTCATATCGTTCCTTGGCCACTCCGCGTGCTTGCGGTTCGGCTTCAAAGCATTGGATTTGGGGACTCTCGCAGGAGTATTGGAGGCCTGTATGAAATTGGCCTCGAGGCAAGAGCCCGAATCATGAATAATGAGACCAGTGAATCAGAACGAAAAATCTGGAAAGAGCGGTTAGCGGATTTGGGCATGAGAAACGTGAATGCGTTAGTCGAGATGGGCGATCTCGATGCAGCTAACAGGTCGCTTGAAGGACTAGACACGTCTAGCTTAAAATCCGATACTACAAAGCTGAGAACAGCCCTTCTTTCCTTAAGGATGGGTGATATTGACGCGGCAAAACGAGTCTTCGATGATTCTCCTAATTCCAAGGGGTCTTCCTTGTTAAAACCCCTTATCAGCATGTCTGATGGGCGCTATCAAGATGCTATCGACGAATGGCGCATATTATTAGAAGATAACCAGAGAGCTGACGGGGCTCTGGTGGCGCACAATCTTGCTGTGTGTCTTCTTTACACTGGTCAATTGGATGAGGTACGTTGGCTCCCATGATTGAAATTGGATCGATTTGACTTATGATTTCCGCAGGCTCGCCAGCTATTGGAATCCCAAATCTCAGCCAACCACTCGTTCAGCAGCCTCATATTTAACCTTTCGACTGTATATGAACTCTGTTCCGACAACGCTGGCCAATTGAAAGGACAGCTCGCAGCCACCATTTCTAACCAGCCTATTTCTGGTCAAACCAACCTAGACCGATCAAACGCGGACTTTAAGTTATGATACGAATTTGAAATAAATGTGTCGTCTTGATTTATTCTAGTGTGTATGTAAAACGGCAGACCGAACACAACAAAAGCTGCCCTAAAAGATAATGACCTTGACCAAATACTATGCACCACCCATGCATCCGTTACCAAACAACGCCTTAAAAATGTTGACATCTCTATGCACGCGGCACAGACTCCGGCTTTGGAGGGGGGCGCGTCTTTGGTCGTCGGATAATGACCTTGTCTCCTTCTTTTTCCCAACCAAGCTTCTCGGCTTCGACCAGTTTTTCCCAGGTCCAGCTCTCCTCGTCTCCTGTACATCCACCCACAATCCAGCTGACGTGAACATTGAGGTATGCACTGCCCACAGCCTTGAGAGCCTGTCGTCGGACTCGACCCACGGCCCAATTCAGCACCGCACGCATGTACGAATCCACGCTCTTATGGGCTTGCCAAAATACAACCCAATTGTCATGCATCAATGCGGCCAGCACATTGTCAATAGTTTGTGATTGGAACCCGTATTCCTTCCGTGCCCGAGCACGCCACTCAAAGGCAGACACCATATCATTCTGACGACAGGCATAGTCGAGTATCAAGTAGGACACAATCTCTTTTATCTCGCAATCCGGTAGTGGATGGGCCTTGGAATGCAACCTCTCGAGGCTATATCGCAAGGAGGGGAAATACGATGGCGGGTGCTGCGCGCGGATTGATAAGCGGATAGAGAAGACATGCACTCGCTGGGAAAAAATAGCTGGCGTCGTCGCTGAAGTTGCAAGAATGGCCTCTCGCAGCTTTCGGAGGGAAAGGAGAAGAGTGGATAGCTCCGCGGATGGGAGAGGTCCCCCGCGAACAGCGGGGTTCGACTTGGTCGATGGTTGAGCGGCAGCTGGATTCGAGGTTACATCGTTGGACGAGCTGGTGGGGAGTGAGGTGAGTGCAGCATCGAGATCTTTGCTGTGGTGAGCGCAAAATTGCATGTATCTTTCGACTATCTTGTCAAAGTATTCTTGCTGGGCGGAGTTATCAAGCAATCTGCGGGGGATCCTTGTCAATAAACACCATCAATCAGGCAGGCCTTGAGGCGAACATACTTCTTGTCCCCCTTCGAGACAAACCCCACAGTCTCTAAGAAGTCCGCCACCGGTCGCAGCCGGCTTCCTGGTACTCGTTTCGACATGACGTGAGGATGTTCATCCTAGAGACGTTTGCCAATGACGGCAGGAGTGTCAGGCAGATAATCAGGCATCAATAATATAAGCCTCAGGCACAATTATTACCAAACAGGAAAACTGGCAGAACGTCCAGGCGGTCGGCACATGCGTTTGCACTGTTTGTGCCGAGGCTCCACCTAGTGGACCCACTATGGACTTTTTGGCTTTGGCTTTGGTTTTACCCCAACTACCCAACACTCGCGATTCTCATTCTCATTCTTGTTCTTGTTACATAGAGATCGCTGTGTGTTTGGAAATTTTTCGTATTCATGACATAGGTCATTGGATCCGCTTACCTGTCGTGCATAATCCTGTGGCTGATCCCGCCATTATTCGAAACCCTGCATCTCTTGCATGTGATCATGGCTCATCAGCGTCGTCAAGTACAGGAGAACCAGAAGATCGCGAAAACAAGCAGTCAAGATACGACATTGCCCACAGTTGTGAGGAAATTGCTGCATTGGGATGATCTACCTCACTGGCAACGTGACAACCGCCATATTCACACGGGTTATCGACCGGCCTCGTCTTCATTCTGGGTTTCGTTTCAATCGCTGGGCTACATCCACAATGAGACCGTTAACATTTACACTCATCTCTTACCGGGCATACTAGCTGTTCCTGCAGCCTACCAACTCTATCACGTCCTGGCGCCTCGCTACCACACTGCCGATGATTCGGATATATTTGCCTTTGCCTGCTTTTTCGCGGGGGCTGCGTTCTGTCTCGGAATGTCAGCCACTTACCATACAATCTCAAACCATTCGCCTGCCGTGGCTCGATATGGCAATGCTCTTGATTACATCGGTATCGTGGGGCTTATTGTAGGCAGCTTTGTTCCAAGCGTGTACTACGGATTCTACTGCGTTCCTCACCTCCAACACCGATACTGGACGATGATCTGCACTCTTGGTCTCAGGATGTGTGTGTGTCTCGGTTCTTCCGCGCTTCCGAACACCCCGTTGGAGGCCATTCCGAGCGGCGATGTTTGTCGGGATGGGCTTGTCGGCCGTCTTTCCCGTCCTTCATGGCCTCTTCGTTTTCGGATTCGACAGTATGCGCCAACAAATCGGTCTCACCTGGCTTCTTCTTCAAGGTTTCCTGTACATTCTTGGTGCGGGTATCTATGCCGCTCGTGTACCGGAACGGCTCTGGCCCGGGCACTTTGACATATTTGGCAGCTCGCATCAGATATTTCATGTATTGGTCGTCTGCGCGGCGGTGGCTCATCTGACTGGTCTTCTCAAAGCGTTTGACTATCGGCACAGCGGCACTGCCGAGATTTGTCAGATCGCACGCGGCTGAGTCTAGATGGCGAAGACAAGGAGGGGAAGGCGAGGTTGGACAGCATGCTCTTGGAATTATTTAGAGGTAGCATGGAATGAAACATACACGCTGTAGTGTACGTTAGCGGGGGAGACCTCTTTCCACGGCCTCTCCGGTCCCTGCTGACGATGGCCTAGCTTAGCAATGTGCAACAATGGCCATGGAAGAGGCGGTGTATCAATCCCTTCTGGTAAATACGCAAATACCGTGATTCCGGTCAGCCGAGTTCATCCTAAGACGTCCGGTTTCTTCACATGGCGCGCCATCTCCTAGTGGATATATCATTGGCTGGGCCTTGTCGACTTGTCAGCACCATGGGTTCGTGGAGAGCGAAAGTTAACGCCCAGCCATGACTTTACGATGTTGCATCCGGGTGTGCGACTTGGGAGGACCCCTATGTGAATCCAGGGACTTTGACGTGCCGTCACGAGCAATACTCCGGAATAGCAACAGCTCAGCTAATCCCGTCCGGGTCGGATCAGACTGCAGCATGGGGGAAATTCCGCCTAGGGGTAGAGAGGGCCCTTTTCAATGTGCCAGTTGGTACCCCATACGAGGTTGATCAGATGGAAGCATCTGGGGTTTCACAGCGGCTGATCTCTTAATGCGGCTGCCGCCGGTACAGGAATCACAATTCGAGTGTGACATTTTTCCCTGCGCTGGCTCTCTTCCATGAAGCTTGATTTTCTTATGTGTTATATATACAAGAATACAAGAGAAGCCCCAAAAAGAGAAACGAACCTCGAAGAGGGTGTCCGTGCTCTCTTTAGATGTGTGCTTCCTTTCCATTTGATCTCCTCTTTATATCGACTATCGATTCTTGTTACATCACCCAACTCTCCTCACTATCGAGTGACCCAGCTCAAATCTCGCCGATATCGCCCGTAGCTCCTCCCTCACCGACCTTGATGCTCCCCGAGACCAACGGCAGTCCGTATGCTGGGGGTGACGTACCAAAGCTCCGAACAGCATGCGAGAATTGTAGGCAGTCCAAAGTCAAATGCAACCTGTCCGGCAAAAACGTTTGCACCCGGTGTCTACGCCATGGCCTACAGTGCCAGTATGGCTTCGCTAACCGGTCCGGTAAACCGAAAGGCAGCAAAAATCGAGCCACGCTCCGGAAGCTGGGCCAGCTCCAAGAAGACAAGCCACCGATGCGTGGGTTCCGAGGCAGTCGACTTGTGCCTCCCATTCCCAGGCCTGACCGAGACCCAATGTCATCTGTGGGCTATTCGGCCCATGTTTCTGATCCGATGTTAGATGACGAGGTAAGCCCTGTACGCAATATCCGCCCTACTTATGCTGAACTTCATAGGTTTACCTTATCTCAACCCCCCCGGGTATTTGGGAGAGCCCACGGAGTTTCGGTAGCGGTGGGACATTGGAAAATTCTATATGCCCATCGCAGTTGACAGCAGTGGATGGCTCGCCTTTTACCGATCTTGTGGATTCTTGCCCTCCCCTGCCCATCGGTTTGGGCTACCCGCACACACCACGAACACCGACCTTTTTGTCCTCGGATGATTTGACAGACGGAATGGCAATTCCCCCATTCGGCGGGTCGATGTCGTCTCCCTTCCAAAGTGCGCCTTGTGAGTGTATTGATTTGCAGCTGTTCCACATGGACAGGTTGAATCATCTACTTGCCGACACGATGCCTCTCCGATTCGATCACAGCCTCCAGACGATTAAGACTACATTTTGCGCATGCCAAGTATTTCTACAATGTGGTAAATGTGCGAAGGACAATGCGAATTTACTCATGGTCATTTCGGTTCTTAACTTGACTGTGCAACTATTTGAATATTGGATATCACGCGAGACCTCGCAGGTCCCGCGGGCGGAGTTTGGAGTTGATATTCGGTACGGATACTATGAGGTCTGCCAGGACGAAAACCGACGAATTCGAACCTTTTCACTTCGGGGTTTGCTTTTACAATGCCGAGAGACGTTATCCATGCTGACGGCGGCAATCAACACTGCTTGCCTTGATGGGCCAAAGCTCGTCGATAACGACCTTGCGGTCGATTCCAAGCTGCTTATTGGGGACCCGCAAAGCATGGCTTGGCCATCTACGAGCTCGTGTATGCCAGTTATAGATTCGGATCTTTTAAATAACGGCGGTGGGAACATCTGTCTTCTCCCCATAATCGCCGGCTATGAAGCTAAGGTGGAATCTTTCTTACAATCGATCTCGTCAAACGAATGTATCTGTGGAGCCAAGGGCACGATGCGAGATGATTACATGTAGCATGGATGTGTATAGGTGAAGGAAACCTGGCGGAGGTCATCTTTTGTTTTGTTGTTCTTCTTTCTTGTTTTGTAATCTAGGGGAGTATCTTTTTTGTTTCGTACATAGGATTCCCAGCAGCTCGAGAGTAAACGCGGATCGGCTAATTCGATAGGAAGCAAATTGAACAAATAGGATACACCAGTTACTTGAGGGACTGCATTACATATTTATTATTTATTCGATCAAATTTATGTCCCTTTTCGCTCAGTCTTGACTCTTAACTCCGTCGTTGTGAGTAGCTTCAGTAAACCCCACACTTTTCGGTCCGCGGCGAGCCTCGGCATTTCTGATCGCCGAGCAATGCCAGGTGTATAAGGTCAGCCCCGCTTCCATTCTCTCTTTTCACCAACTCTTTGTCCATCTCAAAACATTATGGCTCCTTCCGATCGTCTTAATCAGGTCAACAAGCACCTTAACTACCCGGCCGGCATGCTTGCCGGTCAGGTTGCCATCATCACTGGTGCTGGCCAGGGTATTGGTGCCGAGGCTGCACGGCTGTTTGCGAACGAGGGCGCCAAGGTCGTGGTAGCTGATATTGACAGCAGTACGTGAGACTCTATCTACTCATATACATGCAACATGGTGCGATCTGTGCTAATTTCAGGCTTCATCAATCAGAAAAGGCCAATACAGTGGCTGACGCCATCAATGCCGCCGAATCTGGCCGTGCTCTCGCCGTGGTCGGTGATATCACGGATGCCAACTATATCAATGAACTGGTCAAGCGTACTGCAGAGTTCGGAGGTGGCAAGATTCATATCATTGTGAACAACGCCGGGTTCACCTGGGATGGGGTGATTCACAAGGTGTGTCGGCGAATTTTTCTTTCCTTTTTTTGAGCTCGGGTGATGCTGGTTGATAATACCATCGTCCTAACTATGATCTTTCCTGATTCACACCGTTGAGACTCGCGTGCTGATCATGTAATTGCCAGATGAGCGACAAGCAATGGGATACCATGCTTGCTGTGCATAACACAGCTCCCTTCCGCCTGGTACGAGCAGCGGCGCCCTACTTCCGTGTCAAGGACCAGGAGCCACGAGTGATTATCAATATCAGCAGTACGAGCGGCATTCACGGCAATGCGTAAGTTTACTTCTTCGTGTTCTGTTGAACACCCTTCTCTCTGGTTTCCCTTTCCATCCCATCTGTTTCTACACAGACAATTACAGATACCTCTGCACAGTTGGAAAAGCAATTATACGCAGCTCCATACAACAGAGATTAACATCATATAGTGGACAAGCCAACTACGCCGTCGGCAAAGCAGGCGTCGTCGGACTCACCCGCACCATCGCAAAGGAATGGGGCCCTGCATTTGGCGTGCGCTCCAACACCATCGCTTTCGGCTATGTGACCACTCGCCTGACAGCCGCTAAGGAAGCGGGCGCCTTCATCACTGCCCCTGACGGCACCAAGGTTGCTCTGGGAATTCCTGGCAAGCAGCTAGCCACCAAACAGGGCGACGCAGATGCCAACGCTTTCCCGGATATTCCGCTCCGGCGCCCAGCGAGCCCTGAGGAAGCAGCGCGGTCAATTCTAGGCGTCGTCAGCCCCTACTTCTCCTACGTGAATGGGGAGACTATTCGTGTTACCGGGGGCCGTAATATGTGATGGGGATGTGACATGATGAGATTCATTCAACTAGCTCTTCCCTCTTCCCCCTCTATCAAGCGAGTGTACATAACCTACATAACGGTGACTAGTACCAATACTTCTACTTCTTCACCCAATCGTTCCGAAGGCAAGTAATGCGTACAGAACCTTGCTGTCCAGATCAAACCAATTACCTTTATAGAACGAGTCATGGGGACAGATTCAATTCCGTAGCCATTGGTCTTTTAGAGTAATTACAGACTCGCCTTCTCGGGCTGGCGCTCGTCAAGGTTCATTGATTCACGTCTCACTTGGGCAGCAAAGACGGGTCTCACGGTGCCACGGTCTATCTGGAACGACCACACGAAACGTACCGCAGAACCGGGCCAGGGCCACGATGTTCGGCGGTGCCGTAGGACTGCGCAACGTTGCACGGGGGGGTTAGTGAGACGAACATTAATTCAATGATAAGGAAGGAGTTAGTCAAAATGGATTGTGAGTAGGCCGGGAGGAAGACTAAAGTTCGTTCCAACCTAGGATGGTTCCTCAAGGCTACCCTTATAGCAGTTAAGTTTACCAGCATTAATCGTATCTGAATGTCAAAGAGAAGAAGGTTGTGTTGCGTAGCGATGATGCAATTGTTTTGCTCCATTTGGATTCCCAAGGTATCATATCGTAAAAAGTAAGCCGACGCATCCAAGCCATGCCGCGAAAAATGTCTATGCACGTGATGCAAAATGAATCACCAAAAAAACCGAGATCAGATCAGATCACCACCCATAAAGTCATCAAAGAAAAGAAGAAAAAGAAACAAGCAAATATAGACACCATCGTTTCCAACCAGATGAAACGAACCAGAAATGAAAGAAATAACAAGCAGGGTTCAACCCATCCCCGTCATTTGATAAAACGCCAGATAAAAGAAAAATAAAAAACCGGCGGCACAGATATCAAAACCAATATCCATCAAAGGCCCCACGCTGAGGTATGATCTCTGCAGTTTTGCCTCCCCAAAATATTACCATTTCGAAAAAGAAACAAAAAAAAATCAACAAAGAAATAGACAAAGGTTCCTCCCGGTATGTGTGGAAAATATTAAAACAATCGAAAATAAAAAAGAATTCAAAAGTCCGGAAGAGTGGATGAGAAGCCCAGAATCCGGTGGGCGATGCAAAGGTAGGACTCGAGAGCTGCTCGAGGCCGATTTATGGTATGGTCCAATCAAAAAGAAATACATGTCCAGTAAGAAAGGGAGAAATGGTCAGCTGGTGGCCAAGTCCAAATGGGCAATGGCTGTCCGTTATGGGTAGCTTTTGAAAAAAAGAAAAGGGCACCCATAAGAAAGTTATAACCGGTGTATCGAAACACCAATGCGACAATTATCTGGGTCGGATGTGGTTAAAAAATCGTGGCAATAGAAGAGCGTAGAGGTCATGTAGGTGCGTCGTAGAGAAGGATGCGAGGGGAGATAGGAACCCCTTAGCAAACCGGAATCAGTGGGCCCATTAAGATATCGGGAATGGGCTGCTCCACGCAGTTGGAATGGGGGAAGACCACCTTGCAGTCAGGCACTTGTTGCGATACAACAGGTGACATGCAGTTGAGATCTGAGTAGTCATCTGTGATGGCAGAAGTATCGGACACGGCAGCCTCGGAAAAGTCTGAATAGTGTGAGGAAGAGTCCGAGGAAGAACCAGAGTGCTGGGCATGCATAGGGTCCACGAGAATGTTGAAGGGCATCTGGGGCTGGACGTAGTAGTCGGTCTGCGGGATCTGGTCCTGCACCCAGGGGGCCTTGGGCGTCTCTGTGAAGCGAGGGCACCCCAAGATCAGTTGACGCAACTCTGGGATGGTGATCCTCTTGGCTGGGTCGCGTTCAAATACCCGGCTAAGAATACAAACCATCTCCGTGGAAAGAGGGAGGATGGACTTGAGAAAGAATGGATCCTTCAGGTACTCCCGGAATGTGGAATCCTCCATTGAAGCACGCTTCCATGGGTTACGGCCACAAGTAAGATTGACTAACATGACGCCGAGGCTCCAGACGTCATTGGCGGCTGAGACGTAGCAAGACATGGGTCGAGGGTTGGTTTGCTGACATTCTGTGTTTCGGATTTATTAGGAGGGGCTGTCTCACTGGGAGGGGGGAGCTTTCAAAGGAGATGACGGATCTCTAACTTACCAGGTGACATGTAGAAGGTAGAGCCACAGCCAAAGTCCGAGGTGAAATAGTCCGTGGTTGCGAGGCCAAAGTCGGCAAGCTTGACAGTCATGGCCTGGTCTGTGACAAGTACGTTCTCGGGCTTGAGATCGCGGTGGTAGATTCCAAGATTGTGGCAGAACTGCACGGCATCTAGCAGTTGCAAGAACACGCGCTTGACCAAGGGGTCATTCCCGACGAAGTTTCCTTTATCGGTAATGCTGGAGAACAGATCACCCTCCGGGCAGAACTCCATCACGACATAGGTGCAGTCCTGGGAATCCATAATGCGAACCAATGAAACCACGTTAGGATGTTGACTCGCCAAGTGGTGGAGGCGGATTTCGCGTTGCTGGTATTTCAACTGGCGGGGATCCAGGCCATTCTTGTTGAGCGCCTTGACGGCGAAACGGATATTGGTGTGGATATCGACGGCAGTGTAGACAACACCGTACGCACCCACACCCAGAATGCCAGTCAGTTCAAGCCGGTTGGCTAAGATAAATCCTAAGCGGTCCTCGGGAGCATAACAACGGGGTGATGGCGATGGTGGCGGAGTGGGAAGCATGGTAGGATACATGATCGCCGTCACAAGGAGAAGAGGGCGAAAGAAGATGATATACGTAAATAGGTCCAAGTCGTGGAAAGGAATGAGTTATCCTCTCTGTACTCCCGGGGGGCGGGAATATAGAGTTGTAATGGGGGGGAGGGGAGAGGCGGGATAGGTCCTGGCTTTTTAGAGATCCAAAGTCCACGGCATTCAGAGGCAGGAATCCATTCCACGGGGAAGTCCAACTGGTCCTAGGGAGAATATTTCTGTTGACAGAGAGAAATTTCGGTCCAGATGGAAAGCGGTATATAGAAATCAAATCAAATATCGAACAGCAACAACCGGATGGGAAAGGAGAGAAGTAGCACAAGGCTAAGAATCGAATTGTTATGGTTGGGGGGGGGAGGCCCCATAGATAAAAATAATCGATGATGCGTCCAGTTCGTGGGCATAGCCCATGTGGACAAGCTGCGGGCCAGGCCACCGTGGCTTTCGACGCTTCGACAAGCGGTGTGCAGGCAAATGCGACCCACAGGCCAATCAGGGCCACCCCGAGTGCAGCTATGCAGGCGCCACCTGCAGGCGGTGATTGGGTGGAGCCGGGGGTCGCACATAACGATCGTCTGGCGTTGCAGAAGCCTCCTGGAAAATAGGGGCCGTTGGCCGTGTGGCAATAGTTGAGGGGGGTGGTCTGCGGGTGGATACACCACTGGCCACTGGGTCTGCTGTTGGTCTCTGTTGGTCTCTGCTGGCGCCTTTCTGTTGGTGGTCCCGCCACCTCATCGGATCCAACGAGGATCCAGCCCCCCCTTTCCTCCCAGCCCCGCAGGATGATGTGTGTGGATACGAGTTTAGAAATGGAATGGAATGGAGGCGATGTTTCTGCCCTGTGTGGTTTCACCTGTCCATGGTTCCAAGGGGCGATAGAAGTGTTGAAATTGAATGCAGACCATCGAACCTCCCAGACCACCAGCATGACTGGATCACTCTCTTCCGTGCTTCCCACGGCCCCTCCTCTATGCCTCCATGCCCCCATGCCCCTTCTACACCGCGAGTTTAGGTCTTTCCACAGGCAACTTTATTCCCCACCGCGTGAGAGTATGAGTGATGGAACCGGGATTCTGGGAAGAGTCTGGAAGTGAGGCGATGAGGGAGGGGCGCTCTGGCCAACCATTTGCCCAAGGCGTTCGTTTTCGAGAATAGTGTGGAGATCGTTAGACCTTCGCACGGGCCTGGGAGGAAGAGACCCTGGCAGCAGAGATGGAGATTGATTGGGTGAAGGAAGGGAAGGGCCGACGCACAGCCCAGGTGCGGCCTGTGTGACTTGGTGTCTGTTTTGACTCTGTGACTCTTTGGTCTGACTCTGACACTCTTAACGCCGAAGTCAGACGTTGCGAGAGGAGAAAGGTAGACTTTCGGGGGCTGGTCCAGTTGGAGTGTAGCGCCAAGGCAGAGAAAGTGTTGCCCGGTGATCCCCCACTACTCCTGTTACTCCTGGTACTCCGTAAGCACTCCCACTTCCTGCTCCTGCTTCTGTTGCAGTCAGGTGATGAGATGCATCACATCGCTCCTTCCCGCAGAAACCCTTCCCGCGCACCTGCCGTACCCCAGGATTGGCACTGCAGGTCTCCGACTGTAGAGTACAGTATGTACATACTGTAGCTCCGCTCTGTCATCTGTTATGCTGTGCTCTGTACTCTCCGTATGTACTCGATGGCATAGCTGGTACTCCCTACTCCCTACTCCTACACTTCACCGCCATCTTCTACATCACAACGACCTGCATGGAATATTACTCCATACTCCATACTCTACTCCCCACTAGTCCTGTTCTATTGCTGCAGGAATCAAGCTATTCAAATTATCCAAACTATGTAATATCCTATGTACTCCTCTGTACAGAGTACTCCGTACCGAGTACTCTCAATTGAGATCTCAGCCAATCCGCATGGCGTACTATATTCCCTCGCCCCCTCACTCTACCTTTCACCTCCCTATGGTTATGATTATTCAAGTTACTACTCCATACTCCGTAGTATTATGATGATCCTCCCTATCCTGCATGTGGCGGAATGCCGCAGGGGTGCGGCCACGCAGATTACCTCTGGCGGGACCCACATAATAAACACATCTCGACATCATTCAAAAACTAACAGCATCATCCTAACAATCTGGTGGTTGTTCGCGGATATCTTTGCCACTGGTAAGAAAGACTACTTGTACACGGTAGCAGAAAGGTGGCAATGGAAAGGCTGGGACCAAGCCGGAACTCAAGATCGACGATAGCTCGCCTTCGAGAAAACTCTCCTCGACCCGATGCCGCCATCCGTCCTATGGGATTCTTTTCCAAGGCGTCCCAGATAACCATGCGGCCGCGCTGCTCCATTCTCCATCCGGCATAGTCCGCAGGACCCAAATATCTGGGAGAGGAGAAGGCGAGGGAGAACGAGGATACCGTATTTCTCTGTCCAGTGATCACAAGTTAGCCACCCAATTAATTATTGCCAGATAGGCCAATCGGCTGCAATCCACCCCAATGGACAGCTTTCATCCCCATCCGTCTTCGCCCTATTTGCCCACGTCTCGGGCAATCCGGAAAAGCACTGAGGAACCGCCTGCTCCTCACACGATGACTTGGCTTTGCGTCCTCTTAGTGGTCCCTTCCCAAGGAATTCTCTCACGGCAATGCCGGCCGACGAAAGGGGTAAAAGAGAAAACCGTTTGTGATGCGTCAAGCCGGTAGCCCCTCTCCATTTCCTTCCAGCGATCAGCAGTCAGATTTGTACTCCGTACCGTGGATCATTGATGTCAGAAGCGCTGATCTAGAATTCCTCCGTAGATAGAACCTGTATGTATCGAATGCGAGCTGGCCTATGTACGGAGTGCTTGGAATTGCTAGAGTGAGCCGTGGATCCGGGGATTTCAGAGTAATCTCTCTTCTTCCAATGATCGTCCTTGATCAGTCCATATCTCCAAGGCTGCTTTGCATACGGACGACGGATATGTCCATAGGCTACTCCGTACTCCCTCCATAGAACTCAGTAGCCACGTCTGATCATTGGGTGTAAAAACTCGGTTCCCGGAATCACTTCGTCGATTTCTAGGATGGCATCACACCCACCTGAATGCAGATGCGATGGTGTCTTGCAGTAGCTCTCCCCATAGGCTCGGCATTCTCTTGGAAGCCGCCACCGACAAGGATAGACGACGATGATGTCGTAGTCCATAATATCTCCACCTTCACTGTGATTCTCCGAACTTCTCCAGACAGGGTACGGAATACGGAAGCAGGCTTCTATTCCAGGAGCGGCGGTGGAGAGGCGAGTGGGGCGTCGGGCTGAAGCTGGGGGTGAATGGGCGGAGGCTGAACTGAGAGGATGCCTTACTATCAGCTGATCTGTCGACTATGCAGCATTGCGAGAGGTGGTTCGCTGGGCCCACGCTAGAGTGTGTAGAGCGATCAATAATTTGGTCTCCGCAAAAGCAACGTGTCAACCTCCCGACATAATGTACTAGTAGTGGTAGTAGTAGTAGTAGTAGTACGGATAGTAGTAATCTTTTTGGCCCCAATCTCCCAGAGCCGCATAGCCCCTTTTAGAATGTTTGCTTTGAGGATCTTGTGAAAATGGCACATCTTACTGTATCGCTTTGAATGGATCATTCAATGCAGCAATCCGTACGGAACGAGTAATTCTTAAAGAATATAATGTATGTATACAGTGTATTCAAGTTCAAGTGTCCGACCAGTACGTACTACTAACCAAGTCGGCTCCGAATATGCATGGAGTGATCACTATCACATCCGAGTCCCGAGGGCTTTAGCGCAAGCCTGAGGTTCCATGCAGTACTCCGTACGGAGTAGTGAAATGTGAAATGCAAGGGAGGCTGATCTCGACCTCGTAAAACGTTCAACTATATGCATGATGGGATTTGCTTGCTTGAAAACTCCGGGCTGCTAGTGCTAGTAGTAGAAGTATTTCTTCCTCTTGGAATCTGTCGATACATCGGATCTTGGGGTACTTAGATACGGGGCTCACGGGTAAAATCAACTGTTTGAAACGGAACGATCGTTCAAGCTGTATATTGCAATTGGAAATTGGAGGTTTCAACAATACTAAGTATACCTAGGTATTGTACCACCAGAGCCTTCCCAAGGTTCCAATCTAAGAATACTACATACTCCGTACTAGTTCTACGTGCGAAAACGGTCCTTGAAGTTATGCGGTAAATATATTGGGATATGGCGCTAGGTTATTGTTGATCTAATTAACTTGACCAAGCTCAATCTCCACAGGAAAGGGAGAGGCCTGGAATATTCCACGCACAAAATATAAAGATGATATCAATAAGGATACTATGTAAAACCGACCTTTTCACTATTTGCGGGTTAAGAAAGGGTGTTTCAACGCCTCGGCAGGGGTGCAACGTTTCTCAGGGTTCAGACTGAGACAACGGTCCAGGAAATCCACAAATGATTGTAAGTCTTTCACCTCCACATCTGACATTCCGCGCGTGCCCTTGCCCATGAGTCGGGTTTTGATATCGCGAGTCGGTTTCTTGAAATCCACAATCTTCGTGACAAGACGCCCGGTGATCTTGTCTTCCTCGGTGCCGTGGAAGTTGAGCATGTCATCGAAGTGGAGGTGGGCGAGAGATCCTCGCCGAAGGAGTTTAGGCGGGTACTTTCCGCGACACTCCATGATGGAACGGAGCATTTGGTTGTTGTTGCGACCGGTGAAGAGGATTTTGCCGGTGTAAAGCTCGAAAAGGGTGCACCCGATGGACCAGACGTCAATTGCATAATCATAAGGAATACCGAGAATGATCTCTGGAGCACGGTAGAAACGACTAACGAGGTAGGGAGTAATCTCATTGTCCGAGGCGGAAGATGCAGATCCCAGATCACACACTTTCAGGACGTTGAGCTGTTCACTGACAAGCAGATTGTCTGGCTTCAAATCCGCATGCAAGATGTTACACTTGCGCATGAGGCCGAGTCCTAAGAAAATCTGCTGAGCATAGGCACGGATGGCGCCTAGATTCAATCCGACATCTCGTCCAAATTTCTTGAGAACCTCACGAAGATTCAAACTGAGATTCTCGAAGACCATGCACAAATGGCCCTTGTGTTCGAAATAGCGCTCGAATTTGATGAGGTGCTTCTTGTCTTCAGGGTCGGCCTCGCGCAGTTGCTCTAGGATATCAATCTCTTTCATGCCAGCTTTTCGCATGGTGTCATTCTGGCGAATGATCTTGATAGCAACCAGCTTGTTGGTCTTGGAGTCGGTAGCCCGTACGACAGCTGAAAACATTCCCTTGCCGAGGGTTTGGGTGACATGGTATCGACCGTTGATCAACTCACCAAGCCGCACGTTATAGTACCCCTCGGAATCATCCCAGTTGTCCATCATGCTAATATCTAGTTCCTGGGGCTGTGGGACAGCCATCGCTGATGCATGGGAAGGATGGTCATCTTTCGGGTCTTCGGCAAACATGTCATCGTCATCGTCTTCAGCAAACATGTCATAAGGATCCTTGGCCTTTGATGGTACTGGTGCTGGTTGTTCAGGGGCAGCGTCGGGAATCAGGATGTCCTGCTTTGCGGCTATTGTCTCGTCATAGGCAGCGGATGATACATCATCTTTCGAGCTCTGAACTCCACTGTGTTTTTGTGTCTCTTCTTTCATGTCAAATGTTGGATCGTAATCTGCAGCGGAAGGCTCGTCCTTCTCAGAGCCATCTACAGGGGTTCCAGGATTGGCGAGGTCAGCGTCCTTGCCAATGTTAAATCCAGGAAAGGAGTCTCCAGCCAAATCCTTAGATGTCTGAGACGGAGACAATTGCGGTGAGCCTAGGGCTACAGCAGAGAGGTTAGTTGGCTTTGCATGGTCATGTCTCGGGTCGCGAAGCATACCTGACTTGTCTAGTGCGCTGGTGGACTCTGCGCCGGGTGTAGATGTGTCAGTATCTACATCAGCATGAACAGCTTTCAGATGCAAGGGCGTTGCCTGACTCCGATATTTCGCTCGGATCGCCTCGCGCCGTTTTCGACGCGCCTCTAAAGCAGCGGCTTCGTCGACTGGCTCAATCGACTGGGGTTCTTCTGCCATTTCAGGCGTCTCCGATCTGTAATTGTTATTAGCTACACGATTCTTGAGGCAGGTGTTGGGTAAACATACTCATCAGCAAAATGGGCTCGCCTGGGCAGAGCCCGCTGCACCTGATTCTCTAGTTTTTCAGCATGAAGCTTAGAGTCCCGAGTACTAGCAAGAGCCTTTTTCTCACTCGTCACCTGTTCACAAGACGGCCTGAGCCTCTTGGTATCCGTTAGAGGAAATGCCCCGTTTGTTTTCACATCTGATTCGCCGTACTGCTTAGGCTTTCGAGCTTCGCGATAAGGGGATCGGCTCCGGGGGCGCGGTCGTTTGTCTTTTCGAGAATCGTGATCCTGGTCGTCGGTATACCGCAATCCGCCACCATAACCCTCCTCACGGTCGTAGTCATAGTACGACTTTGGGCGGCGGTGAGGTACGGCTCGATCCTGGGTTCTTTCGTCATATCTCGATCCATAACGGCGGGTGGAATCGTGTCGAGCGCGACTGTTTTCGTAATCATCATATTCGTCGTTGCGTCTGCGCTTGTAACCTCTGCTGTCGCGATACGGGGATCGGGATCTTGAGCGCGACCGGGACCAGGATTTCCGTCGGCGTGGTGATGTACTGCCTCTCAGGGATGAGGGAGATCTGAGCGCCGATGAAGTGCTATCTCTGAGGGGACGGTCAACGCTGGTGCCATTTAAAGGAGGTTGTGAGGCAGTTGCCTTCATCTCAGAACCTGATTCAATGATCTCACCCTCAGAAGGGGTCGACGGAGACCGCGACCGGTGATCCAACGCCATGTTGATGGACTATCGCTGGGGAACAATTCACCACTGAATGGAATCGAAATTTGCTTCTTTTCTTCTTTCTTTCCTCTTGATGAAATGTGTTTTCGGCCTTTGGAGGAGGCTTCAGCAACCAAAGCTCAGTTAGCACGAGCTCCAGAGATAAAACCAATTGTTAGGTATTTGAAAATCCAACCGGCTTGAGGGGCCTGCCTTCGCACCAAAGCCTCAAAACTTTGATCAATCCAAACACATGCGAGACCCAATATTGGCAAGTTGATGAATGCAAAGTATACAGTCGAGGTCAATTCGATTCTGTGCTGGTAGGAAGATGAAGAAGAGCGGAGGTCAACCAAAATCGCCTCGGGGAATTCCCGCTCCATCCCTAATACGGAAAGCGGTATGACCACCCCTCTGATAAGCGTCTCTGGGGGATTTTTTCTTTTGCCCTCGCCGCTGACAACCCCTCAACCCTCTTTTTTCGATCAACCCTCTTTCGTTTCAATCTATTTTCACATCTCAAAATGGGTGGCGCAAGCAGAGAAGGTATGCAGACATTGTCTCCTTTTTTCCTCTTCAGATACTCCATTTCATTTTCAAGAATAATCAGACTAACGCTCGTTCTCATTACTAGGTGGCAAGGTCAAGCCTCTCAAGTCCGCCAAGAAAGAGAAGAAGGAACTGGACGAGGATGAGATCGCTCACCGTGAGAAGCTCAAGGCTGGTAAGTTTTACTCTCACGGCGGAATGCTTCCATTGCCTCTCTAACACGAGACACCACAGACGCCAAGGCCAAGAAGGACATGATGGAATCGGCCAAGGGCAAGAAGGGCCCGCTGAACACCGGCCAGCAGGGCATCAAGAAGTCGGGCAAGAAATAAGTGATCGTTGGAACTTGGACACCTATATTCGCATGTCCGCCCGCCACTTCTCCAGGGACTTCTCAGTCCCTTTCACGACCTCAACGAGCCATACCTACGAGCGATTCGAGAGGGTGGTATTCCTCCACTTTAGCAATCAATATCAAGAGCAGTACCTTGAATGTACTTCTGTATATACATAAGCCATCAATACCAGCCATCTTTCAAAAATCTTCGAGGAAAAAAAGAAGAAAAAAGGTTGGAAGACCAATTTTATAGATTTAGGAGATTTAGGAGATCGTTTGGATATACAAAAGAAAGAAAAAACAAGACAGGAACCCTTGCTAAAGAACGGAAACGGAACGCTGGGGAATTAAATATCACCAAATAGCACACGGGGTATCCAAATCAGAATAATAGATGAAATAGGGACTAATCGCCGCAGGGAAACCTTGAAAGCACTGCGTCTCTCTCGTTGCCTTGGTTGACACTCAACTCGTGACGCGCTTGATCCAGAGATTACTGCCATCGCCATTATTCTCCTTCTCGTCCAGCCGTCTCCAAGCTCGCGCGACCTTTAAGCCAAGTTCGTGCTCCTCACGCTTAATCTCCGCAATCTCATTTTCGATGCTCTGCACACTCTTCTTCACTTCTGCCTTCGCGGCCACGTCATATACGAAAGAACCGGGCTGGATCACCCGAGTCAATTCATGGATGACCGTTTCCAGGTTGTGCCTGCGCTTCGCGAGTTCATCTCGTTTTGCCTCGAGAGACTCGATCCGGCCTACTGCATCCTTCGGCTGATCCTCGATGGGATTCTGAACGGTCAACGTCGGCTCCCGGGTTACCTCCGAGGGCGTGGGTTTTCGTACTGGCTTCTTAGAGACCGGCATACCTGGCATGCCTGGCATATTGATAGGAACTGGTCGTCGACGAGACATAATTGAAGGGAGGTCATCCGTAGACTTTGAGTCGAGCTGAAGGCTTTCACGCGGGCTCTCACCCGGACTGTCGTTGGGACTGTAGGTCTTCATGGTGGACTGGATCCTGGCGCCCCCGCTGGTTGGCCTCATCATTTTTTCGGGTATGGTGTCGACAAAACTAATCTCATCTCGATTCCGTTGCTCTAGCTGTTTGGGTCGTTCTGGGTATACTCGGGGATTGCTCGAGGGAGCATACTCCGTAGCCGGTCTCTCTGGCAACGTTTTGGGGGGATCACCAGCAGTGATCGTCGTTACAGTCGTCGGAAGGAATCCAAGCGTATTGTTGAACCGGGGACTCGCGTCTCTCGTGCCAGAGTGATTGCCGGAATGCTCTGATAATGGGAGCACACGTGACGATGATCTACCTCGAGTTTCCTTCTGCGTAGTAGGCTCGTTTTTCGAAAAACTGCTGATCCGGGTTCGAGCCTGTGCGAGCTTCTTCTTGGTTTGGAGTTGCTCTCGAACCCCATGGAGGAAATTGGATGCGTGTGATCCGGAGGGCTTGTGAAAGGTAGTGCTACGCGGGTTCACCTGGCTTGTTTTGCCATTATTGTTGTCAGTCGGTTCTCCTGAGTAATCATCCCAGCGCATAGGTTGGCTTTGATCTTCGTGTGTGGCGAATTGCACAGCCTTTGGCATAGGATGTGCGGGTTTCGGAGCTAAGGGGGAAACATCGAGCTGGGGGAGCGGCGCATTGACAGAGGTCCGAGAGTTGTCGCGGTTATGTTGAATAGGTTGATCAGTCTCATTGATCGGCGAGACGCAGAAGCTACTTCCACTATCACGTCTGCCTGTAGGTCCAAATTCTGGCGATAATTCTGGGGAGACGGTGGAGTCTCTCTTGTCGTCGATAGCACCCCGCACCAGTGGCTGGGCTGCGGACTGTTGGGGCAACGAGGAGCTTGATGCGCTGCGAATAAAATCGGGATTAGGATAAATGGACAGGTCAGATCGATCGTTTGCACGCTTACCTTGGCAAGGCGGGCAGGTCCTTTGTAACCAGCGAGGGATCCGCAGAAGCCGAGATGTTCGTCATATCATCCGGTGTGGGGTTGTTGTCAGCCGGCCGTCGCGATCGACTAAACGGTCCTTTAGGCCACATTTTGATCTGCGGGGTTGTGGTGAATCGACGAGAGACCGTTGCAGATCGAGGATTTGCGGTCTGTGATGCCCTCTGGTCGAAGAGAGGAGGCTGAATGAAGAGGGTTGACGAGCAAGGAAGCCTGGCGAATACAACACCCTTTTTGTTTACCCACGGGAATCAAAGAATGGGTGCGGACCAACCAGCTGAACCCAAAAGCCTGTCAGATGCTTTGGGCTGTCAGGTTGTCAGACTGTCAGATTGTCAGAAAGGACAAGACTAAAGAAAAAAAACAAGGCGCTTCTTCAAAAACCAGCATGGCATCATTAGACTACCCTAAGTGGGTAGCGACAAATTAAAATGGGGGCGATTGACGAGTGGAGTTGAAACATGGAGCTTTCAGGGACTGGGCTGTGTTGGCAAGGCCGTTTCATATGAGAAGGAGGGGGGGGCTTTGGGCGCCAGTCGGAGAGTTATTAATAACATGGACATGACCCCTCATGTTTGGGTATTTGATAGAAGTGAGCATATTTCATTAATCAGTAATCATGTAGATTCAATGTGTAACAACACTCTCTATGTGTGTTAAAAGTAGTAGTTGTAACTACACAAATAAGCGGTATCACGTGGATGATGACATCGTCCCCGCTTTGCAGCTCCTCCGCAGACTCCGATCGGTTCTCTCGATCGTCCTGTCAAAAATACTCCCTTTCATCATATTCCTGCCATTCCATCCATCATGGCCTCTACTGGTAACAATGTCTCAGTGTCCCATGCATCTTAAGCTCTGCTAATCGGTCCTAATCCAGAGGAATCTGTACCACCGGCCGAAGTGTCCGTCATCCCATTGATCCATCAATCACCTCAAGGATAAAAGAATGCCGTGCTAATCTTCTACAAACAGCATGTCCGTCGCCTCACCCATCAACCTCATCCTTCTCTCGCTCTTCGTTGTCCTAGTATACTATCATTTCCGCCCAAAGCAAGCCATCAGCCTCCCGCGCGGTCCGCCCCCCGTTGTTTTCCGCACCTACACTCCCAAGACGTTGATTGAGTTCAACGGCGAGAATGATCGCCCCGTGTACCTAGCCGTGCGGGGTCGTGTATTCGATGTATCCCCCGGCCGAAACTTCTATGGACCGGTAAGTGAATGACATTCTCCGTCGATCTCAATGTAATAGAAATTCCCCACCGCAGATTTGCTAACAAGCTCGATCTTATTAAGGGTGGCCCGTACGAGAACTTCGCTGGCCGCGATGCCTCGCGTGGCTTGGCTCACCAGAGCTTCGATGTCGAGATGCTGACGGACGACCTGTCAGCCCCATTGGATGGGCTCAAGGACCTGGATGCCGATCAGCTCGAAAACCTCCAGTCGTGGGAAGACCGCTTCTCTGAAAAGTATCTGGTAGTTGGTAAGCTCGTGGCTGAGGGGGATCCTGAGGCACCCAAGTCTTAGTCTGCAATGTTGATCTGAGCATTATCGACATGAAATTGCCTTTTGGGCGATTGACAGCGGCAAAGGGAAGAAGATTTTGTTATGACAATAGGCGTACACTATTCTCACTCATGGAAAAGCCACTTCGAGCCTCATCCGGGTTTTGATCCGGTAGCCTGGATTGTGGATTTCATCTACGGCTTCAATTGTGAATAGACTAAGCCGTCTCCTCATTTAGGGCTCAAATACGTGTCATCTCCAACCTTGGTATATTCTATGGCTGGCAATTCGGATAATAACTATGACCATACCTGTATTGATGATTGACCTGGATGGGCTTTCTATCCCACCACCTAAACGGTTGTCTATCTAAGCAGTAGTTACTGCATACTACAAGTAACACAAACACTCTATAGTTATAGAGACAGCGAGAGGGAGGTGCCCATGTGTATGAATGATAACTGTGCTCTGGGGCATACCTAAACACCCTTATCTCTTCCCTATCACTGCCTCGGGCAATCCTTACCTTCAAGTTGCTGAAAACCGAGGCTTCCTCCACCGTGATCATATCCACACCAACGGGCAGCGATAAGAAGGGCTGTTTTAATGGCTACGAGGCTGTGTTCGACAGCGGTATCTCGTTATAAACGCGATCAGGACCCCATTTCCGCTAATCGTTTCTTCGATATCCAGCCCAGGGTAGCTACCACTACACTACCATGTCTCTACTACGAAGTACCCCAATAGCTATTGAATAGCCTTTGAAAAAGTAGAATTCAATCACAGCAATAACAGAGTATCTGCTGGTTGCGGCACTTCTTGAATTATCTCTTAACCCATACCTCAATACCACGAGCAACGACAGCTCGAGCAATAGCAGCTAGAGGTCTTCCGTCAAGTTGCTTTTTTGCTAAAAAGGCCAACGCCTGTGGTTGATCATAGTCTCTGGGATCGAGTTTTTGGAATATTCCTCGGCAAACAGGATCGGGATCATACTGCAGTAGCAATTGAACGACGGAGATGTGATTTCGGGTCGCTGCGATTTGAATCGGGGTTTCATCTAGATGGTTCAATGGCTCCATCGCCACATCGCTCTCAAGCAATCGACGTGCGGTATGGAAATCACCGTAATGCGCAGCTTCATGTAATGCAGTGTTCCCGCGTCCATTGGTTGTCATCGTATCAGCGCCCGAATTTAGCAGAAGTACTGCCATTTTGTTGTCGGATATTCCGTAGCTTATCGTACGATGAAGGGGTGTGAAGTTTAAATCCCTCTGCCGGACGTCGACATAGGCGCCGTAATTCAACAAGAGGCGCGCGGTGGCGATTGAATGATTCACAACGGCGTGTAAAAGCGGTGTTTGTCCATTAATGTCCATCGCGTCAATCACTGCTCCCAGTTCAATCAAGCGTTCTGCAACTTCTGGGAAGTCAAAGTAAGCAGCATAGTGCAACGCGGTATTGTTACCGGGACCCAGGGTCCTCACATCGAGTTTGTGGCTACTCTCGTGATCCAGCATAAGTTTAAGCAGAGAACTCTTGGATGATTTGTGATCGAGGTTGAGAAGTAGCTCTTCGTTTTGGTGTTGGCCTGCATGGAACGCTGGGCAATTGAACAAGACCCGGTCTTTGGGTTTGAGAGCCCAAATGAGAGGAGATGTATCTCCCCATCGACAAGCATTCGGATCTGCTCCGGCATCTAGAAGCAACCGAACCATATCAGTGTTTCGATTTTTCAGGGCCATCATCAAAACATAGCCTTGCTTTGTATCTGGATTGGCTCCGCTGGCAAGTGAAAGCTGTGCAGTCCTCATGCGATTATTTTCACTGGCAAAGACCAGAGCGCGAGCTCCAGATCGGGCATCTTTAGCATACAACACGGGGTTGAAGAGCTCATAGAAAAATCGGTTGCTTCTAGCCAATGCAGCGATCCCTCTCTTCTCATTGATGCTGTCGGCGATGTGGAGAAGCATTTCATTCGGCAGGCCGAAAATGAGTGGTTGAAACTTTGGAGGGAGAGCGACAGAGGGCTGAAGTGAGAGTAAAGTTAGAAAATGAATATCCGTCTCAAGAGAAGGGGAAATGATGGCTTGCGTTAGTAGGGTCCATGGTGGCGATCAAAGAATTGTACGAGCGAGACAGGATGAAAATTGGTGAGACAAAATGAAAGTAGGAGAAGTGAGTGAAGCAGAGAGTTGTTGGTGATGCAGGGACGGGTGCACATGCGGAAGAGAGCTTTGAACCCATTGAACATTCCCTGTACTGATCACCATTACTCTTAATTTAGGTCAGAAACATCTACTAGTATATTAATAAAGTGTGAACTTATTAGTATAATTTCTATACTAATAGTGAACCATACAAACTGTTCCAAATTATATCTCATCTGGAACTAGAGTGTGCCTTGCCCATCCAGAATCCCTCCATCTCCCAGCGGCGGGCAAGAGCAAATTGCTCCACGGCAGAGGTCCCCATGTCCGATCCCCACCATTTTGCATTCAAGAGCGCCATTCTCCCATTCAAATCGTTGTCATTGGACCAGTTGATATACCAGGACCAGTGGAGTCGTCTCCATGGCATTGGTCCTCCCCAGCGATGAGCATGGTTGAGGAGATCTTGATCTGGAATGCCCATATAGTATAATTCAGGCAAGTTCAGAAGATTGGAATAGAACTGAAAAAGCTCTGATGAAGGTGAATAGATGAAGACTCCACCATTGAAATGTCGCACCGTCTTGTCGTGATCCAAGAATGGGTATTCATGTTCACGCTGGAACGACTCGGCCGATGCGGCCATCACGAATGTTGCCGGCCGCTTGCCCAACTCCGGGTTATCAATGATCGTCTCGTCTGTCTCAGTCGGCTCGGTGCTTGGATCGAGAAAAATACCATCGATGGGTCGCGTGAGAACGATATCCGCCTCGAGAAAAAGAACCTTTTCGTATGGGATTACGGTTGGGTCGAAGAGACGCAATTTGGACGCCATTTCCGACCAGCGTGAGAGTGACAGGGGCATGCTGTGGGCTACATGATCCACCTCAATGACCATCGCTCCATCTTCTCGCAATCTATGGCGTTTGGTTTCGCGGACCTCCGGGGTGACCAAAACAATGATAGGTACTGGGTCCCGTAGCTTCGTGCTCGGCGAATGGAGCAGCTGATAGACCAGAATGCGGGTGCTCACAAAGTATCCATCCTCGTCATCAATTTCGGTTTCGGCTTCATCAGCCTTTGAAGTCAAGAAGGTACTGATGGCGTGTCGACCTTTGTAGATGGATTGTAGCTGCTGATCTGCTTCAATATCGGGAATGTTCAATTTGTTCGGCGGTGGAGCTCCAAATAAAAGCCAGACGGTAAATCCAATAGAAAATAAGCAGAAAGCTATAAGCTTCTTGCTCATGAAATCATCGGGTCGCGAACTTGCAGTATTTTGAAGCATGACTGCCAGTGCTGCCAGTTCCCCGTGGTTACCTACAACTATTCAACGTGATCGACCTTGGGCACTTCGAGTAGTATAAATATTATATACAGCACGTATCCTAAGAGCTTCCAATGTTGAATGCAGCCCTCAAGATGGTTTTCATGTAACCTACCACAGCTTTTTCTGCTACAAAGTGAGCAAAAATCCACTCTAAAAACTTTAAAATTGAAGTGGTTACTCAATGTAGAAGGCGTGGAGGTTACAATGCAAGCTGAAAGCGGCCTTCTCTCAGAGCCGCGGTGGAGAGCTGGGAAGGCCTGAATGCTGATTGGTCGGTTGGCGATGTATATCGTTTGGTGCCTCGATCGGTAGACGAGAAGAGAACTTGAACTTGAAGAACTCGGAGTCATGAGAACTAAGACATAATAGTAGAGCCTTTGCTATAACTCATGACTTGTAAGAGTATACCTAGGTATATATGGTCAGATTCCACCGAATTCTTAGGCATTCCGATAAATCAACTTGAAGGTTACACACTGTCTCGTCGCCTCTACTTCGAAACGAAAAACACAGAATCACTACAGAACGGCGGCTATATCTAACAAAGCAAAATAAAACAAAACAAAACAGAAAGCGAAAGGCGATGATGCGAATGCGAATGCGAAGTTGGGGAAGAATGAGAACTTGAAAGAAGCCCAGCTTGATGAATCATGCATCAGACCTGGGCCCCGCCAAGCCAACCAGCCAAATTGTCCCCACTACGTCACTGCGCGATCATCCCTGCTCGATGCCTTTTTCCCTGTCTACACCCTGTTCTGTTCCAACTCCAATTGTTGCCCCTTTCATCACGATCCGGGCTCTCATATTTAAGACCTCCGTGCGCCTCTTTTCAAAGTTTTTCTTACCCACCTGTTGATGGTACGTTCAACCTCACCTTGAACTTGCCCCGACCCACACTAGTTCCGCTATACTCACCTAGCTTCCATCTCCAGCTACTTTGATAATAGCTCAAACCCAACAACCATCAACATGAGATTTCACCTGGCCTCAGGTCTGGTGTTTCTACTCGCCACCACCGAAGTTGTTGCAGCTTCGAGTTGGTGGAGCAAAGCCGGTGCGTCAGGTCTAGGTACACATGCCGTCGACTAGTACTAACATCGTCCTAGTCTACAACAAATGGCACGAAACTGAGTTAGAGCGATGGCTCTCAGATCATGGTAGGGATAACCAGCTACCGTCCTTCCAACTCACCTGGTAAGCGATATTGACAAATTATGATTAGATATTCCCTACCCTAGCCCGGCCGACCGCAGGGATCTCGAGAACCTTGTGAAAACCAACTGGGACACCCGAGTGCAAAAGCCCCTCGGTAATGCCGCGGACCAAGTCTCTGACGAATTTCATTACGCGAAGGAATGGGTCTTTGATTCGTAAGATGCCCTTTCCACATTTCTTGATAATGTGGACTATTACTAACTTGGATGACAGTTGGTCGGATTCGCAGTTGAAGGCATTCCTCGATCGTCACGGCATTCCTGCACCCCAGCCCCGCAAGCACGACGTACTGGTCAAGGCCGCACGCGAGAACTACGAAGCAGTCGCAAAGAAGGTCGGCGAGACCGCATCTTATCCCGGAAACTGGCTGTACGAACAATGGACCGATTCCGACCTCAAGGGGTGGCTTGATGCGCGCGGATGGCCTGCTCCCCAGCCCACGAGCCGTGACAAGCTTATTGCTTCCGTGCGCCGCAACTCCCGACTGGCTAGCCTCCAGGCAAAATCCATCTCAGCATCGGCTGCCGCATCCGCTCAAGCTGCCCAGGCATCACTGAGCGATGAGCTCTTCAATGCTTGGTCGGATTCTAAGTTGAAGGAGTTCCTCGATGAACACAATGTTAAGGTACCCCAAGGTTCCAAGCGCAATGAACTTATTGCCCTTGCACGTAAGCACCGCTCCTACCTCGTTGACAAAGCTGCCAGTGCCTCTGCCGCTGCCGCAGATGCATTTGGTGCCGCCACTACCAGAGCTGGTAACGAATATGCTCGAGCTACCGACGATGCGAAGCTGAAGGCTGAACATGAGTTCAACGCTGCAATTAAGCTGTGGTCGGACTCTCGCCTCAAGGCGTTCCTGGATGCCCGAGGCGTTCCTGTTCCCCAGAACGGCAAGCGTGATGAGCTCATTGCGAAGGTTCGCGCCAGCGCCCACAAGGCCGCCGGTGGATTCAATGAATACAACTTTGATACTTGGGACAAGGAACATCTTCTGTAAGGGATCCTACTCACCTCTATTGGAGTTGCTCTAACACCATTGTCTAGGAAATATCTCTCTGCGATGAATGCAAAGGCCGCAAAGAAGGCCGATGCCTCCCGCGAGGAGCTTGTCAAGCACGCCAAGGACTCATACGCAAAGGCCTCCAAGGCTGGTGGCGAGCATTACGCATCTGCCACCTCATCAATTGCACAAGCCACCGGCTCCGTCAAGGAAACCACCTTTGACCAGTGGACACACTCCGATATCAAGCAGTATCTTGACTCATATGGCATTCCAGTTTACCAAGGCTCAAGCATCAATGAGCTCCGTGCAGCAGCCCGACGCCACGCTAATTACTTCAGATATGGAACCACTAGCCCATCTGAGACAATCTACGCCAAGTTCATGGATACTTTGCATTGGGCTTTGGACCAAGTTAAGATTGGAGCCTCTAGCGGTCGTGCGCAGGGCCAGGAAGCCGCCGAGAAGGTTCACGAGAAGGTCTCGGATGAGACACAGCGACTGCGTGGTGAGCTGTAAAAGGCAAGTTGAATAGGAAAGTGGAGCTGTGATATGGCGTGCGCTTTCGTTCATTGACTTTTCTTTGATCACGACGACATGATTTTCTTGATTCTTCTTTGAGGCTTTCTTCGGGATGTTAATTTCGGGTGCCTACTGTGATATTGGCGCGTCAATAATTCGTAGTTTATCCTTAAAATCAAACAAGTTAACGGTCCAACCTGTTAGATCAACCTAAATGGAATCTCGACATGTGATCACCCTTTGCTAACCATACTTCGTACCTCTCTGGTACCCTGTCCGGCAAATAATGGACTATTGGTGATAGTGTAACAGGTGCCTAAGTATCTGGTTACTAGTTGTGATGGGTAGGAAGGCCCAAACTTGAGTGACAAAAGTCACTGGCTGAACAACCACTAAAACTTGGGGGTGATGTACGAATTCTGTGAATTTGACTCGGCGCTAGTTTGATGCGGGGGCCACCATCAGGCACGCTTGATGTTCCCCTGTTCCCCTCGTCTTCTCGGTCGGACACCCCTGCAGATATCCTAAGAGGTACACCTACTTGTCCGTGAAGTACACCTATGTTCCCCTTGTGAAGTGTGAAGACCCAGTATAAGAAAAGGTCAAATACCCAGAAAAACACGCTGCACAAAGGGCGCCACCTTCAAGTGAGCACTCGCTGGTAGCCGCGACGTCATCCCGAGCAGCTCCATAACTCTCACTCCACCCCCGACCTGCGATTCTTCACCAACACTCCATGGATCCCCTCACGCCGCACTGCCGCGAGCTGGCCTCGCCTGGCATTTTCCAACCCGTTCTTTCTGTGTAATGTTCCTCTGTTGACTACCTCTTGGAGGAATCCCATCCACTAACTACGACACCCTCCAGCTTGATCATCTTTGGTATCCTCTTCTCCTACCTTCCCCAGCATGCCCGCATCATATCACGCAAAAGCTCCTTCGGCATATCGCCTTACTTTATTCTCCTGGGAACGACGTCAGGCACATCAGCATTTGCGAACATCCTAGTCTTCCCTAAGACATCGCAGGATGTCGGGTGCTGTCAGCAGATTAGCGGGATGGCCTGCTTCGCAGGGCTACTGGGCGTGTTCCAGGTGGGCATGCAATGGCTCTGCTTCTTCTCCATGTAAGCTCACTTTGCTATCAACATTGAGCAACTCGAATCACCCACTCACGACCCGCAGTCTCCTTCTCTTTGTAATCTATTTCCCTCGCGCGACTTCCCCAACCGACCCTGTCAGCACCGTGTCCTCGACCAACGGCCACACCTATCGCACCGCCTTGTCCATAAGTGCCATCTGTATCCTCCATGCTATTGTGACAGTCATCATATCTGTCGCCTTTGCCATCCAGAATCCGTCCGCGATGCAATCCTGGGCCAACTTCCTCGGCATTCTCGCCGCTGTCCTCGCGTCTGTTCAGTACTTCCCGCAGATCTACACTACCTTCCGGCTTCGCTGTGTGGGGAGTCTCAGCATCCCGATGATGTGCATTCAAACCCCCGGAAGTCTGATCTGGGCATCTAGTCTGGCAGCGCGGGAAGGGCTGAAGGGCTGGAGTATATGGGGCGTATTGCTCGTGACTGCATCTCTACAGGGAACACTGTTGGTGATGGCTATCTATTTTGAATACTTTGGCCCGAACGGGAAACGGAAGCACCAGACCGATGCAACCGACGCCCCGTCCAATGGGGTGGCCTCTGAACGGCCTGAGACACCTGCAGCGCGGGAATCGGTGGATACGGAGCGGCCTTCTGAAGAGACTCCGCTTTTGCAGAGTCATTAGTATATTCACAGCTTGGATCTGGTAGATGTACTGCTAGATATTGGAATCTCGCGTTCTCTCTAACCCGTTGGATAGCATAGAAAGAAAAAAAAACAAAGTACAATGAAGCAGTGGGAGGTCCAAAATGAGAATATTTGATACGTGGGCTTGTATCTTAACCAGGAGAATCCCGTATGGTTTTAGAAAATGCCAATAACTAGGCTACAGTCCCCTCGGCCACTCTGCAAAGAAAATCCCCCCGTCATCGCGTCGTTGCAAAATAATGTTGTTCGTGCGCCACGCCTTTTCTTAGGCAGCGTAGATCAGACGGAAGATGTCGTTCAGGACGAAGAAGCTGCCCTGTCCATCGGGTTGGAGGTTGAAGCACTGGGTGTAGCTCATGGGCTTCGACTCTTCATCGACCTATTTCACGGCGTCAGTATTGGGGGTGATATGTGGATGAGAGATTGGGCCAAGAGGACGTACAATAAGACCACCGGTAACCAAGACAGCAATGCCTCCCTCGCTGGAGGGCTGGGCGTCCAAGGTGGCAATCTGGTGGCGCACCTGCTGGAAGGGAAGGCTCTGTTGATTGGACATAGAGATTAGTATATCTGTGCGGGAACTCCCTGGGAGGTTCAATCCGAATGGGATAGGGAAGGACGAACGGTCAGCTTCTCGAGGATGCCGGCGGTACCCTGGACGGAGGAGGTCTCAAAGGTGAGCATCGATTGATCACGCTATTGTAGAAAAATATTCATTAGTAACCAAAGCTCACTATATCCATTGCCGTTGGGGGTTCGCGGCGCGCACAGGGCGGGGTATAGGGTCTTACGTAGAGAGGAGCAAGACCGCTGCGGTTGGAGTCGAAGGTCTGGTAGTAGAACTCAACGAATTGTTCTATAAGGTTGGAGGTCTTTGGTCAGATTTATGGCTCGCAAACGGGGAACGACGGCTTCGTTGGCCGTCTGAGGAGAAGGTTTCTCTCGCCGGCGCGGGCAGCGCGGGCGCATCGGCAATAGGGGATGGAAGGCCACATACGAGCGACAGCGGTGAAGTCTAGGACAAAGAATTGTGTTAGTCAATGCTGCTTCTTTGTATATAGCACTGTATGTCTTCGTTTCCATTTGGTTGCTGCCCTATCTTGTATGGCGCAATTCCTTCTCGCCAACGAGGTGGGATGCAAAGATCTACCTCACGCGCATAGAGGGGTATAATGGTCAAGGTGGGACACGGGACTTGACAAATTGTGAGACTTACCGGACATTTTGTAGAGAGGTGGTTGAGGGACGTGAGAGGAGATACGACGGTATAGAAAGCTGAGAGGGCAGAGTGCTGGGGAGGAAGGTATTTGTTGATGCGGGAGGGGTGATGTCCTCTGTGGGGCTCGAATTCTGCCGTTGCTGCCTGGCTGCCTTGGCTGCTTGCCCAAATCGAGTACTGATAGATACTATGAAAGTAACTTGAATTGCAATAGATTATCAACTGGAGATCTATTACTACGTATTGGGGCAGACTACTAGTTAAATAATCCTGCAAAGGACTTGGTATCATTGCGTTCGTTGCTATCTCTACCTTACCACGCCCTGCGCGAACAACTCACTCCGAGTCTGACGCAAACATGTCCTCGGCTTTGGGCCGTGGTTTTCGAGGACGTCGGGAGACAGGTTCTCGTCTTTCTGGTTCTGGATCTTGATGCCCGGTGATATCTTCGGGCTGCCCTGGTGGTTGGGTCATGACAGCGTCGCTATCTCGTGGCATGCTTTCTTCCTCCGTCGGCTCTTCTTCGTCGGGCATCTCCAAATCACTGTCCTCCATGGGAACGCCATCGATGTCGCTCATCGATTCGTCTTCAGCGGGATAAGCCGTGACGGGTGCCTGATGAGCTGCTTTTTTTATCTCGGATGGCCCGCTCTGATCGAAATAACTGGATCCCGGGTCTTCATCGTCAACCGTCTTCCATCGGTTCTTTTTCTTAGAAAAGGCGTTACTGGCTTGTTCGATTTCTGCCTTCTCCTTTTCTTTTTGTAACTCTTCGTCGGTGAGGGGTGGTTGCTCAAACACCTGGACAAAATGCTCGTGACTTGACTGCGGGAAAACACACCACCCTTCCCATAGATGAAGCAGGGTCCCCACGCTGCGCTTCCATTTCTCTGCCTTGAGTCGTCCCCAATGAAGGTCTTTCTCAAGTCGACCAAGATGTTCAAAGACCTTGTGCGAGCGTAAGGCTGACTCGAAAAGTTGCCGGTATCGCCAGGCATGGCGAACCCCACTCGTGGCTGATGAAGAAAGGATATCAGAAATGGTGTATAACCCGACCAGTTTGGCCGCAGATAGGTCCATTTTTCCCTTCGAGGGATTATCATTATCTTTCTCGTGACTCTCCCGATTTGCCGCATCATTTTCCAAATCTCGGTTAGGATTGGCACCAGTATATGCCAATGGACTGAGAATATTCAGGACAATCATATCAACAACTTCGTCGGCACCCAGTCCTGCGTGTTCGATAGCAAAAGCGGTAATCCGCGCGATATCGCCTCGTCGGAGTCTAGCATGGGTTGTCGGCAGACGAGCGAGTAGATGAGTGAGCTTGGCCTTCTGTAGCGGGTTCATGTACCCGAGTCCATCATTTGGGCCATTCCCTCCTTCTGGAGGTGGTGCTCCTCCAAGATTTCGTTTTTCTTCTTCGCCATCCGACTGCTCCTCGTCGGAAGAGTTGTAGTCTTCGTCTGAGATAATCTCGTCAAGACGTGTTGTGAACTCGAATTTAATATCTCTTTCCGGGGCAATCCAGCTGGCTCCATCCTCAAAGACAGACGACGGCTGTTGGCTCTTTGACTTTCGATTGCCGTGAGACCTGGGGTTTGTGATGACCTGCCATAACTTCCAGCGATAATAAACCCCACCAGGACTTCTTGCATCCCAGATCCAAGCCCATTTTTCCTCTCTCTGGACTTCCGGTCGGCTCATAAGCAGGGCCTCAAATTCGGGGCCATGATTAAGGAGATTCTCCAAGGTTTTATGGATCAAACGTAACTGCTTAACGTCTGCTGGCGCCTTCACTTCGACTTGTGTAGCTGTGACAATTCGGCCCAGATTCGGTCCATATGAACTCGGGGGGTGCAAAGCCCCCACGATGTGAGCCTGGTGGTGGTGCCCGGCTGAGGTTTCCTGGTCCAAAGTTAGGTTGGATAGTCTTTGCTCCAAAAGGGAGTGAGCTGGTGTTTGTCATGTTGATATTTGAAGGCATATTTGAGCTGATTGCTGCCGACGAAAGATGACGGGAAAGCGTTAGATAGTATCCCCGGCCAAGATACTTGTTTTGAAGTGCGCTCACGGCACTATCAATGTCTGAGGCTGCTGAATCACTAGCGAGAGTAATTATTGCAGCCACTGATTTTCGCTCTGTTGGGGATTGGTTTTGTGGGCGGAGGATGTGAACGTTCCCGACGACAAGAGGGGAGCTGATCAATGATTTGAGGACAGATGGCGATGTCCCAGGAGGAAGCGATGAGAGGTACAGTGTAGGTCTGGCGGCAGCTCTCTCGGCCTCCTTTGCTTCAGCACTCCGATCATCTTCATCATCCGAAGGGCTGCGAAATCCGAGGGGGGGGTCCAGATGAAACAGGCCCTCCTGAATGATCGTATCCCAGCACTCCTTGAGCAGTGTCCCGGCCGCGTGGCTGCGCCACAAACCCCTCATGAGGTCTCTTCCGAGACAGCGACGGCGGTGGTGGACCTAGGCTTCCTGGTCCACTACTGCGTGGTCCGGAGTTGGTGAAATGTCGTCGGGGAGGACCCCCTCCGAACGCACCACCCCTTCCTCCAAATGTGTTCGGCCGTCCATCTGAAGCTCGAGGACCTTCAGACACATCATCTTCAAACGACTTCACAAAGTCTTCGTACACAGCGGCGGTTTCGGCTTTTTCGCGGGCGCGTTTGGCTTCGGCATCAGCTTTCTGGCGCTCGAACAGCGATTTCTTTGGGAGGGCGGAAAGTTTGGCAGAGACATCAGGGAATGCCTTTCCTTTTGTATCGTCGGGCATGTCGCAAAGGTGCTGCGAATGCAGCAGAATGATGGCCAGTCAACTAATCGACAATGGTGGACAAGCGCAGGAGAGCTAGAGCCCCGATCAGCAAATGGCTGTCAATATGGGCGGGCGGTGACAACTGGTTAGAGGCGGTGAACGGTGCTGGGGTAATACTGTAGCTCCGAGTCAACAGTATAGCCAAATTGTGTTTACAACCTCACCAATCAGCCGCCAGTGTCAACTCCATTACTATTAGAGGACCTAGGTGTTCTCGGAATTGTCACTAATACAGCGAAAATCGAAGTCTACTCCGGAAATATAGGCTTGGCACAACATGCAACGACTGTTAAGGAAGGGCACATGATGTTGAATACGGTGCTGTATATCAAACTAAATCGATATTAGATTCGCAATTTTTACTTGCATTTAATTCCAAGTAGCCTAGCTGATGATCATAGGTAGCAAGAGTCTCCGCACTGAAATTGGCCCATAGTGAATACAGATCATATGAAGGACTTCGATCGCATCTTTATTAAAGAATCGATTATTTAGTACTATTATTAAGTACTACTATATATTCCATGGATACACTATCTAGGCAATTATACCTAGGTACCTTACTATTAGTACTCCAGGGCTGTCATGATGACTTTCGAGTTCCAGGGTTGAACTCAAACCAATATATTACTAGTACAGGGCTAGTAGTATCATTCAAGATCGCTCCCAGCTACTGTTTTAATATTCGAATCTGCAGGCTTGCCCTAAATACCCTTTTCTAGTCGCAGATCCTTGCCCATCTGGACGGTGACATTGAGCTCTCTCTCACGATGCAAATCCTTAGTGTCCTTTTTGTACGGAGTAGAAATTGACGTAAATAGAAAGTGTGGCCTTTGGGCAGCGGGTTGCTTTACGATCACAGCACTAGACCTTTTATGGCTGGGGACCGGGTTAACGATTCTCGTGGGCATTATACAAGCCAACCATGGAGTGGTGGATGGGGAGGCTATCTTCGGGGGACAATCCAGAAACGAAAGCGGTGCAGGGGTCAATATAATAACATGCGTTACGGCTGGCCTACGAGTTTTGCAATTTGCGGAGAAGTGGAGGGGGAAGTGGAGGGGAAAACGGGGCCGAAGATCTGATCCTTCTTGAGGCTTTGCTTGTCTCCCTTGCGCATTCCCCTGACTCGGACACGTTGTCTTGCGAAAACATGCCAAAGCCTTTATCTATGTATTCTGTTCGTAGTTGCCTGAAAATTCAATCCCCTTGGAAGCAGAGATACTCCATCTCCCTTTTTAGAGGCTCTCGGACCATAACAGTGGAGGCGGTCCCCCCTGTAGGAGATTTATTTAGTTCCGTGGACGCGTATTCATAACAAGATTAGTCTCAACCTTGGAACCGCATATTCAGTCCAATAATACCAAGATGGTTCCTGTTCGCTTACCTCTAGCTTGCTGGTCGTAGCTCGGAATCCAGTGGAGTTTCATTCCCATCGTTGTAAACTCCCGAGGTCCTTGTCCGATTCACTGATGAGCTCTAGTCTTGGGTGATATTGGACTAAGACTTTGACGGATCTGCGGCCGCTAGATTAGTCGCTATTCACCCTTTAGCAAGGTCTCATGTTAGCCTGTCATTTTATTTCGCGCTAGGTTTGGGCATCTCCAGGGTGAAGATCTCTCTCTCTCTCTCTCTCTCTCTCTCTCTCTCTCCCCTCTGATTGTAGCTCGATGTCGTGGATGTTCGAGGTGTGCTTGATTTTCATGATCATCGCTTTTCCTTGATGCAATTTGTAAAGGACCACAAATAATGTAGCTTTTTTTCTGTGCAATCATTCATCCTCAGGCATTTTGTTAAGGTTGGCGAAAGGTCGTAGTCCACATGTTCACGCCTACTCTAAGGTAGTTGACCATAATCTGATTCATCCGGATAACAATATGCGCGTTTCGAAGTATTTTTGATACTTCAAAAGCCACTACCCATGACTCGGATAATACTCATGGTGACTCGTCGGAGCTGACTGGTCAGGAGTTGAAGCGAAGGGGAGAGCGGGATCTGATTATTCTTGCATCCATGGATTCTGCATTTTGTATTTCAAGACTTGGAGCTGCATTGAATTTGCAACCTACACGCAAGTCTCACTCAGGCTACCTAGGTATTATATACTAATTACAGCCTTGGAACTTGAATGGTTCGCGAAATCATTTATAGAATCCCTACTATCTGGGGAGTACCGATGTATTGTAAACAGACGCACGTGTCCAGGTGAGAATGAAAGGAAATGGCTTCCAAGGTTGGTAAATCAACATTTAGATACTAGTACCAGTGGTTCGCTAGTACCGTGTTTACATTTAATTTGCATAGAACTTGAGCTACTGGATTATTAAGGATTGGCATTCTAGAACCTATTACTCCGTAGTAACTAACATTTAGTCAGGGCTGGTACTTCTGAGCGTGGGCCAATCGATCTTTTGAGGGCAGGCACCACGGCCCATCATATCGTGGCATCACTTCATCATATGCACGCAACCTGAAGAGTCACTCAATCGGCACACTTATCCCTATTCTGAGGTCTGGCCAAAGAAGTGGACAGGGGATCAAATTGGGCAACTAGGCACATCTAAGCGCCGGGGCCACCTGCGATGATGAGATGGCCCAGACAACAAACATCGGTCCAGGCCTCTATCGGCTGTAAGACAGTGAGGTCGATCAAGGCCCATTCGAAAGAAAAATATGGAGCCGTTCCTGGATGCGGGCCCTACGTTACGCACACCTGATTCATACCCCGCGTTGAGGCATGTTGAGTCGCTCAGCAACAGCAAAGGAGCTGAAACGCCGTCATCACCCGAAGTTTCACGGCGGCTATGGAGCATTTGCGCCAGGATTCGGTCAAGGTCCAGTGCAGATACATGTACATGTACACCAGTCCGCGAACTCCATGCCGGGAGGGGCCCGAAAGCCCTAAACTACTCTTGGCGGTGGGCCCGTCTTTTTCTAGACGCTTTCTGACTCGTTCCACGGGTCCCCCGTCTAGATTTCTAGTTTACCGGCAGTGATTTTCGCGCTCAGGTTTTGTATCGACCAGGGGATGCAGTGATGAAACGGGTTCTGGGGTTTTGGTGGAAACAAAGACTCTTTGCCCAAGCCGAGGACCGGTCGCGATAAGAGAAAGAGAATTTGGGGGGTTTATTTCTTTCTCTCTCTTACGCTGTTTCAGTGTAGACCATCTTCAGAGTCCTAAAAATAAGTCGAGCGAGTACTCCGTACTCCATACATTATGTAGAATTCAGACGGCTAACAATTAGTCCGGCTGTGTTTTGTGGGCAGTGTTCATGTATGCAAGATCCGAGATATCCGTCATGCCCAGCCTGAGCAGGGCTGCATGTAAGAGGTCGGCGATGGAAACCCCCCCCCAGTTGGCCAAGATTGAGTTTTTCAATACTCTGGTGGGTTTTCCTGGCAGCCAAGTTTTGGCCAGGACTTGCCGAGCGGAACGCGATGTTGAGAACCGCTGGCTGTGTAGAGTTGTGATCCACCGTCATACGGTGAGAGTCGATTTTCGTATTGGTCCCTCGGGTTTAGACTGGGCGCCTGTAAGTGCTGGGGGTTTGATCCAGGGATTGTCATTGTAGGCGATGAGATTACAATGAGCGGTCCTATAGGACTCTGAAAGAGATAGAGATAGATGGGATATTCCACAGGTGCAAAGGCAAGACAAGGCTGAGATTCGAGTCCAAATGTCTAGACTCTAGACCAGTTCCGGTGACAACATCAGAGACTGCGTTTTTCCCTAAGCCGGGGTGGGTGGTGGCGATGCCCAGACCCACCGTGTGCAGCCAAAGGAGGACCTAGTCGCTAGCCCGGTCGCCCTAGTGGCTGTAGCGCACACGGAGGAGGTTCCAGTCGATCATGCCCAGTGAAAGGGTCCCTCTTCGATGGGGATTCTCCATGGGCAGGGTCTTCAAAGTAGGGTCTTGCGAGGAGAAAAAGGAAGAGGAAGTCTGGTAAAGGTGAAGGCAGATATTTGATGCAGAAGGAGAGATAGAGAGAGAGATAGAGAGAGAGAGTACTCCTCAATAAGTAGAAGGTATGGTGAACACGGAGTAGGTACTGAATGTTTCAGGCGGTACGTACAGAACAGGGCCCTTGGGTGGTCTGCAACACTGCGACACCCCCTCCCGACGTATTACCGCCGTCACACTGAGTCTCCAAACCAACAGAAACCCCGGCCCCCTTCACTCTCACATCATCCAATTCGACCTCCTTCCTCATCCACCTCCACCTTCATCACTAATCTCGCCCTCCTTCGCTCGTTTTTCACCCTTTTACGACGTCTCTCCCACCAACTCCTAACGATCAACAAATTCATATTCCCGCCATATCGTCGCTTCTCGCCACTCGTCGCCTCAAACTCTCCCCCCCCCCCCCCAGGCTAGCCTGCGAAACGGATTGAAACCGATTCAAGAGGTGGCCCGATAGGGCTGCCGTAACTAGGGAAGACAATGTCTGGACACCATTCTCGCTCGGCATCACGGTCATCCCAGAATCCACGCCTTTCACAAGGACAAACCCGCGACTCGATGTCGATGCCTCGCTACTCCTTCGGTCGCAACTCACGCGTCTCCAACCCAAATGTCTTTTCCGATGAATACTCATTAGAACCGATCGATGTCGACCAGATCGAACGTGCCCCTAGCCCCGCCTCTATCGCCTCCTCGACCACTCTTCGCTCAACTCACCACCCTCAAAAGGCCGTTAGTACCGCGACGACCGAGAATGAGAATCCATTCGCCGATGACGCTCGTCTCTCCTTTGAGGAGGCTCACCGATCAAGCCTCCCTCAGAAGGGCGTAGGTGCCTTCTCCAACAATCGCAATTCCATCAACTCGGTCAACAATTCCCCCTTTGTCGCTCAGCGAAATCAAAGCGTCTCTTCCCGTTTTTCGATACCCCGGGCTCTGAGCCCCTATACCGGAGCCACTGGGCCCAGCCATCCATATGCTATGTACCCCCAGGTTGGTGTCAGCCGCTCCCCAAGCGTAGGAAGCACCTCGACTATCCGTCAACCCGATCGCCCGCTAGGCGAAACAGCCGCTCCACAACACCCTTACGCTATGTACACTCAAAATGTTGTTGAAGAAGGGATGGATGACGATGATGTGATCCCTGTCGGGTTCCCTGGTCACAATCCCCCTTACCAGCCGCCGCAGAGTCGTCGCGATGATGATGTTGGAGACATCATCGGGCCAGATGGTCACACAGAACCGTTACCACCTTACTCCAGATACCCGACGGGGGTCATCCCCAAACCCCCGACTCCAGAGAATATGGCGGACATGAACTCTACACCAGAGGACCAACAGCTCAATTCGGTCTCAAGGGAGCAACCACCCATTTCTGAGACGTCTTCTCGACCCCTTGTTGCTGATTATACTGGAAATTCTGCGCACGGCGGCAGTAATCAGAATGGCGGGACCAATAACCGAAGCAGTGCCGGTCAGAGGGCAGCAGCAGCAACGGGTATCATGGCATTTGAGGAGAAGCTCAAACAAAAAGGAAAAAAGACAGTATGCTGCGGTCTTCCAGTCTGGACTATCGTACTCATTTGTACTGTGATGCTGATCGGAGGGTCCATTGGCGGTGTGATTGGGGGTGTCCTGGGTACCAAGCGTGCTGCTGAGGCCGAAAAAGAGGCTGCTGCGGCTTCATCGAGCGGTCCCCACATCGTGACGGTCACTGCAACACCACAAAAGGATTATTCAACGATGACCAGTACCCCCAGCAACCTCAAGTCGGTTCCAACTGGCACATTCTATGTTCCTATGGTACATCAGAATTCTTCGGCAATGTGCGTCGACGATGACACAATGAAGAGCGCTTGGAAGTGCATGGACAAGCCGAGCCACCTCGAAGTTACTGTCACTGAAAATGACGATCACCACCACACTATCATCTTCCCCAACCCAACCTCAACCTCAAGTTTCAGCTACGGGGCTCAGCCGCCTTACATGACCCAACCTGCGATTAAATTGGGCTTTGCAATTGACACCAGCGATACCAGCCTGGGCCCTGCTCTCTTCTTCGAGGCCAAATTCGACAAGTTGGTCGTCGTGCCCGACTCGAAATTCCAACAAAGCTCCTCTGTATCCGCACGGGCATGGCCTGGGGACGAGGATTTCTTGAGCTTGTTGAGTCGCAAACAGGTCGCACAGCCCGGCGATAAACCGTGGTTCTGCTGGTGGAATCAAACGCAGATGGAATTCTTCATCTACGTCAACCAAACAACCTCGGGGACTTCCACAGATGCCACAGCTTCTACCAACGATCAAATGGCTGCCAGTACTGCGGCTGCCGATAGTGCGTCCAAGCGGGGCGTATCGATTCCGAGCTATCCGCGAAAGATCAAAGTCGACGAACGACGTGATCAGCCAGGAGCAGTCGCACCCTATTGTCAGCAAATGCAAGTGAATTCTGTTGGCCAAGCATCGCCTATTCCATATAAAACCATCGATATCAAGGAGAATGAGCCAACTCCAACAACTACCTACATCGATAGTCAAGGTGGCGCTCAGCAGACATACACAGCAAAGGCGCAATATGCTACCCCATGCTATTGTCTATCCTTTGCTGATTAAATGCATTTTTCCTGTCGTTTGAGCGAATTATTTTTTCTCCATCTTGGTTTTAGGTCTGGGACCTCTGGCGTTGGCGTTGAAACGGCCTTCCCACTAGCATCGGTTTATGTGCACACGATTGTCTCTCTTCTCCAATGTGTGAATTATCTTTTCAGTCTCATTTTGCTCTGCCGATTCTCTGCGAAACTTGCGGCATGACACGATCCTATCTATTTTCTTTTTGCGCACTGGCAGCTTCTCTTCCCCTGTTGGGGTATATATGAAATTTCTTTGTTTATTGTTGAGTGTTCAACTTTCTCTGGCGTTAATTGGAGCAGCCGGCGCGGCTCCGGGTATTTGTGATATGTTTGGTTTCGATCTATGCCGTGCAACCGATTTTTGTCTCTTTTAGGAGCTCATAGGCTCATATCCTGTTCTAGCGTCTGATGATATCACCATTAGCATCTGTCTCAACCCAAAATACAAGATAGATGATCTTAAGGCAACTACTACCCGCTACAGTCAACTCATAAATTTAATATCTTGGGCATTCTGATCATTCTGTTCATCGACTTGCCTCGAGGTACCCTGGGTATGAAAGCACCCACCCTCCAGTGTGGAAAATGCTCAAGCGCAATAGAGATAGGGCGAACCTGATAGGATTGTCGGCGTTCAAGCCAGAGGTTAGTAGTAACATCATGATGTTGACTAGACTCAAGTGCCATTGTGAACCATAAAATTCCCTCTCGCTGTGTATCAAGAAACTTCTCTGATCATTAGTGCCCACTGGTATACTTTACAACGGATGAGAACCACGAGGTATGCCACCATCTCGGCAGTAAGCATAAACCGTACCTAGTAGGTATCCGTTCAAATTGATCGTCTGTGTCACCAAAAGACGTACCTTCAGCTTGCATTTAGTGACGATAACCTTTCCACAAGGTAGTAAAGAAATCAGCCGCTAACAAAACACACGCTGACATCCTGGCAACCTGGATTGATATACCAACTTAAACATTGAAAATAGTATCTATTACCAGCAGTCTTTCACGCTTTATCAGACCCAGCAAAAATCGCAACGCCACATCCAGCAGCTTGGAATAGAATGAAGACCACATCACATCTGACAAATACCCAAGTGAAAAATATCCAGCCTCAATAATTGGTGTATTTCTAAGACTAGCTGGGCTATTCCTGCTAAACGGAAGAATACCCAGGTATGGCGGATAAATTAGTCGTACCTACCTGCCTTTTGGCAGTACTAGTCGTAGGTTGTGGCTTTGAACAGGCATCGAGGGCCGGATTTTGTACATATGTATGCCATTATGTGCGACGAGAATGGGATTGAGGAGGAATTTCGTGGGATACGGCACCAGATATTGTCTTTCCAAGCTAACGCCAATGTATTATGGTGTTGTGGTTTAGCCCCCAATCTTGATATTTGTCGCGTTCGCGTTCATCACTGTACTAAGACTGCGAGTCCTCAGTTTTCAACTACCTTCCTTCCTAGCTACAGTATTGAGTGAGTCCATTGCGTCGTGTCACAGTAGCCTTGAGTGGCTCATTCAGAGTAGGCTCAGGCGCTTGCTATGAGTGACTCTACAACTGACTGGGTGGGCCAAAAAAAGGCGCCGCCTCGGCGATCTTACCGGAAATCTCAAAAGGGGTGTGATCAGTGCAAACAGCGACATGTCAAGGTAAGATCATATGTCCTTAGTTTATGCGTCCAAGCTTTTTAAACTTTCCTGAGTATCGCAGTGCGATGAGGGACGTCCGCAGTGCGCCAACTGTGTACATCGAGAGCTCTGTTGCACCTTTTTAAGGTCTCCCAAGCCTCTAAGCAGGGCTCCCCCCCTCAACGAGCAGTGCCTGATGATAGACAAGCTATAGAGCTTCCCAGAAAAAAGCCCGACTATGAGCTCCGATACAGTGCTCGGGGCCTGGAGTTAATGCACAAATTTGCAACGGATTCTTATGAGAGTCTGTGTGGTGATCGTTCAGATGCGCACGCTTGGCAATATTCAATTCCCCAGCAAGCCTATTCACATGAATATCTGCCCCACAGCATGCTCGCCTTCGCTGCCTTGCACATAGCAGCCACAAGTTGTGATCCTAAGAAATCCCTCAAGTATCTCGATACAGCGGTTTGAATATAGCAGCTTGTCATGTAGCTCGTTCCAAAAGGCCTTGGATCAATGGACGCCACAAACATGCAAATCTATTTTTGCCTGCTCCGCCATTGTCATGGTTATTAGCTTCGCTTTGCCATGTCTCAGTGCTAAATACCGCGGCGAGAAACTGCTCATGCTGGGAACCATGACCGCCGCATGGGAGCTATACCAGGGTGGGCGCAGGATATTCTGTATCATTGAGCCATGGCTTCATGGAAGCATCTTTTCAAAATATGACTTCTGGAAGATGCAGTCAGGCAACCTTGCTCCGGAAATTAATGAAGCTCTCAGTCAGCTAGATGAGTTAAACTCCGAGTCTCTCATCGCTGAGTGCCACACTGAGATTTGGGATAGCAACCATGAGACAATCGAGCTGTTACGATTGTGCTTCTCTAAATTTGCACATAGTCCTCATCCGGCTGCGATCCTTGGCTGGCTCGTATATGTGAAAAAGACATTTGTCGATCAGCTATGCTCAAGAAAGCCGTTGCAATTGCCAATTGGTTATATTTATGCACTGGGGCGTTCTCCTGAATGAACTGGGTCATCAATTCTGGTAGGCGCGAGGGTCGGGTAAAGCTCTTGTTGCAGAACTATCCGATGAACTGGGATTTTTGACAAAGGATCCAAAGTAGGCACCAGCATTGGCATGGCCCCAGCGGCAACTTTTTACATAATGGAGCAAGTTGATAAACTAGTAGTTATCAAATGGTATAACTAGCAGGTAGGATACTACTCTGTACATGATGTACTACTGCCACTATTCCATTTCGGGAAGCTGTGCTCCGTGCAGGCCTGGATGACTAATATGGTCATGTGACTTAAGTCGACAATGCGGCCCTAGTTAAGACACGCGACTAGCATCATGCATTCAGAGTGATGATTGAGAATCCAGTGGAATTACGTATAACATAAAATGAATCCTAGTCAAGTTTAAAGATGTCAATTTGTCTATTGTAGGATCAGCTTGAATCACTTTGTAAGTACAGTATATAGTTGTAGCCATAGTATGCCCCGGCTGCCCGACCCCCGAAGCTACCCCCCGACCTGGCCTCAGGCAGAAACTCTTCCGACCACACTCACCTTGAAGGGAATCCTCCAACCTCTCTCATCGCATCGCCATCCATTCCCCTTCCACACAACCCCCCTCATCTTCATTTCCGATCCCCCCCCCTCTATCACCCAATAGCGCACGACTCACCTCTTCACCGGTCGGCTATAACGGTCTCGTCCACTGCGCCCGCCTAAAAATCTGTCCTTGGACCTCCAGATCAAATGATCGCGTCTCCTAGATGACCTTCCCTCCCCCTCACCCTTCCGCCCAATCGTCGATTGCTTCTGGCACCGATAAATCTTCTTCGACCAGGCCTGAATTTGGTGCCTGGGGTCGGTCCACGTCACAGTCCGGCATTCGTCGTGGGTTGACTCCTCTCGCGACCAATCTCTCCTCCACCGTCACCTCTGCATCTTCCCGGGGCTTGGACGCAGGCCCTGGGGTTTCGACTCCCTCCTCCTTCTCTGCCGTTCTGAGCTCTACAAGGGGCCTTTCTGGGGGCAGCCCCAAACCTGCACCCTCTCCGTTCACCTCACTGCAATCGAGTTCGCAGCAGTCCCATTCGCTCTCCTCCCCCAAGTTCCGCGCACACACCCCTTCAGCGGGATCTCATTTCACTTCCGTAACAGGCTCCATCACGGGTGGTGGAGGATCTGGAGGAGGTGGTGGGCCAGGATCTACCAGAGGCGTCGCTTTCTCACCTCTGTCATCCGGCACAACCGTGAATTCACCCACGGGCTTCGCTTCTGATAAGCCCGGATCGGCTGCTGCTCATTCGAGCCAATCGTCTCTCACCAAGATCTCGATCGCTCAGGTATTCCTACTGTTAGATTCTATCACTGAGAAGGAGGGCAAAGAAAAGTGGGAAACCAAAGCCGCCCAGATACACAAGGTAAATCTTGACCCCGCTCATGATTTCCCTACGGAGTACTGACTCACTCACCAGCTCGTCACATCCAACGGAATGGAGGTCTTTTCGAAATACTTTCGCCGTCTTCTTACGGGCAATGCCCCTCAAATCTTCCCGGGCGTCAACAAGTCCGTCGAGAATGCGGGCAACTACCCCCTTTTAACCCAGGAAATGCACAAAGTTGCGACAGACATCGAGCAAGCACAAAAGATTGCCGAAACGGTAGACACCTCAGAGGGTGATATCTTCCGTGACTTCGACCTGTCAACCTTCCTGGATCATTTCCGCCTCGATCCCATTGTTAAGGTTGCGCTCGCTTTGGCTTTTAAGTTGACTAATAAATCAGATCTTCGTGCTAAAGGTTTGTTTGTCTCCACACGAGTTGTCTTTCTTACGACTAATCGATCATTTCTTAGCCGACGCCATCCTTTCGAACTCAACCACACCCTTCCTCCAAAGCTTGGCCAACCCATCCGAAACGACCAAGGATTACCAGAATTCTTTCCTTGGAATCACGATTGAACGATTTATCCTTTACCCTCCCCGCAATTTCACCGATGATGTCAAGGCCAAGCTGGTCTACGCTGTGAACCTGCGATGCCAGAAGATGGGTTTGGATATGCCTTTGGAGGTTTCCTCAGCTCTCCAGATGTTCAACTTTGTCAACCCGCGCTATACTCTCGTCAGACAGCTACACTCCAAGGGCCCACGCGCAACTGCAAACACGGAGACCCTTACCGAAGTGGTCAATGCAGCAGGACCCGATAGCTGGAGCGAGGAACAACTTGCCAGTGCTCTTCTCTTCATGGTTCTGTCGCAGTATTGGCAGCAGTTCTCTCCCGAGACGCTTCTGAGTGCCTATGCCGACAAGCAGATTGATTGGACTCTGGTGTTTCGGACCTTTGATCGGGAGGGCCTGAGAGTGGATCCCAAGCAATTCGCCAAACTGTATAGCATTTTGACCACTGTTGCCTCCGATGACAGCTCCCTGGACATCCAGAAGCTCTGGGGCGGAGACTGGGAACATCGGGACACGCAGATGTCGTTCCTGACAGCCTTCGTTGCCTCGCGAACCGACGCTTCTCAAATTCCTAATCTTCGTGCAACATTCCCTAGCGACTTCTTCGACGATGCGCCTGAGATTGTGAAACTGCAGGGCGAACGCGCTTCTAAATCACCCCTTCGTTCCATGGACGCCATGAGGGCAATCTTCGACCTCGCTCTGTTCTCCCAAGCTTCATGGGCCGCTACTGAAAGTCAACTTCTCATCAAAGCAGTTTTGCAATACGATCTCCCCGTCTTCCTTGTTTCCGCTCTCGCCATTCCGCAGCCATGGTCTAGTGTCCAACAGAGCTTCGTTCTCCGAACCTTCGTTGTTTTCATTTCCAAACAAGAGGATGGCTACCAACTGGCCCTTCATGGAGCCTGGCGCCAGGATCGCCAGTGGGTTTCCGAGCAGCTTTTCACTGCTTTTACCCAGGACCCTACTGCCACTGCAGCGATTTATGAACATGCAGCGGCCTATGGCTGGCTCGAATATCTGCTCGGTTTCACTAACGGTCTCGCGCTAGACCTTGCCTGCTACTCTCATCGCAAGAGCTCATTTGATCTCGAGCAATGGGTTCAAAATGCTTCTCAAAAGGGGCCCATTGATATGGGCGGCCTGCTGTCTAAGTTCCTGAGGATCAAGGCTGAGGATGAGCTACATGTCCAACGAAAGGAACAGCCGGCTCCTCAGATGGTCAGTCTTTCTGTGAAAACCGTATATACTCTTTTGTCGGTACTGGAGGAGTACGTTGGTGACCGCGAGAACCTCACCCCCGTCCAACGCATTTGTATTCAGACCTACCCCCGACTCATTAATTACGGTGAAGGGTTCGACGACATCATTGATGCGAACGGTGAAAATGGTAACACCTTGCCTGAGACCATTGACAAGCAAATGCAGGAATTATTTGGCAAGATGTACCACGAAGAATTGTCGCTTCGTGAAATGTTGGAGTTGATGCGAAAGTATAAGTCTTCCCGTGAACCCGAGGAGCAAGATCTCTTCGCTTGCATGGTCCACGGTCTTGTCGACGAATATCACTGTTATCACGAATATCCTCTCGAGGCTCTGACCAAGACTGCGGTCATGTTCGGCGGAATCATCAATTTCCGCTTGGTCGACGGCATTACTCTCAAGGTTGGCCTAGGCATGATCCTGGAGGCCGTCAGGGAACACGAAGTCCACAATCCGATGTACAAGTTTGGTGTGGAGGCCATCGAGCAGTTGATCGGCCGTCTTCCCGAATGGGTTGGCTTCTGCCATCTACTGCTTCAAATCCCTAGCCTTGCAGGCACACCTATTTTCCAGAAGGCCGAGGAAGTTCTCGGAGAGCAAGGCGGCAGCCATGAGAATGGGAACAAATTCGAAGATCTAGGCGGCCCTCTTCTCACCAATGGCAACGTGGAGGATGTCGTCGTGAATGATGGTACATCGCGAAAGTTCCGCGCCGTGCAGGTGGATGCTCCCATTCGGTCCGATCTCTACGAGGATCCGAACGAAGACATCCAGGATAAGATTTTGTTTGTCTTGAACAATGTTTCGGAACAAAACATCGAAGAGAAGCTGCAGGACTTGCGTGAAGTGTTGCGGGATCAGCACCACCAGTGGTTTGCTGCTTATTTGGTCGAAGAGCGTGCCAAGCTGCAGCCCAACTTCCAACAATTATACCTGGATCTTCTCGACCGCATCGACGACCGAATTCTCTGGACCGAGGTTCTGAGAGAAACCTACGTCAGTGTCGCCAAGCTCTTGAACTCGGAGGCTACCTTGAACTCGTCTCAGGATCGTGGCCACCTCAAGAATCTCGGCGCCTGGCTCGGCTCACTGACTATCGCCAAAGACAAGCCCATCAAGCACAAGAACATCTTTTTCAAGGGCTTGCTCTTGGAAGGCTACGACAGCTCACGCCTCATGGTTACGATTCCCTTTACGTGCAAGGTCCTGGTTCAAGCGACCAAATCTACAGTCTTCAAGCCCCCAAACCCGTGGTTGATGGATATTTTGGGATTACTTCTAGAGTTGTACCATTTCGCCGAGTTGAAACTCAACCTTAAATTCGAGATTGAGGTACTGTGCAAAGATCTTGATCTGGACCACAAGACCATCGAACCCTCTAATGGCATTCGTGACCGTACCGCCCACGTCGAGGAGACTTTGTCCACCACCAACATCCCAGAGGGCCTGGAAGCTTTCGAGGATATGGGTCTCACTGCCCTCAACCAGGGCATTCGAAACGAAAGATTGTCACCTGCTGCTATCATGTCCACTCTACCTAGCCTTGATAAGATTCTGGTCTTGCCCCCGTCAGCGAGCGGCATGGTTGACCAGAGTGTCCTGAGGCAGATTGTGCACACTGCGGTGGAACGTGCTATTGCGGAAATTATTACTCCGGTTGTGGAGCGCTCTGTGACCATTGCCTCTATCTCTACCGTCCAACTTGTTTCTAAGGACTTTGCCATGGAGCCCGACGAGGAGAAGTTCCGCCATGCCGCTGGAATCATGGTGCGTCAACTTGCCGGCAGTCTGGCTTTGGTCACCTGCAAAGAGCCACTCAAAGTCAGCATGACAAATTATATTCGTATGATCCAGCAAGAGTACTCTGATCAACCTATGCCCGAAGGTTTGATTTTGATGTGCGTCAACGACAATCTGGATGCTGCCTGTGGCATAGTTGAGAAAGCAGCCGAGGAGAAGTCTCTTCCCGAGATCGAGAAGGTCATTGAGGCCCAACTGGAGGCTCGGCGTCGCCACATCGCTACTCGTCCCAATGAGCCTTTCATTGACCCGTCAATGAATCGTTGGGGACTCTTCATTCCCGAGCCCTACCGTCAAACCCCCGGGGGACTTAATAAGGAGCAGCTGGCAATCTACGAAGAGTTCGCTCGCCAATCGCGTGGTACCGCTATTACTCATCCTCAGAATGTTTCAACCGACTCTGGCCGTCCTCTTCCAGACGTGCTCCAAGACACCTACCCCGCTATCCCTAACCTTTCAACGCCGGCCGAACAGCCTGCGGTCCCCTCATCGCACCCCCCAACCTCAGCACGCTGTCTCCCAGATCCCCGTCCACACGAATGGGTTCCTCGATACGCAGAGCCCAAGAGAACGAGTCGAGAATCTTATCTCTGAACTTCAACAATCCGCTCGCAACGCTCCGGAAGAGCATGTTAAGGACCTTGGTCGCGAGAGCACTGTCCTCCAAGAATACAACCAAGCTCTGCGCGCTATCCTGAACTCTCCTAATGGCGAGGAGTTGGCCCGGTTGACCTCCCTCAAGGTTTGCACAACTCTATACGGCCAATCTTCGGGATCTCTGGAAATCGAGGTTCTTGTTCATCTTCTCGCCAAGCTGTGTGACTTGTCCTCAGTGATCGCACGGTACACCTGGGCGCTTCTTGCGGAGATTGACGACGAGCACATGTTTAATGTTCCTGTCACTGTTGCTCTCATCGACGCAGGCCTTCTTGACATCCGCCGAGTGGATATGGTTCTCACTCGCCTCATCATGCAAAAGAATGTCAGCGCTCTCGAGTTGCTCGACACGCTGATGAGCCGTGTCCTCTTCAACGACGAGCCCTCCGCTCTTCGCTCCGACTTCTCTGGTAGCTTGGATGCCATGAGCCAATGGCTCTCCGAGGATGGCAACATTGCTCCCGCCTTGGAGATCATTCGCAAGCTGCGCGAGTGTGGAATTCCCGAAGTCGCCAACCCATTACTCAGTGATCAGGCTAGGTCCAAGCGTGACCAGATGGAGTACATCTTCAGCGAGTGGATTGGTATATACAAGGCCTCTGGTGCCAACGAGCGTACCTACCTCTCTTTCCTCCAGGACATGCACAACCGCCAAGTCATGAACCTGCAAGAGGACTCTGCATTGTTCTTCCGCCTGAGCATTGACATTTCTGTCGCCATGTTTGAGCATGAGTCTCAGAACCCCAATGGCAGCTTGGATGAGGCTTTCCTCTATGTTGACGCCCTCGCCAAGCTTGTTATTCTATTGGTCAAATCTCAAGGAGAGAATGATGGCGCTGTCAGTCTCAGCAAGCCTGCTTACTTTGGCTCCATTCTCTCATCTCTTGTCTTGGTTCTTAATCACCATCAAGTTATGCGTGGCGAGGCGTTCAACCAACGTGTTTTCTTCCGCCTGTTCTCTAGCATCCTGTGCGAATACTCCGTTGCAGGTCTCCAGCTTCATGAGGAACACCAGGGCATGATATTTGCACTGGCTAACAAATTCCTGTCCCTGCAGCCCCGCTACTTTCCTAGCTTCGTCTACGGCTGGCTTTCACTAGTCTCCCATCGTGTCTTCATGTCTGACATGCTCAACATGCCCGAACGTGCCGGTTGGGCTGTCTACTGTGAGATCATGCAGGTCTTGCTTTCCTACATTGGTGAGCAGCTCAAGGCAGCCAACATCTCTTATGTCGCCAAGGACTTGTATAAGGGAGTGCTCCGCATCTTGTTAATCCTTCACCACGACTTCCCGGAGTTTGTCGCCGAGAACCACTTCCAATTCTGCAACGTGATCCCCGCTCATTGCGCCCAGCTTCGCAACTTGGTTCTCAGCGCCTACCCTTCATCTTTCCAGAAGCTTCCCGATCCTTTCCGTGAGGGTCTGAAGGTTGAGCGAATTGAGGAGATGCGGGAGATCCCCAAGATCGCAGGCAATGTTGCTGCCCCCCCTGCAGCAGGCAAACCTCAAGGACGTCATCGATACTGTCCTGCAGAGTGACAATGCATCTGAAGCCGTGGTTCAACAAATTTGTGACACTGTTGTCAACGATGAACCCCGCGATACTGCTCTTTTCTACCAGCCCATTAATGTCGATGTTGTTCTAGTCAACGCGCTTGTTTTGTACATTGGCCAACAAGCTGCTACAGAACACGCATCGAAGAGCAATACCCGAAGCGTCTTCGAGAACTCCAACCATGCCGCTCTTCTGGAGAAACTTGCCCAAGCAATGCAGCCCGAGGCTCGTTACTACTTGTTGAGCGCGATGGCCAACCAGCTGCGATACCCCAACAGCCACACCTACTTCTTTAGCTTCACCATCCTGCGTCTGTTTGGTGTTGACTACTCTGAGCAGGATGAGTCTGACATCCGCCAGCAAATTATTCGTGTGCTGCTGGAGCGACTCATCGTCCATCGTCCGCACCCGTGGGGTCTTATCATTACCCTGCAAGAGCTTCTGCAAAACCGCAGCTACTCTTTCTTCCGCCTCCCCTTCATCCAAGCGGCCCCTGAGGTATGTTTTTATTATTCCGTTCTGTATCCTCTCTATCCCCGGCCCCGAACCGGCCCTAACATACTTTCTTACAGATTGGACGTCTTTTCGACGCTCTCCTGCAACACATCCAACAGCAAAGCCCTCGTCCCATTGCGTAATCTTTGCTACCTCCCTCAACTACGAATTTTCTCCCGACGGTACAACCACACCGCACTCCACTCCTCCTTGCGCTTCTCCATGGGGTCCATTGCTTTTACACTTCTATTTTATTTTATTTTTTTCATGTCTCACGTTTCATGTGAAGGCCAAGGTGGGCGTGGGGGGTTGCATGCATCTTTTTCTACCCGTGTGTCACGATTTGCGCATGGCTTGAGATATTATGATATTTTCGCGTTTCAAGAGCTGCGCGACCTGTAATGATAAGATTGTAAAAGCTGGAGTTGAGGGTCTTCTGCATTCATGGTGGGAATCATTAGTTCAATCTATCATTCATTCGTGCTAGGTATACTTTTGGAATTTTAGATCATTTCCCTTCCTACTACCATCATGATGGTGGTAGGTAGCGTAGCAACTAACTAATTGACTAGTAGTAATTTGCTACATATCTCAAGAACATTCGAGGTGAATTTCAATCATTGCCGAGTTATAATCTCAGTAGTTTTGAACCTGTTCGCTCTGGTCTGTAGTCTATGAATACCACGGTGTGCTCGTACTTCCAAAGTGGGGAGGCGATAAGATCACCCTGAGCTACCGAGGAACTTGGATTGTCTCCAACTGCTTGCAACACCTCCACCACCCCTGCAACATGGCTGACTCCGAGTACACTGATGATGAAATGGATTATGAGAGTCCATCCTCACAAGCTATTGTCTTTGTATGTAACATGTCTGTTCCACTTTTCTTCAACACTAACATCAGGCAGGACGCGTTCCTGGCGCCATTTCGCGCGCTGTTCTCCAGGACCGCCCTCCGCATTTACCTCAACATTTTCTTGTTCACCATTGCCACACTCGCTCTTTTAGGTGTTTCGGGAATCGCATATGCAATATTTTACCTCAGATTCATTCCCACGGTCGGGATCGACCAAAACGTCCACCTACAGTTCGGGTAATGCTGGTCTCCTATACTCTCCTTCACCCCGCGTACTGACACCCATCTCCCTGACAGTGACGGTCATCCTTGGGGTACTGTTTCCCTTGAGCCCGATTTTGTGCATTCCCAGCCCTACGATGTCGCCGTCGTGCTCGAAGTTCCTCCTACACCCTCCAACCTTGATGTGGGCAACTTCATGGTCGACCTCACTCTCCTCGCTCCTCCATCCGGCTCTGGCCTAGCTGCCGTATCAAATAAACCGAATCCAATCCACCACTCTCGTCGACCGGCTATCCTGACCTACACCTCTCCTCTCGTGGATGTTGCGCGGCGAGTACTGCGCCTACCCTTGTACATGGTGGGCTGGCAACGTGAAGCCCAGATATTGGAGGTACCGATGATGGAGAAGATTGAATTTAGGCGGGGCACGCGCAATCTACCCCAAAGCCTCCGACTCGAACTCCAGAGCGATGGAAAGATGCAGATTTATTCCGTGCAAGTCGAGTTCCGAGCCCGATTTACCGGCATGCGGTGAGATCTCTCGGGGAGTTTAATACTGTGAAGAAATATGACTAACTCTATCTTAGATGGTTCATGTACCGCTGGAAAATTATGTCTTTTATGATATTCAGTTCCATGTTCTGGACCATTTCGTTGGGCTCGGCCAGTTTGACTTGGTTCATAGTGAGCTCGATCTGGCAGTCGGGTACGCCAAAGGAAGAACTCAAGGAGGATTCAGACGATGATTTGAAGAATGACACCGAGACAGAAGAGACCAGCTCTTTGGATGAAGTTGTCAAGGTGAAAGATGAAGAAGTGGATACTAAGTTGCTGCAGAGCTATCCCGAGACAGGAATTGAGGCCGTTGGATCGGGCTTGGAGAGCGCAGAGGGCCGAGGAATACAGAAACGGCGAATGCATTCACTCGAGGAGGATCAGTGAAGGTTACATGTGTTGAAAAGTGGTTGAAAATGTAGCATTCTTTTGTTTTTAACGCAATACCCATGATATTCTTATCCCAATGCCAATGTCAATGCCAATGTTTATGTCAACGTGATTTTCCCCAGGAGTGACGTTCCACGGTTTCCACTCTTCCCGATAAAAAGCGCCGCGCGGGGGGGAAATCTCCGATTTCTCCCTTCCCCCCTCCATCCCCTCATTGCAATCAACATGCACATCTTGGTCCGTCACTCCCCTACTCCTCTTCTCCGGAAGAAGGTTTATACATCCAGTATTATAAACAAATCATTAACCCAAATCTAGGTCACTAACGACGACGGTCCACCGTCGAACCAGTCGTCACCGTACGTGCATTCGCTCGTGCACTCACTCCAGGCCGCGGGGCACACTGTCTCGGTCGTTCTTCCTCACCAACAGCGATCATGGATTGGTAAGGCACATATCGTGGGCGCATCGGTGAAACCGACATACTTCCGCCCAGGTACTTTACATCAAGAGGATGGTACAGTTCACCACCTCCCGCGGGGGAGCAATGGTGAACCTGATGACGGCGGCGATGAATGGATCTTGATTGATTCGACGCCCGCAAGTTGCGTTCAAGTTGGTCTGTACCATTACTTTGAAGACCGCGGGCCGATCGATATGGTTGTATCTGGGCCCAACTATGGCCGCAACACCACCGCACTGTTTGCCATGTCGAGTGGAACCATCGGTGCCGCGATGGAAGGTGCCGTGTGTGGAAAGCGCTCCGTCGCGTTGTCATATGCATTCAGTTCTCGCAACCATGACCCAATTATCATTGCTGAGGCATCGAAACATTCTGTGAAGCTGATCGAGTATCTTTATGCCAATTGGGGCGATAAGGTTGATTTGTACAGCGTCAATGTTCCGTTAGAGCCTGGTGTCAGCCAGAATAAGGTCTTATACACAAAGATGCTACAGAATAAGTGGTCTACGGGTAGTTGCTTCGAAGCCACCGACCCTGGTGCCTCCGAAGACCCTGAGCTGCAGGAACAACGGTTACGCATTGAAAGCGAGATGATGGCTGGCAAGGGAGCCGTTTCGACCCAGAAGGATGAGAGCACGTCTAAGCTAAAGCACAAGCATTTCAAGTGGGCCCCTAACCTTGGAGATGTTTACCGGAGTGTTGAGGAGAATGCCCCTGGAAATGATGGATGGACTGTTAAGGAGCAGATGACCAGGTGAGTCTCTAACTCATTGTTCGCAAATCCATCACAACCCAAAGTGCTAACCTTTTATTTTCTTCCATCAGTGTTACGCCTCTTCAAGCGAGTTTCATGCATGCACCCAACATCGAGGGCGAGATCAAGCTGTGAGTGGAGATTCTGGTATGATGGCTATGGATGTTTCGTTTCAGATATACATGGAATTGATACACTAGATATCTGGCTTAGCTGATAGACGTCATGCTCCCCTTTACCCATTTTGCATTTGATACTTTTATATCTTGCTGTTTGCCATCTCTTCTTCCTTTGTGCAGAGTGATTCTGATAGAAGTGGTCCCTGTAGATCGGATGACCAGCCAACAGTGTATTCCATCGTCGATTGTGATGACCCCTATGTGCAGGCTCTAGTCGACCAAGCCTTGACCCGCCGACTTGGAAGCAAGGCTCGCTCTCAACGAATTTCCGATATCTCCGACCTGCCCGATTCTTCTGCGCCTGTGTTCCAGTACCGCGAGTATGAACGCCTGGACTTCGAACATATCATGTGCCGACCATCGACCTCCCTTTCCAACGCATACATCATTCGAAAGGCCCTGATCCGCAAGCATTACCTATCCAACACGGTAGCAAATTGGATCTCCAAAAACCCGGACAGTATTTTGCGAAACCATTTTAAACCTGCATTCGACTTTGAACTGGACTATGCTGAGTTCCTCGACGAGGCTTTATTGGAGGCTTACGAGCTACGTGAAAGCATGGAGAAGAACGAAGAGCGGCCCGAGTCCGAAAAGGAGTGGTGGATTCTCAAGCCTGGCATGAGTGACCGAGGACAAGGTATTCGGCTCTTCAATAGCGAGGATCAACTACGCGAAATCTTTGAGGAGTGGGAAGAAGACTCCGATGACGAGGAGAGTGGATCTGAGAGAGATGAAGCATCGGTAGATACAACCGAGGCGCACGATGCCGGTATTGTCACTTCCCAGCTGCGTCATTTCATGGCACAGCCCTACATTGACCCCCCGCTTCTTCTCCCTTCGTCCTCCAATCGCAAATTCCACATCCGAACCTACGTTCTCGCAACAGGTTCGCTGCAAGTCTATGTTTTCAAAGAAATGCTTGCTCTCTTCGCCGCGAAGTCTTATTGTGCTCCTCATGAGGAGGACGATGAGGTCAAAGATCTAGCTCGACACTTGACAAACACATGCTTCCAAGAGGGTGGTAGCTCAAATGAGGGTAGTGTGCGCCGCTTCTGGGACCTGGACCACCATGTCCCAGGCCTGTCCGCCGACTGGAAGGAGAAGATCTTCGAGCAAATTTGCGCAGTCACAGGCGAGGTCTTTGAAGCTGCAGCTCGAGGAATGATGGTGCATTTCCAGACTTTGCCGAACGCCTTTGAGCTGTTTGGCGTTGACTTCCTTGTCGATGCCTCCGGAGATGTCTGGTTGCTGGAGTTGAATGCCTTCCCGGATTTTGCCCAGACTGGAGAGAACCTCAAGGAAATGGTTGTTGGGAAATTATTCGAGGAGACCATTGATGTTGCTGTCAAGCCCTTCTTTGGACTCGGATCGAACGATAGTAAGGGTGATATGAAGCTTGTCAAAGACTTGGACTTGGGAAGAAAGAACTAAAAGTGAAATCGTGGTTTTCAACCTTTTTCTTGTTTGCATTGGGGGGAGATGGACATAGATAGGCGTTGACTAGAAAAAAGTTTCGGTGTACTGTTATTACCGGCTCGGAAGAAAAAAGTATGGGGATAATGTGATATGCTTCTTTTTATACAAATACACCTTGGAATTGAATCCCGAAGTCTATGAAACCCAAATCATGCGAGAGAATCGTTCTTCCAAAATATGCGACCTTCAAATAACCGACGTGCCGTGCGAAACACGGTTGCAGAAAGCAATGCACCAGCATCATCAAAGTTCGCGCCGACTAACAAATTGCCACTAGCGTGGCCGATCGTGATACCCGCATCATCGACAGGATTCTTTCCAGCAACAACATCTGCAACTGTACTGTTAGGTACTCGCGCAGCGGCCGCCAGTGCTAGAGCAACGGTGATAGGAACGGCCTTATGTGGCTGTCCTACGGAGAGAGCACGAGCCAAAAGATCAATATTAGCAGGTGTCTGGCTCTGCGAGGCATCTCGCGCACTAGAGGATGAAGGCGCAGCAACAAGACAGATCTTCGGTATGCTCCCAGGTACAGCTTCAGGTGTCTCTGCAATACCCATCTTGACACCAGCCTGGCGGCGAATGGAATTCAGACGTGAAAGCAGGTCCGGATGCGCAGTGATCTCATCTGGCGTCAGATTACCCTCGACGCCAAGGTCATGTGCACGAATAAAAACACATGGATTTGCTGCGTCGAGACAGGTCGCGGGGATACCGTCAATGGTGTCGACCGGGCTACCAGTTGGTAGGAGAGACCCTGTCACTGAGCCGGCTGGGTTTATAAAGTCTAGTTGGATGCGAGCAGCCGAGCCCGCGACACCATCAATTGAGAATTCACCAGTTGCAGCGGCCTCCCCGTCGACAACTGGGAATGAAGAGTGGATGATTTTGCCTGTATTGGTGTTGTGGATGCGCACCGAGGTCGAATCCACGTTCTTCCCAGATAGGGGAAATAGCTCTGCGTCGACAGCAAAAGGTCCGACGGCGCTGATCATGTTCCCGCAGTTGCTGGAGTAGTCAACATCGGTATTTTTTATACCGAGTGAGACGAATGTGTAATCGACGTCAGCGTCGCGGTGGGTGGACTTGCCCACGACGCAGATCTTGCTGAGACTTGAAATACCCCCTCCCAGGCCGTCAAGTTGACGACCGTAGGGGTCAGGACTGCCGATGACGCCTCGGAAAATCGAGTCCCACTGTTTGCGGTCTTGTGGGAGGTCTTCTTGCTTGAAGAACACGGCCCGCGACGTTCCACCGCGATAGTAGGCGGCGGGCAGGGCATTTTGCTTCGTGCCCATTGTGATCGGGCGCTTACAGATCTTTGCTAGCGGGCCCTGTGTAGGGAGCTTTGAGATATTTGAGCTGAACATTCTGCCTCTGTTATATTATTAGACACATTCAAGCAGGTAATTCAATGACGAGCATAGTAGGTGTAAGTTATAAGTTTAGCAAAGATCCGATGATCGGAGGTAGAATGGAAGGGGCCCGTCCCATCGACGGGTCCGCGCCGTCAATCCGGGCATTCTTAAATGGTGAACAGATTGATAGATTTTGCTGTTACTTGTGGTAGATTTAAGCTATTTGCTTTTGGGTAGCGTAGACTGTATCAATGTCTAAATTTCTAAGATCCTCAGCTTGGTTGTCACCTGGGCATGGCCTATATAATAGGACAGGGATTTGATGTTAAGGTGCAAATTCAAATTATCTACCGTCTTCAATGAGGTTTGAATCCATGTATTTACCCAATATAATCTCGTAGCTAGTTTTCCTTGTAATAGTAATGCCAAAAATCTCTGGGCTCCTGAGCAGTCTCGAGTTTTTAGTCTAGCCAGATATTGAAGTACGCAAAGACGTTTTCACTAGGGTATTTCACCAGTCTGAGATATTTCTCAAAGCCTATGGGATTACATGGATTTTAAATCCAATTTTCCCTTCTCGTCAATCCCCATGGGGTGTCTTGTGTCTTGGAAATTGGAGGGAAATACATGGCCATTCATTTGTCGGGTTCGCTGGCGATGCCGATCGGATACGGAGGAAGCCCACATCCGAAGGGCCGAGAGTGTCGAGATCCGACAATTAGACTCTCCATCCCGGGGGGGTCTCTCAAAAGCGCGGGGGTTGGGTGCTAATTGGCAGCAATAACCCCACAAATATACCGAAGCTTGCCCGCTACAACCAAAGATGGTGCGGATGATGATGATCATCGTGTTCGATTAGCACTCTGTGAAGGCAGACCGCTGGAGGGTTGGCTCGATTAGACTCCCACCTTCTTCCGGCTCGCCGGACACTAGCCGATGAAATCAACTTTCGGATATATGGTAGTAAACCTCTCAAGACTAAGGGTGAATCGGTACTTAAACCAAGGGGCTGGTCGTTAAGCTGTAACGTCATATTGACTACTATTTTCTGTGAAATTCGTGTCCTCCAATTCCACGCACACATCACGCATACTACAGCATGTCCGGATATCAACCCACCATTCTTTTTGTTCCTGGTGCTTGGCATGGACCCGATGGGTTCGACGCTGTTCGTGCCTCCCTGTCATCTCGCAACATTCCTACCGAAGCCTTAGCGCTTCCCTCGATCGGTGCTGAGCCTCCATCAAAAGGGCTCACGGATGATACCATCTTTGTTCAGAGTGAAATTGAAAAGCTCGTCGACCAGGGCAAAAAAATCGTGGTTGTCACTCACTCATATGGCGGGATGGTGGGTGCGGGCGCTGTGAAGGGGTTGGAGTATACCGAAAGACAAAAGCAGGGCAAAAAAGGCGGCGTCATCATGCTGGTATACATGGCCGCATTTGTTGCTAAGCAAGGTGACAGCCTCTTGAAGATGCTGGGCGGTAATTACTTGCCGTGGATGAATGTGCAGGTAATTTATACTAATCTCCTTGATTTGAAGTATGTGGGTGGTTAACGCAATATAGGGAGACTATTGTACCTCTTCAAATGAAGCTCAAACATTCTACCACGACCTTTCCCCACAAGATCAGAAGAAATGGATTTCCAAGCTGACGCATACCTCTCGTGCCGTTTTCGAGGATGCCGTTATGCATGAGCCTTGGCACACTCTACCTTGCATGTACATATTCTGCGAAAAAGATCAAGCTCTGCCTATTTTTGTGCAAGAAGCCATGGCGGGACTATTGGGCAACTGCACTCAATTCAGATGCGAGAGCTCCCACTCTCCATTTTTGAGCATGCCGGAGAGGGTCGCCGAGGGCTGCGAACTGGCAGTGAAGATTGGAGTGGAAAAATGTGAAGCAAAGTGAAACTTACGTTGATGTATATACCCAGTCATGTGTTTTTATTTCGGGGTGCAGATCATTTTGTTGATTTTTGAGAAATACCACAATATACCTAGTTCAAGTTTGACAATACGGCAAAGCCTCGGCGTAGACAGTCTCCATTATGCGTACTAGTAATGCTCTCAGCTTCTGCTTGAACACCTGGGCAACACCTGTGCAGGCGGCCTAGATGTCTATCGGCGTGGAGATGTGTTGCAAGCTCCCCAGTTGTATTGATTCAAAGGCTCTACTAGTACTTTTGGTTTTTCTTGATATGATAACTCTTCAACCTATAAAAATGGATCAAATCCACGGGGACCGAGCGTGTGCCCCATGCCAGAATTCTTCCATCCAGTCCACACGAGATCCTGGTGTAATTATGTTAGCTACCATCATGCATATTTTTCCAATAAAGTATACTAACAGGATTGGGGTAGTCGCAACGGTTGATGAACACAGTTCCTGCCTCCAGCCGTTTGAGAAGGCATTCACCTGCCTTGAGATCTTTGGTCCAAATGCTAGCGGTTAAGCCGTAATCGCTGTTGTTCATCCACTTCACAGCTTCATTGTCTGAGCTCACACGCATAATAGGGATGACGGGCCCAAGTGTTTCCTCTTTCATAACCAACATATCATGATTAGCATTGGTAAGAAGACTGGGCACTACATAGTTGCCCTCGGTAGAAGGACTTGCAAAATTAGGGTTGGGTGGCGTTTCATTTACGGCACCTTTGGTCAAAGCATCCATGATCTGTGCTTTCACAGAAGCCTGGGCAGCTCGTGATATTGCTGGTCCAATATTGACTGTCTTGTCTGAAAGATTGCCTAGCTTGTATCTAATGCACCAGAAAACCCTTTGCGTCAGCAAGTTCCTTTTTGTAAACGTTACGTAGGTAGAACTAATCAACTCACTGGGCTAATTCTTTCTGAACATCTTCCATGAAAGCATCGTGTATATCAGCATGGACATATACTCGCTCAATGGCGCAGCTGCTCTGGCCTGCATTGAAGACGGCACCATCCACAACTTGCTCTGCGACGTATTTCAAGTCTGTATCGGGTCTCACATATGCGGGATCATTGCCACCGAGTTCAAGGTTGACAGGTAAGAAACGACTGGCAGTACTTTCTCGAAGCATACGACCCCCTTGTGTAGAGCCGGCAAAGCTGATGAGTTTGATGTCAGAAATTTACACAATACTCTTCAAAGTATCTGGGCTTCCTGAATGAATGACTTGTAAAACATCCTTCGGAAGTGCCTCGGGGAAGATCTCCGCGATCCGCTCGCCGACGAGAGGAGTTTGAGGAGAGGGCTTCAGGACGACCGAAATTCCAGCAAGCAGGGCAGGAAGTAGCGAATTGACAATAATTAGATAGGGAAACTGTGGCTGTTAAACTTTGTACCTATTGCAAGAATACTCGATGAACACACATTCTAGGCAAATATGACCAAGGTTGAGCCGATAGGCTCTTTCTCAATCCACCGGCGAAATCCCGCCTCTGGCTGGCCTGGCAATGACTGGAGAGCTTGTTCGGATACTCCTAGCAGATAATCGGCACGCTTTTGCATAGTTTCTACTTCCTTGGCGCCAAAGGCAATTGGACGGCCCATTTGTAGAGTCAACTCCTCAGTCAGCAAGTTCTTTCGTTTCTGAAAAAGCTCCAGTGCCCTGCAGACAACATCCTTTCTCTGAGAGAAAGGGCAATCTTTCCATGGCAAGAAGGCCTATGTTGAAGCTCTCAAGACACTCTCAGCCCCGGGGAGGTCAAGCTCTTCTCTTTCACAAATTACCTCATTGGTAGAAGGAGACAGAGTCCGGATCTTATCGGTCATTTTGAGGATATTCGTAGATCGATCTCACTGAGATAATTGGCAGGCCGTAGCTGGACGAGAGCGATGAATGTTCAGGCTTTGAAGAAAAGAAATGCAATGACGGGTCTTTTCAATTGCACCAGTTTGCCTCCGTCCCTATGATCTACCAACTCCCATACCCAAGATCTCCATCAAGATCCATGATAATCCCAATCAAACAACGTAGAAACGCGGCTCGCGATGTCGCTGCTTAAAGTGGATCAAATATGGCCAATCAGAATCAGGACCGCGCTGGGAATGATGAATGTCCTCAAACACAAGAATATGTGGGGCCGCGAATAAATTCCCTCTATGAGGGGAATTTGTTAGCCAAACGCGCACTCGATGGAACCTCGGTGTCTCTTTGCTTCTACCGACCAAAATATTATTTGATCGAAAAGTTCGGCAGGATTTGCAATTTGTATTTTTCTCTTTTTTGACCCTGAGATATTCAATTCCACAAGTTACGGCGACATCTACTTTCAATCATGAAGTCCGAGATTAACAATACAAAAGATTGGGCAAAATGCAATGGCTCATCTCATGGACTTGCAGAGATCTTGAAAAACGACACTCGTGTTCAGCTAGCTGGCATTGACTGCGATGGCCAGCTCCGTGGTAAAGTCATGTCGAAGGAAAAGTTCCTTTCGATAGTTGATTCAGGCTTCGGTATGAGCTCCGCCATATTCGGCTGGGACATGCATGACATGCTTTTCGATGAGAACAACACTATTGCGTCGTCTGAGCAAGGCTATGCCGATTTTACCAGTGTGGTTGATCAGCTTTCAATGCGCCGTCTGCCCTGGGCTCAAAATATGCCGTTTTTCCTACTTCGATTTACTGCCAATGATCAGGCAGTCTCCGCCTGTGGTCGAAGCATGATAAAGATGCTTTCAAAAAATCTAGCTGAGGCCGGCTGTAAAGGAGTGGCTGGAGGTATGCTATATACTATACACCCCTCAAAGTGCCAGGTTGTACTAATGGCTGAAGTTGAATTGGAATTTTTCAACTATCAAACACCATCGGAAGATGGATACCACGATCAGAATCCTTCAAAGCGAAAGAACCTTGCGGCCTTCCTGCGCAACCACCAACCCTCCGATCTCCGACCATTGACAGATGGTATGTTTGGATACAGCGTTGCCCGCCCCATGGCTTCGAGTGATTTCTTCTTTGATGTCATAGATACATGTGCGAGATTGGATTGTCAGATTGAGAGTTGGCATACTGAATCGGGCCCTGGAGTTTTTGAAGCAGTGAGTCTACAGCTTTTTCGCATTTTTTTCTATTGCTATCTAATATTTCATGTTCTTTTTTTCAGGCACTCCGCGTTTGCGAGATAGAAGAAATGGCGGACAGGGTTTCCTTATTCAAGTGAGATGTATCTTTTTTAAGCTTGAATCTTCTATTAACCCACTTGCTAAAACTTTGGACTTCTCAGGTATATCACACGATGTCTCGGTAATCTACATGGTGTTACACCTTGCTTTTTGGCAAAACCGGTCTCCAGTCTGCCAGGAAATTCGGGACATATTCATGTTTCCCTAACCGATCTTGAAGGAGAAAACTTGTTTTCTCGCGAAACTGCGGATCCAAACTCGCCTTGGCCTGATATAGCCAATGTCTCGGATTTGGGTCGCCATTTTCTGGCCGGTCTGCTCAATGCTCTGCCGGATCTAATGCCTCTTCTCGCCCCAACTATAAACTCTTACAAGAGACTAGTAGAAAACTACTGGGCTCCAGTCCATTTATCATGGGGGGTTGGAAGATCGAAGAGCGTCGATTCGACTCATTGCACCACCTGTGTGCAAACCGGGCGCTACTCGTTTTGAAATAAGGATACCAGGAGCCGATCTACACCCTCACTATGCACTTGCAGCTCTTGTTTCTGCTGGCTGGAAGGGAGTGGAGAGAAAATCTGAGCTCACTATTCCTCCACTATCAGCACATGACCCTGTGAATTCGACACTCTACTATTTGCCTAATTCTCTCGAGAAAGCCGTTGAAAAGTTCAAGTCGCCAAATAGTGCTGCTCGAGATATTCTCGGTTCCGAGTTCGTCGACTTTTTCACTATATCTCGTGAACATGAGCTGCGGTTATATCGTGAGGCGGTGACTGACTGGTAAGTTAGAGCATGCTTCATTTACTTTATCTTCAGCCTGAATTCTCATACAAATATCTTGATTAGGGAGTTCAAGCGCTATATTGAGATTGTATAGAGTCGAATGAGAGTCGCCAACCTTGGAATATACACTCCGTTCGAGGTGATGGTATACACTAGTGGCTTACTACTACTAGTAGTATCAACCCGATTATCCTCCCTTTATGTTCGATAATGTCTTTTTTTGTCCCCAAGGGCTACTTTAGCTATCTAAATAGCTGATATAAATGAATTGCGTGTTAAAAATATCATCCCTCAAAGGCCATCCCGATAGACACTATGCTCTGGCTAAGTCGGCTCTCTGGTTGTAACAGAAACAATACTATCCCTAGGATTGCTACCTACGCCCCATTTACTATGGACAGATAGGCTGAGATACATACAATGTGTATTGCATTGTCTACAGAACCATCTAGTTAACGGACTCTCCCCATGTCATTTCTCGTGCATCAGACTAGTAACCCTATTCTGACGAATCACAGGCTTATAGCTCGAGACCTCTGGCCTTCAGCAAGGTACTCGTGTAGTCCGATTACCGGCACCATCCGTTTCTTCGTTCTCGTGCTTAGTATCTTCGTTTAATGTCACTGTGTTTATTACATTTCTTCATTGCTTAACCGGGCTGGGCTGTTGCAACCAGGAGCTAAATTTCTAGAGATTGCTCTGCCAATCAGGATGATTTCCGCTTGGCCTCCATTTCTCTACATCTCGCAGCCAGGTATCTTGCGGAAGAAGACCGGTACGCGGTCAGCACTTATTAGTTATGAATTGTCATCTTTATCTGAGTAATGATGTACAAAGGATATGTCAAACTACTTAAGGCACCATAGTATGATCCAGAGAGGTAAGAATCTATATCAAAGTATTTACTCATTCTTCGGGACTTCATCAGATCTACAACTTTGTCGGAAAGACTGAGCAACAAGAGCGCCATTATCACCGGCGCCGCTAGGTGGAAATACTTCCGAGCCAATATCCTCCTCATTGGCGACATCCCTTTCTGCCAGTACTCCCAGGATACCGTGCTCCTGTGACAGTCGAATAACATGCCAATTTATTTGATCAGTAAGGATGCCAAATCCTGGGATTGCGCTTGTCTCTCGTGACATTTCTATTGCATCTGAGTTTACAAGCACTTCGTTCAGCTCCATATACACACTGCACACTTCAGCTAGGACCCGCGTAGCTAGCTGTTCCTTCTTCACCATTCCAGTACACAGCTGTTGTAAATCATTTGCAAGAAAGTTCCCTATTCAAGTTTTAATATCTAAGTTCCTTGTGTCACAAGAAAACTTCGGATTTTACATACCCGTAAGTAACTCTAGAACAAACCCCGTAGGTATTTTATCTTTGACAGACTGAATCAAATGCGCTGTTGGACTTGACCCAATCGACAGCACTAATGGTTTGTTTCTCGGGGAAAATTGTGCGGCTACCTCGACAACTCCGTCTATTTCAGCTTCGAGAACAGCCTCGACCGAATCCTTGGTGCGACACTAATAGGAGTGGCCAGCATGGCAGTATATCCCTTGGATATCGATCGCAGGTGAACGCTCGGCACATTTTATGAGACTCGACTATACGTGATATTTTGTCAAGTCTAGCGTGCTGGGAGCCGACGTCAATTTTGATGAACACTTGCCATGGCTAGACACCGGGGTGGTCTGATGTAAACTTTTCAAGCAGATGGATTTGCTGCTCGTTATCGATCATCAACGAGATATTCACTGTGTTCGATAATTTCTGTAGACGCGGCAATGCGCTTCCAGTGACAGGAAATTCGTAAAGACACTAGCACAAATAAGACTTTGCTTGCTTGTAATTGTTGCTTTGTCAACTGCGTACTTCTTCTAATATCCCTTCTTCCACGGGCGGCAGGGAGCCCTCAATCTCGCACATCGTGGATGCGACAAGTTTTGAAATGTGCTGGCCAACATAGCGATTATGAGTTCGAAGTGAGATGTCCATGGAGAGTGAATGGTCAAAAACTGGCCGGGAATCCTATGTTAGGAACAGATAAAAGATAAACAATATTTAATCATTTGTTTTTCCCAGCCAGGAACTTGATAATCTTGTTTGCCGCCTTCACAGAATTAGTGTTACCGCGGCTAACTGATATTTCTCAACGGCACCAATCAGATACAGGACCGCGCCAGCCGTCCCCACAATGACCCCAGGCAATTATTATCTGGGAATACTAGTATGGGGTAAATCAGTAATTCCTACCGATATCTTGGAAACTCATAGATCACGGATTCAGTATGATACCGGTGGGAAGAGGGGAAGGGATCGAAGGTGTGATTATATGCTGGAAGCGAATCGGAAAGGGAAGTACTGCGTAGCAAGGCTGAGATAATTGAAAGACTTGTATTCTTGCTTTTGTTTGATTATCTCTCGGAATTGTGAAAATTTACTGAGCAATCAAAATGGCTGAGCCTAGCATCAAAGAAACGGATAAGACTTTAGACTTCGCAGAAGCAGGTCAAGATTCATCCAACGGCCATCTTAGTATGTTATCATAATCGGGCCCGTTTCAATCTTTTTCTCAAGGCGTCTAACTTTTGAAGATTTCGGACAAGTCCATAGCTTGAGAAATAATTTCTCTCTTCTGTCAGTCATTGGCATAGGCTTTTCACTTGCAAACTCCTGGTTCGGCATTTCAACCGCTCTAGCCACAGGCATTGGCTCGGGAGGCCCTGTTCAGATTGCTTACGCTCTTATCTTGGTTGCATTTGTGTGCGGATGCATAGCTGTCTCTCTAGCAGAGTTATCCTCCGCAATGCCCAATGCCGGAGGTCAATACCACTGGACTGCTTGCTACCCCAAAGTATAGCCGGCTACTTCCATATATCACTGGCTGGCTTGCATGGGCTGGTTCCATATTCACTTGTGCAAGTATTGCACTCGGTGTTAGACAGCTCTGTATGGGTTGTATCAAATTGGTCCATCCAAATTTGTTCGTGACTTTCAAGCTTCCATGATACCTGCCATTTTAAACTAACTAGAGCTTGAATAGAGAGCTGAAACCTTGGATGGCATTCGTCAGCTAACAAATTATCAATCTGAGCTGCGCATCATTCGATATCTACAGCAATACAATTGCACTGGTGACCCAATGTACCTTATGGACATCCATTATTTCCTTCATCTTCATACTGACCACAATACCGAGTAAGGCATCGTCTTATCAATCAGCAAATTTTTGTTTACAATTCATCAATGAGACGGGATGGAGAAGCGATGGCATTGCATACATTGTCGGGCTTGTCGACTCTAATTGGGCTCTCAATGGTCTTGATTGCGCAACACATATGGCCGAAGAAGTCTTGGAGCCGGAGCGTATTATTCCATTGCTATTATGGCAACCGTTGCAATTGAGTTTATCACTGCATGGACTTTTGGCATCGCAATGATGTTTTGCATGGAAGACTTTGAGGTCATTTCCGGGACTGATACTGGTGTTCCAATTCTTCAGCTGTTCTTCTAAGTGCTTGGAAATAAAGCCGGAGCTATTGCCCTAACCTCAATGATAATTTTGACTGGTTGTGGATGCCTCATTGCTTCGCATACCTGGCAAGCTCACCTCTGTTGGTCCTTTGCAAGGGACCGTGGTCTACCATGCTCCAAATATCTCGCTCGCATCCACCCAAAGCTACTGGTTCCTGTCTGGGCCCACTTGACAAGCACTTTGATTGTTGCAGTTTTAGGTTGTCTATATATTGCACCCTATACGGCCTTCAATAGCATAGTCACCGCTGCAGTTGTGCTCCTTTACGCCTCATACAGCAGTCCTGTGGTCTGCCTTCTGATTAAAGGACGTTCCAATATTCGAAGCGGCCCTTTTTGGCTTGGAAGAGCTGGATATGCTTGCAATATCGTCTTGCTTGCTTGGCCTTTGTTCACTTTAGTGGTAAGTCTTTATTTAAATTCCGAGTCCTTTATAAATATAGCTAACATAATTAAATGGCGATACTAGATGTATGCTTTTCCGCCTTCATATCCTGTGATACCTAGTAACAGGAACTATGTTTGTGTCGTTTACTTGATCACTTTGGTTGTTATCCTTACCTGGTGGGTGTTAGATGCTCGAATTCACTTTGAGATCACTTAAATTCACCTTCAATCAAATCCCTCCAGGAGTGGTGTCCAATACTACATATGTCCACCTAGGGCCGTATTTATTCTCTGTCAGTGTTTTTCATTTAGTCTCTCGGGATTGTGAAATCTGCTAATTCTTTAAATTACTAGTACCATCATCTCCCAAACGGATGTTCTTTAGTACTATGGCATTCTTTTCTCAAACTTGATGGTTTCATTGGTAGATGAATCCTTCCCGTTTCTCTTGAAATTGCCCTGGTATTATATACCTACGTAGTATTACTGCCATGCCTCGGTAGAGTCCTCCAGTCAAATATATTTTATGACGACATCGGATGCAGTTGAACCTGCTCCGGGAACCTTGAAAGGAATTCAATGGTTTACCTGGGCAACTTCCAAGGTTGAAGACAAATGAATGCATTGATGTAACCGCTTTTGCATGATTTCAGCATTGGAGCCTTCAAATTGGAGATTTCAACTTCTAGTAGTGGTCCAAAACTCGGGATAATATTAGGTGCCTTCATCTGATGTCTGTCTAATGCCATTACGTTATTTGAGGAGTCAGACGTAGATGGACTTCTCATCATTGCAAAAGTGGAGATCTCCACATCAACCAGCATCATTGGTCTAGTGGTAGAATTCGTCGTTGCCATCGACGAGGCCCGTGTTCGATTCACGGATGATGCATTACTTTTTGCACTTTGTTTATTCATTTATTCATTGATTCCATCGTGTAATTTTTACCGTTAGAAATGGAACCTATCTATATCAAACCCATCATGTCTTTGCTGTCTTAGCCGGCTTGCGAACTTGGCACGTGTGATAAATTATTTGTAGAACTATATTGAAGTAACCGACTTGGGCAATGTAGTAATAGAAATCCTTATTTGTTTAGTAGTACTAGTTTCTCATTGGGAAGACCACAGAAGCTAGGAGCCTAAGTCCTGTGTAATGATATTTGATGCCCAGGTTTTACTCGCGTCGAGGTACTCCGATCCCTGTTAGCTTGACTCCGGATTTAATCTCACCTTTTCTCTTCATTACTCTTATAACCCGATAGATTGACCTGAGTTTTTTTTTCACTCCTAACGGTGACTGCTATGTATCCACTTTGAATGTGGATTTTGTGCGCGGTTCTGTCATTGACGAATGGAAGCCCATACCGCGCATCCACCTTTTCATAATGATCCATCCAAAAGGCCAACGAAATGATCAACAACTTGAAGTTCGGGGTCAAATTCTGGAGATAGTGGGTTTCTCTAATGAGTTCCGATCGGCTTTCCCCCGCTTTCTGACGATGTAACATGCCCCTTGCCTCCCCCAGATAGCTGGCTTTAAATAATCTCGGTTTGTGTTGGAGTCTTCCCAGAGCTACGAATTGCCGTGCAAGTCTGGGGGGGTTTTTTTTTCTTATTTCCTCTTTTTTTTTGGAAATTCAGAGCGATGGAAATCAAGGATAACTCGTTTATTGCATCTCCAGGTGATCAGCATTCAAATTCCCGATCTCACAATGAAAATACCCTCAACATTAGAGCAGCTGGCCTTCCACCTGCCGATTCTATCTCTGCCGGTAAATTACTTGACGAACTAGACGAAGCTGAACAGCAGATAGCTGCTGCAGGAGAGGAAAAATTTAATCGCCTTGGATGGAAACAATTGACGCTCATGCTGGTGGTTGAGGCTATTGCTTTGGGTGCTCTCTCTATTCCTTCTGCATTCGCTACTCTAGGGATGATTGCCGGTGTCATATGCTGTATCGGGATTGGACTTATCGCTGTATACACATCTTATGTGATCGGCCAAGTCAAGCTGGCTTTTCCCTTTATACATCACTACGGTGATGCCGGCACATTGATGATGGGTCGGTTCGGTTATGAGTTGTTTTCTGCAATGTTTCTGCTTCAACTCATTTTTGTGACAGGCTCTCACTGCCTCACTGGGACTATCGCGCTCCAAACGATCACTGGGAGCACAATTTGTTCGCTTGTCTTCGGCCTTATTTCGGCTATCATTCTTTTCATCTTTGCAATCCCCTCATCTTTTGCTGATGTGACTATTCTCGGGTACATTGACTTTGCATCCATCATAATCGCTATCGGGGTCACTATCATCTCGACTGGAATACAAGCCACAAATTCTTCTGGTGGCCTGGCAGAAGTAACGTGGTCTGCCCTACCAAAAGAAAATTTAACCTTCTCTGAAGCTTACATTGCCATTGGAAATATCGTGTTTGCCTATTCGTTTGCCACATGTCAATTCTCATTTATGGACGAAATGCACACTCCCCGGGACTTTACAAAATCAATTTACACACTCGGTCTACTCGAAATTGGGATATATACTATCACTGGCGCAACAATATACGCTTTTGTTGGCTCTAGTGTTCAGTCCCCGGCCTTACTCTCCGCCGGAAACCTTGTCAGCAGGATCGCCTTTGGCCTAGCACTTCCTGTCATTTTCATTTCGGGCTCTATTAATACCATTGTGGCTGGGCGACTCATACATGGTCGAATCTACAAAGACAGTATTATCCAATACGTCAACACGCCTAAGGGATGGATCACATGGCTTTCTCTTATCACCCTATTCACAATAGTGGCGTGGATAATTGCTGAAGCCATTCCATTCTTTTCGGACTTGCTGACGATTGCTTCATCGCTATTTACGTCGGGGTTTTCCTTTTATATTCCTCCAGTAATGTGGCTCGTGCTCATTAAAAAGGGAAACTGGTATTCCAGAGAGAATATCTTGCTAGCTGCTGTCAACGGATTCGTGTTTATTTTTGGCTTGGCAGTCTTAGTTTGCGGTCTATATTCCAGCATTGAAGACATTGTGAGTTTAACCATCTTCGAATATAATCAAGAACTGCCAGTTTTGAACACCGATTCTGAACCAACTTGAAACTAACAATGGTATGCTTACAGGGAAAGCAATACCGCGAGGGCACTATTGGGACCCCTTTCAGCTGTGCCTAGAATTATATTACTCATACTAAGTCATTTCAGTCTTAATACCACTGCAGATCAAATAGTAGTACAATAGACCTGGAATGTCACATTGGTCTTTGTCCGACTCTAGAGTAGTAAAGCTTTGTAGGTGAAAATATAGGCCCGGGGTGGACCGGGGAAAATTACAGACCATGAAAGAAAAGTTTAATGGAGGAAGAGTGCGGTGAAACTCCCTTCAAGAAGTCGCCCAGAAACGTCGAAGACCCAGAAAACCATTATCTAAACGAGCTACTTACGCAGTCGCTTGATGGTCGCACCCATGGCTTCACCGGCCCGCAGTGCCTCCATGGTCTTCTCATCGATCTCAAAGCGCTCTTGGCAGAGTTCGACAACCTGCTGGGTCAAAGAAGGCGGAACAACCACGACTCCGTTTTCATCACCGACGAGGATATCTTCCGGGTAGATCCACAAGTCGCCCCGGAACTGCAAGGGGACATTGATCTCTGAAGCCCGTGTGAACGTGTTGGAACCGAGAACAGAAGTTCCCTTTGCAAAAACCTATTTTACTATTAGCAAGATGGCGGACTTTGGTGTCGAGTCTAAGATCTTCGCTCCAAGGCCGAGTTTGGTGAAGGATCAACTCACCGGGAACTTCATATCAATGTGCTCCTGTGTATCACGTATGCGACCATCCACCATGACACCCAGTGCACCAAGTTTCTGCGCCCGGGTAGACATCAGACCACCCCAGCAAGCGGAATACAGACCCTTGGGCTGTTGAATGTACATGATGTGGCCCTCCTTATTCGCATCGGCGAAATGGATCGGCGGCGTCGGGCCAGGGCTGTTTGTTTCAACCATTTTCACTGTAATAGCTGGCCCATAAATGCTAGTTCCGCCACCTGGTGAGTGCATATTGAGTCCATCCAAGAATCCGCCATAGGGGTGCTTCAGCTTCACAAGCGCGTCGCCGATCTGAAAGATTCGATTAGAGGAGCCAATTTTCACTGAAATACGTCTGGATTAAACCTACGTCGCACGTGGTGAATCTTTTGAGGCCCTGTAAGACCTGAGAGATCTTACTCATTGTGAATGACGCGATAATCCAAGAGAATGAAGCTGAGAAGTTGAGATGGACAGGGCGAGAAGTTGCTGGGGACCGCAGGTCGCGTATCAACGGATCTTCCCCGCTGCCGGAGCCACTCCGCTGGTCGATCGCATCTTTAAGCTGCTTTTTCCAAGGTTACTTGTCCAACTACTTAGTAGCCATAGGATTTATATTATTTTACCCACAGGGTGTTTTCTATGCAAAAATAATGGTCCATGTGTGTTTCCATGTATGAACCAGAACACAAATGGGCACATTGGGGGAGGGGGGGGGGCTTACTACTCATACCTATACTACCTAGTGATCACTGGCATGAAGTACGCTATGCACCCTTAGAGGGGCCTATATATACTAGTCAATTAAATCGAGCTTGCTAACTCCACATATCTTCAGTTACTCTAAATATTCCTAGTAAATCAGAAGCTACCCAATCGTAGTAGATACTATGCGCGAGGAACATCCCCGAAATAAATGTTCAAGCTGCTTAGCCAAAGCGTTGTTTCGCCAAAGTCTGTAGCCAGCCGATGGTTTCGTCCTCCTTCTCCCGATACTTTTGGATTCGCTCTTCCCGCTCTGCAGCACGCGCGCGCATAATCTCCTCCTGCGAAGCTCACGCTCATTCTTCTTCCTCTGGTCGCGTTCTTTCTCTTTCTTGAGGCTAGCCCACTCGCCATCTCCAGCACCCATGAGGTCCTCATCTCGTGCTGCCTCAGGAGACGCCCCCCGAGCCTCTGCAAACGAGCGATTCGCCGCAGCAGTTTCTCGACGTTTCTCAAGCTGTCGCTCCCGGGTGCCGGCCTCAGCTCGAGGTGCAATCTCATCTTGTAGGTGCCGCATCTCTGCCTTATGAGAACGAATCTCAGAACGATATTGGCCTCGTGACTCCTCGCGGGCAGCAATCGCATCTTCAATTGCAGATTCTGAATGGGTCAGTAAGAGACATAGATTTGAAGGGTATAATGACACTGACCTCTTTTAAGGTCAAGATCCTGCATATTTGGTATAGTCGGTCCAGGACGGTAGTGTCCTCCCATTGATCCTGGATGTGGAAGAGTCGGTCCATATTCATCATCGTCGTCCTCATCGTCATTTTCTGCAGTTGGTAGTTCCCGGGCGCCCTCATTATCCGCTGGTCGGCCCTGATTATATTCAGGTGATGCTCGACCTCCACCCGAATATGATTGTGCTTGATCCGAATTTTCTCGTGCTCGCTTCAGTGTTGCAGGGTCGTACCATCCTTCAGCGAGTTCGCCGCGGTTCCTGCGTAGTTAGCAAAGAGAATAAATATTGGCGGAATAGAATGCGACAAACCATTTCCCAGTAAAGCTCTTCCACCTCCCCTTGATTTCTTCTTCCTTCAATTCTTCAAGGAGTATACCTTTCTGGATATCCAAGTACATGGCGAACATCGGCTCGTAGGCCTCTAGGTCTCGCCTGCTAAGTTCTCGAGCCTGGCACGGGAGTATCACAGGCGCCGAAGGCTGCTTGTCTCGCTTTCCATGGCGCTCACTTCCGTGCTCGTTTCTTCGGTCCGTTTCATGTCGACGGTGGCGCTCCGACCTGTGTCTGTCGGATCGGTGGGGAGATCGAGATCGCGAGTGGTCGCGGTGTCGATGACGGTGGGAATGTGAATGTTCGTTGCGACTGCGATGGCGACGCTCTGGGCTACGCGTCCCGGGGGGATGCGAACGGTTCGCAGATGATTCATGGGAAGGCATTGTTGTCTGTTTTTTTCCCCAAGGGATGGTTAATCAAAGACCAGCTTCGACTTTAAGTTTTCGGAGGATTGGCCGCTGGAGAGTTTCTACCGGCGAATTGGGGTGGGATTGGAGCTTGCGCTTATCGCTTATCAGGCATCACCGCATTCGAGGCCATCCAAGGTATCATCTTGAGGTACCTTAAGGTAGTCCTAGGATCCCATATTTTAATGGTGCTCACTAGTACATCCACAATATATGGTATGGATGAGCAATATGGCGACCTCCGAATTGCAAACAGTGGATTCTAAAAGTCCCAATGTTCGACTAGGCCCTAAGTGTACTCCCCCAACTTGGAATGTCCATACAAAAAAAAAAAATTAGGTATCAAGGGAAATACAACTTTACGATGGCCATGGTTTCGGTGAAGAAAATATTTGATAAATACATCTAAGCGAAGAGATATACAAGGTTCCGTTCCGTCTACTCAGCCACCCACTTAACTAGGGGGGCGCAGTCTGATCATTGATCGAGTCAGCCGGCTTGTCACTGGCAGGTGCTGGGCTTGACTGGGTGGAGCTCTTGGAGCGGTTGGAAGCCGCCATCTGCCAGGCCGGAATGGAGGCGGATCGGCCTAACTTCGAGAGGGGACTGTCCGAGTTCTGGGGAGCCGGAGCAGTGGCTGGGGTGGCTGGAGCAGGAGTAGGCTCTTGTTCAGCCGGAGTCACGGTGGGCTGCAGGGCATTCAGCGACGGAGTACTAGCAGGGGCATCCTCTGTAGCCGCCCGTGGGGGAGGTGCCGGAGTCGGGTTTGGGCTAGGGATCGGGGTCGAGCTGCCAACAGTCCGTCCAGCAGCGGGAGCAGCACTAGCACTACCCAGGCGATTGCCCAACAAGACCTTTAAGCTCTTCAGCTCGGTCCCGAGCTCCTTCAATCGGTTCTCATTGCCTTCCCGAGCGCCTTCAAGGGCCTTGGGAATCGCATCCTTCAACGACTTCACTTCATCGCTAATCCGGCGAGTCTCGTCATCTCGGCGGCGCGAAGATGTCTTCAGGTCTGAAACGAGGTTTTCCACATCCTTGAGAGCTGCGTCCAGACGCTCGGTGCGAGCGTCTTCGGCAGCCTTGAGAGCTGCGGTATCGGTAGAAAGCTGATCGATCAAGCCAAATGCACGCGAGAACTGCTCGTCAATATTCTCTTTATCTTGCTCCAGCTGAGGAGGAGTGGGAGGAGCAATGAGCGGAGCAATGTATCGCTAGTGAAGAACTATTAGCATATTAACCCAGGCCGAAAGAAAAACACATGCGCGCACCTTGCCAACGAAGTATAACCCATATCCAACTCCACCCATTACAGTCGCCATGATGAACAAGTCTCTCCAGTCTCGCTTAGGAGGCCTGGAATGCGATCAGTATGCGGGGTTTGGAGGAAAGCCGAGCGGGGTTGGACATACTCTGGAGGCGGTTGCCATTGACCATATGGAGGATAGCCATATCCTTGAGGTGATTGTGGTGGGGGTCGATAAGCGACCTGTTGTGAAGGGTAACTTTGTGACGATGGTGCAGCACCGGTAGCCGCTGCGGCTGCGGCAGCAGCTGCAGCCGGGTCCTCGCCGACACGCGACAGAGCGAGATCGACTTCCTCTTGTGTCAAGTTTTTGGATTGTAGAAATGCGACTCGTTTCTCAATAGGCGATGAAGCCACGGATGGGTCTTGGAGAACTGTTGATCGGGTTAGCGCCTAGGTCGCCATATCCGGGGATTGGTGTAGTCTGTCATACAAGTCACCTATAGGATTCGATTAGTGATCAAGATAAAACCACCCAGTAATAGTTCTCAGATATTCTTACAGCAGACGTAATAAGCTCCTCGCGGGGAGCCATGATGAGGGAGTGTCGACCGCAGTGAGAGAGTGTAGAAGAGAAGGCCGACTCGATGCAGGGGAATGGGGGAACGGGGAACGGCCGTCATCGGCAATCGCCGTGGACCTCGGAACTCACGACCGCCAAGACTGGCAGTTTCCCCAGACCGAAGTCTCGTGACAGTCGGATGAGGAGTTTCTATTGTTCCGGATTACATGACCGCCTACTGTTTCTGGTTGCAACCCGCTCTTGTTTACATTTGACCAAAGATTCCCGCCCAACCCTGCTGCACGATAACAAGTTCCCCTCCTAGAGGTGTTTGTGCGCGTTTGAACTTGGTATTCAGAGATTTGAACCGACCACTCATCCTTATTTCTTCTTGAGAAATAGATCACTCTACCGCCATCGCGGCTTCTTTTTTTCTCACCATGTCGCAAGATACTGGATTGTTTAGTATCAAGCGTCCCCGCGAGGTACGTAATTTCTCATGCATGTCGCAACTTGGTTTGCTCACTGACATTCGGTCGAAGACGCTTGGTAGTGTTCAGAATTATTCGTCTATTCCCCAGCCCGCATCGGCCATGAAACGCACCAGTTCTATTGGATTCAACAACCCCCCATTTACGTCTGGACACACTCGGAATTCCCTGCTGAACTCGGCAAGCCGACCCCAGCAACCGAACTTCATGCGCGCATCTTCTGGCGGTCCATACGGCGCAGATGCCGGTCTTTCATCTGTTCGCCGATCTGTCTCAAGTAATATGTTCCATGGCGTCAGCGCTGGTCGCCAGAGCTATGCGCCCGGATCTCTGCCGTCTGCCCCCACGCCGCAGAACATGCAGCGCAGAAGCAGTGTCTTTTCACGGCCCTCAATGGCCGGACCTATGTCACATCAGTCATTCTTTACACAAGTACCCTCAGCAGCCGGAGTCCCAAGAGACCCACGACCGCTCAGGGACCGGTCCTTCCAAGCTCGTATTGGACAGGAACTGTTGGAGTACTTGACCAACAACAAGTTCGAGTTGGAAATGAAACACTCCCTGGGCCAGAACACCCTTCGCTCGCCAACCCAAAAAGACTTCAACTATATCTTCCAGTGGCTCTATCATCGTATTGATCCGGGCTACAAGTTCCAAAAGGCTATGGATGCGGAGGTTCCTCCGATCCTCAAGCAACTGCGCTATCCCTACGAAAAGGGCATCACAAAATCACAGATTGCCGCCGTTGGTGGCCAAAATTGGTCTACTTTCCTTGGTATGCTACACTGGCTGATGCAACTGGCTCAGATGATGGACCGCTACCATGAAGGAGAGTACGACGAAGCGTGTGCTGAGGCAGGTCTTGATATTATCGGCGATCGCATTATCTTCCGCTTCCTTACTGGAGCCTATCACGACTGGTTACAGGGAGGTGAGGATGAGGATGATGAAACCGCAGAACAGCGACTGGTTCCTCACATTGAGAACATGTCGCAGGAGTTTGCCCGTGGTAATGAACGTTATGTACAGGAGATGGAGGCTTTGGAAACCGAAAACCAGGCTCTCCGTGAGCAGATAGACGAGTTGGAGAAGAATGCGCCTGATCTGGCCAAGCTGGACAAACACTTCAGAATCTTGGAAGATGACAAACGCAAATTTGAAGACTACAACCAAAATGTACAGGGAAAGATCGACAAGTACGAAACACGCAATAATTTCCTTGACAGCGAAATCCAGAAAACGGACGTGGAGCTACATACAGCGGAGACTGAACGTGCCGAGCTTCAGGCCAGTGTTGACCGCCAGGGTATAACTATCCAGGATATCGACCGAATGAACACAGAGCGAGAACGCCTTCAGAAGAGCCTCGATGATACCATGGCCCGTTTAGAAGAGACCCACGCTCGTGTGATGGCGAAGGAAGCAGAGGCTAGCCAGAAACTGGAAGACCTTGAGCACATCGTGAAAACATACAACACCTTGGGTTATCAAAATAGTCTGATTCCGCAGTCAGCTGAAAATGCTAAAGGCGAAGACTATGAGCTCACTCTCAATGTTAATGAAAATAATTTCTCTGCCAGCCAGATCGGCGGTGCGTCCAACCGTATCTCTTCAGATGGTGACCGGTTGTTGGCCGATCCTTTTACCGGCTACCACCCCGCTCATCTCCTGAATCTGGATCTTCGTGGCTCGATTCGCAATAGCCTTCAGTCTCTTCGGAAGGAGATCAATGAACGACGAAAGCGTGGTGTTGACGAGGACCTGGAGCGTCGCAATCTACTCGATAATATTAAGGAGGCGATGGATGAAAAGAGAAGCGAAGTTGAGGCTCTGGAGCACCGACGGCGTGCAGCCGAAGAAGAGTTTGAACGCACCAAGGAAATCACTACCACTCAGAAATTGGCATCTGATGCCCAGATTGAGAAGATGGAGAAAGAATTGGCCAAGATGCGTGCAACCCTTAGTGATAGTGTGCAGCTAATGGAGCAACGCGAGATGAACACCAACATCGAGTATGAACAACTGACCCTCCGGGCAAATTCACTCCGGGAGGAACTGCATACCAACGTTGAGACAATGCTCAACGACGTCATCCGGTTCAAGGTGCACGTTCAGAAAGGTCTAGAAGATTACGAGAGCTTTGTTGTTGATGAGGTTGAGCAGGAGCTTGGAGGAGACGTCCTAGCCGTTGAGGAAGAGCTATGAATATCCACGAGTGACGAATTTGGCCGGGTTGGTTGTCGTTTGGTGTCATGTTAATTGAGCCCTTATTGTTGTTGTTCTTTCTCTCTTCATATCTGTCCCCTTTTTTTTCAAAGCTTATGCCGTGTACAATACCCCAAGCAATAAGGATGATACTCTTCCCAACAGAAGGACGCGCAATGCCCTATGGGCCAAACGGTAGTAGGTCGTTAGCCTGAGACCAGTGGCGTTTTTTACTCTATTCCTTTTAGCCTATTAGTGAGTATGTATCCCGTACCTGCTGTAGAAAGGGTTCGCGACAGGGTTAGAGAGCCAAACTTGTTGGCGGCATCTGGTGTGCTCGCTGCACCATTTACTCTGTGCCATCCAATGACAAACTTGCATTAGCCCAAATTTCGACGCCGTTTTTTAACCTGAAGCAGATGGCGGGCTGATCGACAAGAGGACGTGTAAGCTCAGGTGGGGAAGCAGCAGCATACCTTGTTTCACATTTGCCTCCCACTCCCGGACTAATGCCGTGTCCAACCCGGCTGCCAGTATCCCAGCAATGTCGTCTGTCGCGCCATATGCTTCAGAATCCCTGGCACATCGCCCTTTACTCTCCGATTAACCCCTGCATCGGCTCCTTCACATTGCACCAATGCGCTGGCGGCCTGGTAGGGCTCGGCCGTCTTCTCGCTGAAGATCGCTCTGGATTTGACAGATGGCCATGGAAGGAGTCCTCCAGGTACAGCCTTTGAGTCCTGATCCCCACAGTTCCCAACCCTGGACCCCTGGCCTAGATGTCTCGAGTGCACCTAGTGGCGGCATTGTGTCAATATACTCGGGAATTCCGCCAAACAGACATCACATCCTGCCGTCTCGGATGTCGCGCCAGGCCTGTCATATCTCCAATCCCCATGTACCCATGGAAATTTATATATAAAGACACTTGAGACCACCATGGTGATTTTTTGATCACAGTGCTGCGCGCTTACCTTCTTTTCTACCAACTCGAGATACTCCGTCACTGAGTGACTCCAGTTATCCACTCTTTACAATCCTTTTCATTCCAACTTTTATTCCTATCAAACCAAGATCTACCATCTTTTTTTCTTCAAAATGAGATTCAACCTTGTTCTCGGTGTTACCACTGCCCTCTGCCTGGCCCCCAATGCCATGGCCTGGAACATGCCTCGCGTGGTACGTATCCTCTTCTAACTATACCCTCTTTTGATATTCGGTTCTAACTTTCCCTATAGTTCGGCGGTGACAACCAGGCAGAGGCTACACCTACTGCCAAGCCCTCGAGCGGTGTTGAGCCCACCGGTACTTTCCCAACTGGTGCTTTCCCCAGCGGTGCTTCCCCCAGCGGTGGCTTTGGCGGTGCTTTCCCCAGCGGTGCTGCTGGAGGCCATCATGGTCACCATGGTCACCATGGAAGCGGACCTTCCGACTCCCAGCCTTCTGGGGGTGTGGAGGGTGGTGGCCAGCGGCCTTCTGGCACCATCCCATCCGGTTCTTCGCCTTCTGGTGGTGCCGAACCTAGCGGTTCGTCTGACAGCTCTTTCGGGGGTGTCAGCCGCATTGGTAGCAGCGGCCGTGGCTCTGGTTACAACAGCAATAACGCTCCTGCTCCTACTGGTGCTCCCTCCAGTGTTCCCTCTGGCACCACTGGCGGTGGTTTTGGTGGTGACTTCGGCGGCCAGTCGAGCTTTGCCAGCGCCCCCATCCCCGCCCCTACTGGATCCTCTGTCCCAAGTGCCGGTGGCCAGGGTGAAGGCCAGAGCGAAAGCCAGAGCGAGGGTCAGAGCGAGGGTCAGGGCTTCAAGCGTTTCCACGCTCGCCAGATCCGCCCTGCCCAGGTCTAAAGTCCGTATGCAATATTTGCACTCGTTTGTGGCATTTTCGCTGCCCCTTGTAAGATAGGCTAAGGTTGTGTACTCCTGTGGCTGCTGGCTCAGCTAGACAATGAATTACTACACAATCTTACGAAGCAAACAATTTGTGCTTATTTTTTCTTCTTCTCCTTTTTGTGTAAACGTATATCAATATTTTTCCTGCTGAATATTGTTAGTGCATTACTAGTAGGTATCAGTTGAATGGTGTCGCTTTCAAAGTTTGCCCGAGCCTCTATTGATAAATATATCAATTTTTCTTAATTTTTTTTTTTCGATCGGTGTCCTCCCCTCAAGCCTCAACAATTTTAATAGTTTGAATTAGGATGTATTAATTTGCAAATCTCTCAAATCCCGTGGATTGGGGAAAAGAAGCTCGAAGTAAATCGGCGCGTCTTGATTGGCTATAAAATATCTCCGCTGACTCATCAAAGCACCAAATTTCCGCGGAACTCCTTCTGCCTCATGATCATTCAATAACACCCTCCTGTCAACTTTGAGGACGGATTCGAATAATTCTGCGTTCGGAGCAGAGGGAGGAAGCGAATTGAAATCCCGTCCACATGCGCAACTCTTAATTGGATCGAAATGTGCCACACCACCCTCGCGCCCACCGATACCGTGATCCATTCGCTTGCGCCTTTCAGGCTCGCCGCCGTGTCATGATAAGGTCCTTGCGCCCCGGCCGTCTCTTTCGACTTGGCCGTGGGCCTAATACTTCCCGTCCGATTGCACTTCCGTGTCCTTCCCTTTCTCGCGCCTATTCCCGATCCTCTTCTCAAACCAGGCGCCCGTTGACACTCGATGAATACAAGTTCATCTGCAACTACACCGATTTATCGAAATCTCCTGTCAGTCTCAAGAATCGTAATCCAGATGTTTGGATCCCGTGCCTTGTGTCATGTTTGAAATCACCACAAGAGAGACAGCAGCCTACAACTTCGGTCAAATCAATCACTCAACATGCCAAAGATCTCGACCGAGGCCATGCTCTGATGAGCTATCTGTGGCTGGCAAAGACATGGAGGGAAATGGATCTCCTAGTACATCTTGGATTTGAGCTGAAACAATGGTCTACCGTGCACGCACTATTGAACGAGTTGATCGATACGTATGAGTTACTTGTCCCCTTCATCGGAGTCAAGAATCTTGCCCCCAATTTTGAGTGGTCCCTAGCAGAAGCAGGCCTTTCGTTGGATTCTCTATCATTTCTTAAATTATCCAACTCTGAACTTAAACAGGTCCAATTACCTGCCTCCAATCTTGATCTCAACGTCGCCACGAGAAGGCCTGCTGTGGAGAACTTTGGCCAGAGACTATTGGGGTCGGTGCTACTCAATCTGGGATCATTGGTGTTGTCAGCTGCAGACCGCCCTGCGGCCGAGTCCAAATTCGCAATGTCATGCGTGTTCCGTATCCTTGCTCGTTTGCATCACTTGGGACTGATTTCTGACAAGGTTTACCAGTATCAGCCTGCGGACCCGGATCAAATTTCATTCCGGCCTCCGGGACTAAATCTTTTGTCGACTCACATTATGACTGTTCTTTCAGACGCAGCATGGCTTGAACATGAAGCTACCCTCGCAAATACCGCTACCGAAGCTGGAGAGGAGCCACCATTTCTTCCCTTCAATGTGGGATTCCGGGAGCTTGGCCCAGAGATCTGGCTGGAACTTATTCTCTGGTGCTGTGTCGAGAATGGATTCTCCAAACAGGGCGCTTACCTGTTGAGGGATATGACCAAACGAACCGATGACCGGGCATGGAAAGTTGCAAGCTGGGCGCCGCTCGTCCGTTCTCTCGATACTGTCCGGCAGACCGATATCAGTAAAGAGGAATCTTGGCGCCACCCAGACAATGATGAGCCGCCCCGTCAGTTCAAAAATAACGACCGACCTCCATTCAACGGTCTAGGAAGGCAGACTATTAGCACTGAAGTCGTTGCCTCTTTACGCGACATGTTGCATAACAAGACTTTTGTCTCTGTTGGAACCACCGGCATGTCATCTCCGGAATTACTCGACCTCGCAACCTCTCTCACCCAGCTTCTTGAGCCTGCTGCGACAAAGGATGAACTCAAACTGACTAACAGGTTAACCAATTGGAACTTTAATCGGATGATAGAGTCGGGTGGTCTCATTCCCGATAAGGACCCAATTGCATTCGAAAAGGTCCTGCGATCTACTCAAAACGTTGTTCCACCTTGGGGGGGGACAGCCTATCCCTACAGACACACGACTCAATGACATTACGAAAGCACAAATATACGATGAAACCGCTGCCATATCCGGCCTCATCGAGTATAACGTCAGGGACTCTGCACGCACAATGCAAGCCGCGACGGCATTCTCTGGTTATTCTCGGCTTCAAAGCATCGTTGACGCAAGCAAGTCATACCATATCAAAGAGTTCTTCGAGAAGTTCAATCAGTATGATTCTTCAGGCCCCTCGTTCTTTGAGTCTCGACAACTTGAGTCAAGTTTGGGAGAATCATCTCTTTCGCAAATACAGAGTGTGACTATGGCCGAGCTGCTCGATCTAGTTACAAATTGTCGGGCGTTTGACTTTGGAAATTGGTTGCTCTTCAACAACGATATTGATGGTCCTCCGATCGCCCAAGCTTCATACGGCGACCAAGCCCTCGCGCCGTCGATTCTTCGCTTCGCCGCTGCCACGCAAAACAAAGAGCTCTCTGATAAAGTTATCGCAGCGCTTAGTCCACCACTAGGTTCTAATACGCTGAAAGCTGTGATCAACTTGCACGTCTCAATGGAGTCATGGGATCGAGCACTTCTCACGCTAGAGTTCATGCGCGACTACAGGGCAAAATCATGGGGCTTCAGCAACATCAGCGCACTAGCAGCCAAAATTCTCAGGCTCGACGGATCCATTCAGCGCAAGCTGGCAAGCGGGTTTCAGTCAGCAGAAAAGGAACAAGAGAGCCTCGCTAGGGCATCTAACGTTCTTATTCGTCTCTTCCAGGGAGACTTCTCTACGTCGCCCAGTAAGAGCGAGCGCGTAAGCAAATTCCAACAACTAGTGCTAAAGCGCATCTGGTCGTTATTTGATATTCTGCCTGGTCCATTGGCGGATATTCTCAAGCAGGCCAACACAGATCACGCCTCGCCCCGGGACAAAATTCTTCAGGTTCCCATCAACGCCTTCCACGACATCCTATCTGCTGTGGTGGATGTGCATGGCAGTAAGGCAGGCAAGAAACTGTTCGATGAATGTTGCCTAGACGTACAAGCCCCTGCTCAAGTTCGTACAAAGGCCGGTGGTGTTGTACGTTTGCAAACCGCCGCTGAGCGAAATCATTACAAAGTCTCTGGGGACCGCGGCTTTAATGCTCAATGGCATGAATATCGTCAAACAAAATTGGTCATCCCGAACGTGAGCACCTTCCGCATCCTCGCGCAGGCTGCTTATAGGGAGTATGAACTTGATGCGGCTCATGCCAACGCCAACCAGACTCCTCCCTTCCTTCCAGCTTCGCCTTCTCGTGCGTCTCCTCTTGTCACGCCGCACTCGCTTGTCGAACCTTGGCAGAACGATCCCCGAAGCTCAACACTCAATGGCGGACTAGATTCAAGCGCTATCCCGCCCGCCACAGAACCGGAGGCCATCCTTGACTTCTGTGTCGGCAAATTCATCCAGGAAAACATGGAGGAGAACTCTATTGAACTGGAACTACCGGGGTATATGGCACGCATGCGTTTCCGGGGCATTCTTGGCAACGAGTCCTTCCACCCCCCTAGTCGGGCGAAAGAGATTCAGGACGAACCCTGGATGAAATCCCACCTACCTGTTAGAGATAAGGCTCAGACCAGGCCTGTCAAAACCAAGAAGGAATCTTCGAAAACTTCGCCAAGTCTACCAAAGGCACAGGCTCGACCGGCCAAAGTCCAACCAGCTGAAGCCAAATCTGCTCGAACCAATCCGATTGAGAACAACCCCGCCTTAGAAAAAGCCAGCACCTGAGATCAGGCGCTCTGTACATTATAACTATGTTCTACTTCACCAGAAATGTATATACCCCTCTGCATCTGGTTGTCATGTACCACCACGAATGTTCTTGATATCCTTGCATAAAACAAATAGATGGAGCAAAATTCATTTTTTGAATATACACTTGAAATTTGAGAGGAAGATAGGTAGTCTTCAAATGCGAGACCTGTCTTGTCATTTGAAAACTGGAAGTATATCGCCAGATGAAAGAAATGCCGTAATCAAATTAGGATAAACCTTGGAAGGCCACCCCGAACTCCAAAATCAAAGAACCATTGCCCAAAAAGTAAATGACAAAAGACGAACGCCTCCGGTTCCTCCTTTTGATCCGTAGTCCCAAACCAGAACCTGAACCAGATAAATTGCAAAGCACACGCCTGTTCAATCCCGCACCCGTCCGATGATGACACCCTGGTCTAGAGCGTGTATGGCAATGAATCAATAATAGTAAGAGCCATGATAGTAAAAATAACAGAGAATAGGGAAGAAGAAGTAGTGTGGGGAGGAGAGAGAAATAATAGAAGTTCAAAGTTACAAGGTATGCCTGCTTTCCAAATGCCAAAGAATCAAAAGAAATCCAAAGGGGGAAGACACAAGACAAGAGGCGAGCGTATGAATGCCAACCCTTGGGAAGAGATGGAGATAGACGTTGTGGATGCAGAGAAAGGTGGAAAATTAAACACATGATAGAGGGATAATAATTTCGTTTGCTTCGACTCGTAAAAGGCATTTTCGTAGACGGAAAGCTGATAGCATTACCTCAGCTTTGCTCCCAGCGATCATCCTCGTTATTGTGAGGGAAGAAAGACCGGATGAACTCGCCACTAATGGGATCGTAGGGGAAGTACAGATCATCGACGATCTGCCCATCTGCTGAAACAGAGCTAATGGGGTCCGCGTCCGGAAGATCCGAGAACGCTGGGTAATTATAGTGATCACCTCCCAACTGGAACGGCTGGTTGAACTGGTTTGTCAATGAAAGGTCTTCCAGGTGGGGACCCCACATGTTTTGCGAGCCTGTTCCTGTGAAGTTGTCGGGCTGAGAGACATCCGTGGAATCAAGGGTGGATGTGGGTGCGGGTTGGTAGGTGTTTGAAGGTATGTCGGAAATATCGAAGTGCATGCCAGAGGCGAGACGGCGCAGGCAGATGTCGCAGAGTTGCCAAGCTCGTCGGGAGGCGACGCTGTGTTCAGACATAGCGTAGAGCCATCGAATAGATTTCTTGGACTGCGCTATGAATTGCTGCTCTCCTTCTGGCATGTGGACACTACCAAATGACAGTTCCAATAGTAACACGGTTGCAGCCTGCATGAGGTAATGGAGAATACACCACCAGGGAGCGATCTCGTAAAGCTGAACGGCACTTGGCTCATCTGGGATGAGGTCCAACATTTGCATTGCAGAATTCAGTGTCAACATGGCCATATCATGGCTAAAAGATGACTTTTCTGCTGGATCTTTCTTTTGAGCATCTCGTCGGCATAGGCATGGGCGGCCCAGTGTGATCCGCGCACTATAAAAGTGAAAGGCCAGGGCGAGCTTGCTACGGAGTTGTTCAGGTCCATCATCAGTTTTCTGAGTGAAATCAAGACTAGATGGGATACCTGTCAACCACAGGTCAATTCGAGACCGAAGTTCACCGATGCGATTCTCAATATGCGCCCAAGGCACCATCACACAGTCTGTCGAATACACCTTGTTTACAATTTCCTGGGTGACGACTGCCAAATCACAGTAGTAGAGATGACAAAGGCCGAAATTGAAAGCTAAGCCCTTCACCCACAAATTGTCACGCTCGCGAGACTTGTGGGTGGCCTCTTTGCCGCCGTTTGGGTTGAGTGGCATATGACGAACCCATACACTGGCCATTACCTTGTTGATTCGGTCATCGCGAAGATGAGAGTTGTTGAGTAATTCAGCTGCTTCGGGTTCCTGTAATTGTTCCTCTGTGAAAGGAAGGGGTAGAGGTGTGGTGCAAATTCCATCCAAGATACAGGTAGCCCGACCTGTCATGATGCCTAACATGTGCTCGAAGGTGTACAAGCACCACCAAACTCGGTATCGGGCCTCTTTGGAGATATTTGGGGTTGTTGGACTGGTACTCTTCATGTTGATGCCAAGAGTAATGGCAGATCGCACCGCCAACGCGGAAATTCTCCACGCTCTAGGTCATTATTAGTATGGAAAGAGCATAATGCTTGGTCGCGTAGGTTCAAATACCGATTGATCTGATCTGATGAAAGGAGATAGAATGCAATAAGACCCTCCACTTGAACCTGCTGAAGATCGGGATGGCTAAACAAGACATCTCCATTCATACTGAGAATCCTGGCTCGAGTCAAGTACACCAAATGGTCTTTGTCATCCCCTTGCCATGGCGCTTGAATTAGATGGGCATGCTGGGCAGCGATAGCAAATATCATGTTCAGTATAGCGAGCCATTTATCCCCAGGTCGGGCAGAACTGTCGAAGAAAGTTCGATATTGAGCACTGAAGAGAGGGCGATTGATCATAGGGAAGAAGGGATGCACGGTACGGAGATAGTCGTCAAAGAGTTTATCGGCCAGGTCCCGGGATGGCATAGCGTAGATATCCACCGATTCAGGAACAGAAACGTCAATGTCGTCTAAGTGGTAGCTCACAGCATGAAGGGCGAGATCATCGTCTTGTCGTTTGCTTTGTCCTGGCTCCAATGAACCTGCCAGTCCCCTGGAACGATTTTCCGCCTCGCGCTGAAGTCGTTGCATCCAAGTGACCTCTGAACTTTTGCTCATAAACCCGGTAGCTCGTGATTGTTCGGTCCGGTTCAAATCCTCCTCTACGCGGTCAATGGCCTCAAGTGAGCCAATAGATGAGGGTGAACTAAGATCGTCGGCGTCCCCATTTTCGTCCTGTGGGGTAACTGAATGGGATGGTGCGCTAGCGTTTGAAGACGACTCGTTTTCGTTGTTACCATACTGCGAACATGTTAGATGTAATGAGCAATGCGAGTATTTTCTCTCCAGGTTCTCAAGTGACACACCTTGTCCAGCAAGCTTCGGATACGATCTGCAGTCTTAGTCTCGACCAACATCCCTAGATCCTTCAGTAAATTTTCATAATCGACCGCTTTCTCGGAGAGCGATTCGACTTGTCTATAAATTAGAAATGTATCAGTAACCAATATGCAAGCCAGCACGAGGGAATCCAAATTCATCGTGCGCATACGAAAGAACAGTGAAACGACAAACCTTTTTGTCTTTTCCTTCCACCCGACGGGGTACTGGCACGAAATGCGCAGTTCACGACATTGTCGACAAACTGGTGTATCACCACTACACTTCGTTTTGCGCGATCTGCATGATTCGCAAGCCCGGGGAACGCGGCGGCCATATCGAGGGGCGATACCGGATCGCGAACGAGGGATGGCAACCTTGGCAGGGCCAGTGGACCCGACTTTCAAGGTTTTCAAGGTCGAAGCCGAATCTGTGACGGAAGCCGCCTTCGGGACGGCAATAGGGGAATCGTCAGGACGGAGAAGTTGAGTCGGAAGTTCCTTTTGCGATGTAGGTCCTTCCCTCGATTGGTTTGGAGGCTGGTCATCCATCGTCATCTTTGCGGTATGCTCCTCGTGGTGCAGGTAGGTGTTCCGAATTGATAGTAAAGAATGGAGGGGAATCCCTGTGCGACCGAGGGTGCGAATTCGGTCGAGCAGCCGGGATGGAAGTCGGTCGCTACCGATGTAGTAGTTTAGGGAGACATGGGATCCATTTGGATACCTAATTTGATTCGCAGGGTTGTAAGTACTAGGCGATCGCAAGGAGGAGAGGGCGATAAGGCGGTTACGAAGATGGTGGCGGGTGGGGGGAGAAATGGAGAAGCGGCTTAGTCAGAATTGCTGCCGAGATGTCCCATGGACTCTGGAATACGCGTGGATAATATCAAACAAGATTTCGATCAAAGAATGATCCATGGTTTTGCATGACGCCTAAAACATACATAGACAATCGCTTTTTTGCCCTTCTTTTGATGGTAAAACAAATCACAGCACACAAAATAAACAGTTCCCAATCCCAAATCCTCCCTTCTACCCATCCAGGGTGAGACCAGAAAAAAGAGTAAAAGTAAGAGAGAAAATAAAAAACCCATCAACAAGATGTATATATACAGGGAAAAGAATTAGCAGGAAAGGAGTAGAACACGGCGGAGACAAGGCAGCCGACATGTACGCGGTCAAGGGAGGTAGATGGGAAAGGGTTAGATCAAAGGGTATAAACGATATCGGTGGGCTCTTGTAGGGCCGACCGAGAGAGTGGAGAGAGAGTGACAGAAGTTGGGAAATATAGAAGCATGGAGATGGAGAGACGCAGAGAGGAGACCGTGAGAATGGCACGAAAGCTTAGATTTCGCCAAACATCTCATCGAGCTCATCAACCTCTACGGTCTCCGGGTTCTGCAGCTCTCTCCAGGAATCCAGAATAGGCTCGGGGGCCATGGCGGCCATAGCCCGAGGACCCAGACTAAGTTTCTCGTGAGACTCAGTCAAATCAGACATCTTCAGGTCGACATCCGGAAGACCGCTGTTCAACATGTCAAGAGATCGCTTGAGAGTTGAGATGGGAGCGGCATCCGGGTCGGTCGGAAGACTAATCTGCGGAGCGGCCGGGAGCGACTCGGCCCGCTCTTCTCCAGCATCGGTGAGAACACTCGTGCCAGACGAGACTGATGATGCGATAGAGGTGAGCGAGGGAGAAGGAGAGGTTCCGAACAAGGCAACAGCAGCAGCCTCGTCGAGGTCCTGGTATTCCTGATCCGCAGCATTCATGTGGGAGAAGTAATCACTGTACTCCTCCTCGGACATGCGTTCACCATGGAGCGAGGGCGTCACGGATCCGGCATTCACGACGGATTCCGAAATGCTCATCGCATCATCCATGTTGCTGAGGCCCTCGGAGAGAACGGAGATTCCCCTCTCGGCGGAACCCTGGCGGCTAGCTTTCTCTTCGGATGCGCGTTCCCGCACAGCGCTAGCAGTCTGAGTGAATTCCTTCTCGTCGCCCTCCAGGGGCGGAGAGGCCGCGCGGTGCGAGTGCATCAGGCGGGTATGGCTGGATGGGTCCGGGAACTGATCAGAGGGAGATCCCCGACCGGCATCACCGGCCTCTTCTCCTTCGAAATCGGGTGAGGACAGGTCCACTTCCGGGCTGGGGCTCCGTTGGCGCGCCATCACATCCTCTTCGTCTTGATCTAAGCTCGAGACGCTAGGTGTAATGTTCTTGCCGTCGACGCTCGAGACCAGCTCGTCGGAAGGTTCCGGAATAGGTTGACGAGGGAAGGTCGTCAGGTAGTAGTACACTTTACGTGGGTGGATATTAATCAGTTCCTTGGCCATGGGGCACGGCGCGAGAGCGGTCCATGAGCGCTTCATATAGGCGGCCAGGCGCGAGGAAAGGAGGGCAGCGGGGTTGGCGGAACTAGAAGGATTCTGTTAGCATTTGGAAGGAATGGACTGGTGAGGTTGCAAATGATTGCAAGAGGGGAACGTACTTGGCGACAGTCGCATTCAGCGCAATAAGAACCGCGGCCAGTTCTTTAACCAGATGGGGACGATTGCCCGTTTTCTCTAGCTGATGAATCACGGCGACAACAATATCATCATTAATACCTTCGGTATCGATCTTAGGCGCAACCCCGCGATCCAAGGGTGAAGGAGGTGGCGTGTGGTCGAATAAACCATTCCGGGTGGCGCGTAAAACAGTTTCCCGCTCGGTAGAAGGCTCGGGAGATAATGAGGTATGCGATCGCTTCACTTTCTTCGCGGGAGGCAAATCCTCAGTCGCATGAGCGCCTTTTGAAAAGGAGGGCGAACGACGCGATGAGTTGGGGAGATGAATACCTAACGATGGAAGAGAGAGTGATTTGCGACGGGTATTGTACGGCATAATGATGACCGGTTGGAGGGAGGGGAGAGGAGGGGGAATATTTGGAGAACAAAGGAGGAAGAGAAGAGGGGGGGGGCGAAAGAATAAAGGAAGGACCAGGAAACAAAGTCAAAACAAAAAAAGAAGATAATAATAATAAAGTATAATAAAACAGAGGATAATTAGAAAAGTTTTGAAAGATGAAAGGTTGAAAGGGGGGGAGAGATGATGGGAAGGAAGAGAGAGAGAAAGGGTTATGGAAAGATGCGACAAGCTACGGAGTACGGATACTCTCAACTCAACTCAACTCACTTTCCAGTCCACTCTGCTCTTCTGAGGAATCTCTCATAGTGGAGACTTCCTCGATTTTTTCGCCCTTTTTTTTTTTTTGCTCTTCAATTTCAAAGTTTCGGTAATTACCATACAGGAATCGGAATCACCGTCCCGCTGATTGGCTCTACAGATGAATTTCTGTTTGTCTTACCTTTCCCTCCTTGGAATGCTTTTCGCCCATGGCTCGCCACTACAGAACTTCCGGTTTCAACCTTCGATTTACTCTATACTACTCCTACTGTTGCTTACCACTACTACTTCAATATTTTACCACTCTGCCGATTTCGGTTCATTACTCTTTTCTAACTTTTTCAATCCATCTCTACACCGCCAGGTCCAAGATAATCAGTCCTCTGCAGGGATGCGACATGCAGCCAGGCGGTCAGTGGAGCAGATTTTCATACCATACCATTCACAGCCCGCCCATTCCATCCTCGGCCGTAGTGGCATACCGGTGGAGTGAGAGGAGTGGAGATGCAAGGCAAAGAGAAAGACAAAAAGAAAAACCAGCGATGCTGGTGTGTGGAGACACCATGTGTCCCATCTCCCAAAATGGTTCAGTGGACTCCTCTCTCGATCCATATTGACTCCGTCGAGACATCCAACCTCCACTAATCATCGACTAATCATCGTCTTTCGCCCTGAACGATAATATCAACTTGCGCACGCCCCATTGGATGGTCATTTGGTCCCAGGCAAGCACCGGCAGCGTTCGCGTTCGGGGAAACGCAAGTTATGCATTCGATCTCTCGATGGTTGCTGGGTGACCAGTCGACTTGACTTGTTCGCTGACCGCTGCTCTCTGGCCGCTGGACACGGCACATTCAGTCCAGACATGCATCAATCTAGTTCTAGAGTATCTATGGAGTACTCCGTACGGATGGGAGACATGGGAAGGGCCTCGGCAGTACGCAGTACTCCGTACGGAGTAGATTGAAGCCTCGTTCCCTCCTCGGCTCTCTGGAGCTATTCTGTTGCCTCCGAACAACCCGAAGGAAAACACCGGGTCCCAGAAAAGATCCCTAGCGTCGCCGTTTGGACAAAAGAAAGTCCCCACCCAGTCCACCGGTCCCCCTTAAAGAAAAGAGCCCATCCGCGCGTGTATGGATGGGGTCGGAAGTGCAGATTACACACTAAAGTAATTTCAAATACCGCTAATCCCAAAGAATCCATACGGGATGCTCGCAGTAGCGCCCCCGGGGGAGGGAGCCTCGCCACCCGATGATGCACCACAAGCTGAGCTATAGAGATTTGCCCCTTGAATTCGGATCATTACGAACTGATTTAATATGATATTCCTCGGTCTCCACGACAATTTGCCCATTACGGAGTAATCGGCACTGCATATCAATTCCAAGGCTGCTTCCCACTGTATGTGTATTGTACACTCTCCACAGAATGAGGGGCTACAACTTTGTGTTCATTAAAAGTGATCAAAAAGTGATGATGCCATGAAATGGTCGATCTTCCCTTTCCCGACGTACGTCGATATGATGCCAATTGCGACGATGCCTTGTTAGCGGCTCCCCACTGGCGGCCTCAGCGCTGCCCATCAAGCCGAATAAACTATGTATCTACTTCCCATGACATGTTAGCCAAGTCAACAGGACATCATCGCTTTCTCCCTTCGTACGTATTCATCTAATCATTTTGTTTGATGCCCCTGGTTTACTTGGCAGCAGCAAGGGCGCGGGCGCGAGCATTGCAGTAAATGCAGGTCTCTCGCAGGATCGGGGAACATCATTCCATAAAGTATATCCTTGCCCCTCATGGTAATAAACCCTAGCTAGGTAATATTCCTTCGCTTGCACCTGGGAATGACATCGACGATCTCGATAAGGCGGAGGTGTCGACCCCAACCATGGATCTACCTTCTTCCATCAGCCCATTGTTCGAAAGCATCCCGATCCGTCGGCCGAAGGGAGGCGATTTATCTGATCAAAGCCCCGGGTGGATGGCACTGAGAACCGTTACCAGTGACTGACTCGATTGCGTAGGACCACAACCCCGTAGACCCCACCTACATTGAACAATTTGCATGTAACTATACTCGCAGACGTAGATGTAAGTATGGGCAGGATGCAGCGGCTGCTAAATCTCCGCATCTCCACATCTAAATTGTGCGATCCGACCGCCAGGCTGCATCGCATGGCCTAGATGTGGGCGTAAACTCTATCCGTAGTCTCTGACCGGGTTAAAGGTCTACACTGAGTACAGAGTACTCTATACTTTCCTCGGAATTAAGACCGATCAAGGTTGGATCAAAGCAGATATGCAACTACTAGCCCGACACGATGACATTACTCGGAAAGGTGGGTTAGTAGTAATTTTCTAGGAAGGCCCATACCAGCCAGACTTT